TCATTCAGCAGCTTTTGTACCTGAGACACCTTCTGAAAGCAAGTTGTGCTCTAACAGTCTTTATAATTATAATAATAATAATCCTTGCATTTGATATAGCACCTATTCACATCTTCACGACATCTCAAAGCTCTTCACAGATTATACTGTAAAGTTAATTGACTGTATTTTGTGGGCGAAAGGAAGCAGCCAATTTTGCACAGCAGTGTCCCACAAACAGTCGTGGATTGTGCCCTCAGCGAACAACAGGACATGTTAGTGTGCAGTCCAATAACATTTTACATTTATTAGAGTGCGTTTTATGTCGGGAGGATATCTCAAAGTGTTTCACACAGCTGATTGTGCATCTTAGCTGAATTCAGAAAGCAGCTGAGAGGGTGAGTGGGTGGGTTGGGGGAAGGAAGAAAATATGACCGAAACATGGTTGAAGAGATGGGTCTTAAGGCAGGTTTTAAAAGTAGGGTAGGAGGGGTCAAAGCGGAGGGGCTCCAGGGTGGAGTTGCAAAATATCTACCATGAATTCCATCATCAATGAGGCATTGCATATCAGCTCAGTGAAGAATGTGAGCAGAGATTAAGAAAAGGTGATTCAGTCCATATCGACCTTGTCCTCCTGCCCCTGTGCCAACTCCACCTCTTCCTCATCATCCTATCGATTAGCTCTTTGGCTTGCAGAGTTAACAGGAGCTGAGTGGGAAGAATCCCTGCCCCCACAAGTCTACCCCTCCAATCTTGTTTATGATCTACCATCAACAGTGCCTTGCAGTATCGTCCACAAAACACACAGTCACTCCACTATACAGTATATCCTATGAAGAGTTTGGAATGTCCTCTCCAAGTGAAAGGTGCTACATCAAATTTAATTATTAAGGATTATTATTACCCTCCGGAAGTGGTTCTCATATCTTCAATTGTGGGCCCTGACCCTTCACCTGCTTATGTAACAGTAGAGTCCTGTGCTCTGGGAGGTACAGAGCTAAGAGGAAGAGTGCAGTGTGTTTATCCAGGGTGTGAGCGCTGAAAGAGTCTCCATTTCGCAGGTGTGGTGCATGTCAGGCAACAAAATTGCACCCACCAGTGCTCTCATTGAAGCACAGCATTGGTGAGTTATTAGCGTACTGTGTACTATGGGTGTCTGGCAGTGCACTCTTGGTTAGTTCTACCTGAACTTCACAGTCAGAGGTGATTTTGTCATAGTTGATTGGTCAGAGGTGTGGTCCATCAGTTGAAGACATTAAACCAAGGTTCCAACTGCCCGTTCAGGCTGAAGGTTAAAGATTGCATGGCATAATTTGAAAGGAATAGTGAGTTTCTCCCATTGTCCAGCACTGGCCAGCAGTCCTACAAATAAAAGTGGTCATTCTGCTTGTGGGCCATTTCTGTGCAGAAATTGGATGTTGTGTTGTCAATACATAATCACTAGCACTTTAAAGAAACTTTGAAGTACTTTGAGATATTCTTAACTATAGGTGCTATATCAAATATATAGCAAGTATTATTTCCATGTGATCCTTATCCATATAATCTTGTCCAGCCCCATTTGTGCTAATGTAGAAGAAGGTTGTTGCGGTGAAGGGGAATTTAACCCGCCAGCCACTACTCATGATTAAGGCTGACAATTGCCATTAGTTCAGAAGTATCCCTCACCAATAAGCGCGGTGCTTCGTCCATCTCAGTGCTTATCTGGAGGAATTAGGATTTGCTATTACTTATAGGCATCATGAGATTCGGAAGAGATACACAACACAGGTGATTGGCGTGTTGGAGCTGTGAACAATTGGAGCTTACAATGCAGAGTTCTGATGCGTTTTGATATATCAGCCGCTCGCCAGCTTCAGAATGCAGGCTCCACCCAGGAAATAATGCTGCTTCTCCTGCATCTCACCAGGTAGGCCTGTTAGTAGTGCACTGGGTGAATAGCCTGACTGGTGAGAGGGGATTTACAATGTTTACAAAAAAGCTTGACACCATCTAAGCAGCACTGATTGATCTGCGATGGCTTGATGGTTTTGGGAGGAGGGTGGGGATGTTGGTGAGTGAGATAGAGGCAGATGGTTTACTCTTTAAATGTCGGCCAGTGTTTGGGAAGCGAGTGAATTGGGAAATAATCATCTCTGATGTATCTAATTGTGCCACCTTGTACTGAGAAGAGAAGCCTTCAGTTTACCTCTCTTCCCCACCCCTGCTCCTCTATTAGTTATTTGATGTAACAGTTGGAGACAATCTGTGTGTCCAGGCTGAGTGTGGCACCATTATGGCAGTGGATTAAAAACAACTTTATCTCCATCCTCTTATCTCCAAGGTCAGTTGGGATTTCACTGCTGCTGGTTCATCATCTCACTGCTGCCCCCTGACCCTAACAACCTGCAAGTGTTTTTGCCAGGATTCTCATGCAATGTTGGAGTTTTTTAATTTTTAAAAAACATCCCTGTTCTTAGTTAAAAGCAACAGAGTCAAGAAAGGAAAGGCTGATACCACATGGACAGCTGCTAGGCGCGATTTAGCAGCCTGTCAAGACATGGTAGCGGTGCTTGGAGGTTCGACCAAGTTGAAGGTTCCTGAATGGAAGTAATAGCGGTTTGCCTTCCCAATAGAAATTAACTTGGCAAGTACCAGACCACAGTTGATGCCAGTCTACAGATTGGATCGGTTACAATTGGCCTCAGTATCCATCATTCCGAAGGAAATTAAATCTTGATTTCAGAACACCCCCATGGCTCCCCGTCCCCAAAAGTGTGTATGTGTGGGTGGTACATCTACAATGGTGTATATTGGATCAGAAAGCCAGGGACGGTAATTCAGTAAAACGTACGTTTCCTTCAATAGAATTTTCTTGGAATGTTGTATTCCTGTAAGATTGTCATAACTGTATCATCTCGGATAGATCTGTTATTTTCCAGCGTAGATTGCAAAGGTGTCACATGGCTTAGGCACTGGGCATTAATAACTAGAGATTTGGGATTACAGCACGATGTGTACTGGATGAAAGGGGTCACCAGTGGATAACGACAGTGCAGAGACAATAAAAGCATGATAGAAGACAGCATAATATTCCAGAAAGCATTTTATTGCATAAAGTACTGCTTGAATTAAGCAGATGATTAATCATTTTACCAGCGAATTTTCTTTATAATCTGCAGCCTCAGCCTCTGCGATCAGAGTTGCATTGCTCCCTGACTGTGAGAAGGATGTCCAGCGGTCAGGGCAAGGATGCTTGTCAGTGTGTGGTGTGCGGATGCACTTCCATCCATTCTGCTCAACCTGGTATCTCCAGAGAGGATTTGGAGGTGGATGTAGCCACCTGAAGACACTGATGTGCTTTTGAGGAGCTACCACACCGACTGCATTAGGGTGAAAGACTCCTCTCTGTTGTTGGGTGTAATCTGGTCCTGTATGAATCCATGTTGTCAGGATTTACATCACAAAACATCAGTTAAGCTCTTGATTTCAATGGGCAATTCACTCCGAGAGGCCACCAACACTGGTGGGCAAATGGTGTAATGGGGGAGGGAGCGATCTTCTGAGACTGAGGGTGTGTTGGAGCATTGACGGGGAAGAGCAAATTAAGGGGTGCGAGTTGTGAAGGGAATACCAGGGAAAGGGTCTTTAGGAGGGAAGACTGGGTTTAGTTTCTTTGAAAGGTTCTTAATGCTCAAATTCTGGTTTGAGGGAGCATGTGATGTAATGTGCAAACCGTCCCAGCAGGTGGCGCTCACACTGTGCAAAGTGCACCAGAAACTGCAGAGATTTCATGGTTCTGTCTCATTTGAATGTGCATTGAAGTGCAAGTGGTGGAATTATAACCTCCAGGTAAAAGCTGAGCTGTTGCATGAAGATTTAGAAAGGTCCAGTCACAGAGTGAGGCCAGAGGTGGTGGGAGAAAGACTGGATTGCAAGCTCTATTCCAGCTTTCTAAGGGCTACCTTGTGTCGTGTCCCATCATGGAAGGAAAGGAGCAAGTGAGAAGGAGAGAATGTCAAAATGTCTCAAAACACTTCACAATAATTATTATCATATGTAGTGACAGTATTTTAAGGCAAAGACGACCAGCCTGGCTCAAGAACCAGATTGCTAGATAGCCACAGAGGGTTGACTCAATTTCAACATTTGTTGCCAGGCGTGTCACCTTGGAGTCGGCTTAGCTTCAAGGTAGCTCCCACTCACTCCCACCCCCAATGCAGTCTCCTGTGCCTCCAGCAAAGAATGTTTAGTTATTATTAGTTTGAGCTGCTGGTCTGTGCAGACAGACACTTTTTCGAATTGGATGCCCAGAGCTATATCAGTATAGTCTGAACAAATTAAACTAGTCCGTGCTGCCAATAATTGATGGTACAGTTAAATGTACTGATTCTGATAGATAAATAGTCTCTTCTCTTTTTTAATGGCTGAAAATGCAAAATCCCTTTGCTTGAAAATGGCCATAGGCCATTTCCTGGTGCCATCATTGCGATGCATCCTCAATCCAATGCATCTGTCCTGCATGCATGGGTGGTGTGACTGGTGCTGTGGCAATGTGAGACTAGCTGTTCTGGGACTGTTCTAAATTGCAGGCTGGCCTAGCGGCCATGATCCCTTCACTCCTCTCTTGCACCAGATCTATTCACCATCTGCTTCCCCGGTTTTACTGATAGAAACGCGATTTCCATCTGACTGCTGAATGTTTTCCTGCATGAAATTGTTTTTGACTCCACTTTGTAAAGTAGATTTGCCTTCAATCACAATTTATTAAATCTCCATCCATTTAGCCAGGAGAGCTGTGCATTAAGCCTGATTATAGTGTGCATCCAGTGCCACTGAGGCACTGTCTGCTGATCCATTATCTCCTGTATTACACTTCACACTAACAGCACCAGGATTCCTTCTTTGTTTCCATCCCTCTCCTGCCTGATCCTCCTCCTCCCTCACTCTCTCCCTGAACAATATGAGTCGGCATTGAATCCAGGGAACTGTTTTTTCTGACTTTATGCTTGTAGCTGGTTAGGTGATCGAACACCTTGTGCATGGAGGGAAAGGGACAGGGTGTTAAGCGAGGAAAGTCTGGCTCTCTGCGAGGAATGAATGGCTCATTTAAACGAACTTCTATTAAACGCACAGTCTCTGGATCGCAGAAGGTGAGTGAGAGAAACTGCAGGACGCACCAGGTGAAACTGAGCATTGCGTGCATTAGGTGTGGCTGGTGTATGTACTCTGTGGGCCATTTAAACCAGTGGTGGGCACTTTTATGTACTTTGATGTGCAACGTCAGTGAATGTGGGGTGCACTGCCAAAGGGTCCACGTGGTACCCAAAGTACATTGGTACCCATCTCAAGGAAAGTGTGAGAACGGAACCAGCCGCACTAGGAGTTATTATTCGTGTATGCTGCTTGTCGCTACTCCAATGTAGAAACCTTATGTGGTCGTGTGTCACATGTGTCTTTTACATACAGTTTATATATATAGATATGTACCAATTTTGCATGTAAAACTGTTAAAGATTGCAATCCAAATGAAACTTTTTATGATTGAAATTTTCACCTTGGGAGTAAATAAATTGTGTGGCGTTAATTAGTACAAGGAACCTGTGGGAAATGCTCCAAACTGTGTGCTCATATTGGCTTGGACCCCAAGTGGTCGATCAATGAGCAGCCTGTTCAAGAGCCAGTGTGAGGGAAAGGGATTGCAATGCTATTTTACACAAAAATGGTGCAGGACTTTATACAGGGCTGCGTTGTGCCAGGGTTTAAGCAAGAATGGCTGGCTCATGGAGAGAGGAGCTGTCACTGATGGCAGTAAGGAGTGACTGTGAGCTGGTGGTGGAGAGAGACTGGAGTGTAAAGAGATGCGATGAGTCCCTGCTCTGTATGTCTCTGAACTTGTTTGTCAAGCCCTGTAAACACAATATTGTGTAACAATCCCGAGGTACTGCTGTGACTCAGAGAGGTCTCAGTGATTCTGGTCTGATGCAAACCTCCACTTTCTGGTATTCTCAGAGGCAGTGTGACTGAACTGCACTTTTGTGCCAATGTTTATATCGCAGCATAAAATGAACAACATTCTATTTGTTGCAACAGAGGAGGCTGACTGGAGCAAGGAACCAGATTCAGTAGTTGACTGCCACTGAGACTGACCTGCAGTGGCTCCATCTGAAATCCACATTCCTGCATGGTGCACCATCCGTTCTGTCTCTTAAGGCAGCACAAGATAGAACAGTGCGTGTTTGTGTCACCAGCACCATAGGTGTGATGTGCTTAGATACATTGCTGTATCTGGGATACAGCACTGTGTTATGTCGAGGTTACATTGCTGGAGTAAGGTTTGTCAGACTGTCTGATAAACCTATTAATGTCAGGACTCGGGATTGCTCTTAAACTCATCAGCATCACACGTTTCAATCTACTGTATTTAGAAGCATCGTCTAAATGCTGGGGTGCTGTGAGTGTGTAATATTGTCTGTGCAAATCATTGCTCGGGGTTAAATCACTGAGCTGTAAGGCAAGGCACATATTCTAGTTTCACTCAAAAACCTTTGCCTGAGTGAGTGGCACATTGCCCTTGGAACGAATTCTGCTTGAAGCTGTTACTCGGAGTCTAGGTTTGTGAACAAGCGCTCGTATATCCAGACATTGAGTGGTATGCATAGGTTAGCAGCTGCTGAAACTCCAAACTTCCAACAATTGGAACCATTTTGCTGAGTGAATAGGGATGTGTGTGCATGGCAGTTCTCTTCTGAATTGCATTGTGCTGCTCACCAACAGGTTAGCAGGGAGTTCTTGGTACTTGCTACACACCTAGCAAGGGCTCAAATTGGGTTTGTTGGATGTCTAATAACCAACTAGTAATTTCTCCCAGGGGAGGTGAGCAGGACATCCTTGGAGCCGAGCTGGCAATACAGTAAGAGAATCGATTCGATAATCTGTGATAATTTCTCAGAGAGCTCAGTAGTCTAGGGCATGCCAGGGGAAATATCTTTGCACAGAGGCTGGGAAGAATGCGGAATTGTCTGCCACAAATCATTGTTGAGGAGCAGTCAAAATCAATTCTTTTAAAATGGAATTAGATCTTAAATAAGAGGAATTTTAAAGGTTATGAAGCGAGAAGTGATATTAGACCTGGTGGCACATATGGCGGAATGCACCAGTGCAGACGTGCTGAGTTGTTTTTCTGCTCTATGATTCTTGGGTCCTGAGTAACATCTCTTTAATCCAGTGCCGCATATTAGATATCAGGATTGTTTCAATGCAACTATGATGGCTACCTTGGGATTAACCCACTGAATTCATTAAAAGATTGTGCTCGGCAAGACATCACAACACAGCCAAAAAAATTGGGTGACAGAAGAATTATGTAGAAATGAGGAGGTTATAGGGATGATCTGTTCAATAGCAGAGCAAAGAGCAGATGCAGATGAACAGTTGTTTTGATTTTGTTTTGGATTGATTGTTAGATACTGGGATTAAACTGTCAATGACCAGCGCTTTGGTAACTAATTGTTCCACTCACCGTTCTCCTGCGATAGCTAAGCAAGTGAATCAAGTCTAGCCGCCTGCTTTTAGTTTCAGAACGAGCTCCAAGAATAGTCATACGTCAATGTCTACAAATGCTTTGCAAGTATTTTTGAGACTATAGTAATTAGCAGCTGATTGAAAGATGTGGTAGGAGATTGTTTGTTTAAGAAAGAGTTGTGGGTAGAATTGAGGGACCTGGGTTCTTCACTCAGCATGAGTTGACTGCAAGATTTCTGATAGTGGTGTGAGAGAGATATGAAGTACTGTACAGTATAGTTTACACTGAGTTAATCTGTGGGCTCCGCGACAACAGTAATAGTGGTGTGCTTCCTGTTTTTGGTCATTAGTGCCAGTAATGCAACTAATCAGCTGGGGAAAAAAACACTTTACACAGCGACGGATGAAATTGGCAACAAAATTCCAATTGTATTGTGAGACCTCCATTGCTGGGAAAGAGCAGTCTTAGCTCAGATCTAATTCCTTACACACGGGAACATTGGAATGTGCAAGAGAGGAAAAGGGTATCAGAGTTTCATCCATCCACCCCAAGTTTTAATATACTATCCATCTCCATTCCCTTCAAAAACAAGAAGCTGAAGCTCTGCACACGATCTGCCTCCACTGTAGTAAAAGGTGTAGAAAATTCATTCAAAAATAAAAGTCCATTGGCCATGCAATTCCACCCACTTTAACTGGGTCACAGCAAATATTCTGAAATAAAATTCGGACAAAAGGGTCTAATATTCGCGACAGTTCACTTTGTAAACTACAATCTTTTCGCCTACAATTTACACAGCTGCTATACTTTACATAACGGCCTAACTGGCACAAGTTAGAAGAAAATTTGTGCTGCTAGCGATGAAAGCATTGAAGGGATGAGGAGAAAGAACTGGCAAATGGGATTAATAAAAAAAGGGAAATTTAGAAAAATACATAAAATACATAAAAATACAGTGATGCAGATGTGAAGGCAAATGGCTTCTACTCTGTAGAAAATGTCTGTGTGTCTTTCTTTGCTGAATGTGAGGATGCTCATTTCTCATTCTAGGGTCACAAAGCCTGGATCGAAAAGACCTTCCAGAAACGTGAATGTGTCCACATCATCCAGAACACCAAAGACCCCCAAAAGTACGGTGCAGATTAATGGGATGCTGGGTTTCATGACTAGTGTTCTGGAATATAAAAGCAAGGAAGTGCTGCTGCATTTAATAGAGTGTTGGACTGTTGTGTTCAGTTTTGGATATCCACCATCTAAAAGGATATACCAACCTTGGAGGGCATCCAGAGATGATTCACCAGATTAATGCGTGGGATGAAAGGGGTTTAGCTATGATAAGAGGCTGAGTCAACTTGGGTTTCATGATGTAGAAATGAGGAGGTTAAAGGGGTGATCTGATTGAAGTTTTAAAATAATGAAGCGAGTTGTCAAGCTAGGTGGGGGAATGACTCTTCCCTCTGGTGGAAGGATCCAAAACCAGGAACCTAACCTTAAAAGTTATAGCTGAGATGGTTAGGAGTGAAATCAGAAAATGTTTATAACATTGAGAGTTGTGCGTACATGGAATTCCCTGCCCCTACCCCAAAAGGCTGCAGATTTGGAATTGATGCACAGGGTAACTCTCAATCACTCAGAGACGCTATCCCTGTGTGAGAGCACTATATAAATGCAAGTTGTTGTTTTTAAAAGTGAGCTAGATATTTGGGAAATAAAGGTATTAAGAGATGGGTGAAAAGTTATGAAAATAAGATTAAAAGATCTGTCATGCTCTAATAACACAGCTCAATGTGCCAAACAGCCTCAACTGTTCTTCAAATTTAAAAAAAAATGCTAAACCCTCTTATTGTGTAGTCACTGCTTCTTTAAAGTGCTGCTTGGGGAGTGATTGATAGGCACAGTGCCAGCCTGGGATTGATTGATTTATTGTCACGCATGATAACAATTGGCAGAATACCAGCGTGAGGTGTGACATACATCTGACTGCTACAGATTTACCCAGCATTGCCCAACACTCAGTGAACTTAGAACATTTACAGCACAGGAGACCTTTCAGCCCAGAGAATCACACTGGTGCTAATTCCCTTGTTGTGCCAGCCTAGATCTTTTACTCCTTTTTTTCCCCCAGGTGCTGTTGTGGTCAGCAGACCAGTCAACACACAAGCACTTTTCACAGTGCCCAGCGTAACAGCAAGGGTGATGAAAGCAAGCAGCTGGTGAAGGCAGACGCTTCGCCTGAAAAATGGTCTGTCTTGAAGAACACTCAGGCCAGTCCCACCGATGCCTATGGGGTCATTGAATTTGAGGGCAGAACTCATGCTAACAAGGCCATGGTAAGCCATATATCCCCATCATGCAAGGTACCAAGAACATTGTGTCAACATGTCCTGGTGTTTCTGTGACTGATCAATATGCTGGAGGGCATACTACTTTCTGAGATGAAGAAGTCACCCTGGGGTGTTGTACTGAAGAATTGAAACCGTCAATACCAGAGGTTAGGAGCGCAGTGGCTGAACTCACGGCTCCAATGGTCTTGCAGAGGAGTTAAATGTGGTCATGGTAGTGATTGGTGAGCCGGGATTCTGAGCTCCATTCACATTGTTCCACTTCCTCTATAGATCAATGTTGAGGTGAATAATTACAGTTGTAATTATTGGGATTTTGCCTTATTTAATAATTCTGTCTTCCCCTCCCCCGTCTCCATTTTGAGGTGAATAGTTACTGTTGTACTGGGCCTGTTATTCTGGGATCACACACACACTGAAGTAAAGTGCAGAGCAGGCAGGTGCACGGTGGGAAATCGTTAATGTCTGGTCAATGGCTCTCTTGCAGTATATCCGTGTAGCAAATGACACAAAGCCTGAACACCTGCTCCATCTGATGGTGAAGGAATGGGAGCTGGAGCTTCCCAAGCTGCTCATCTCCATTCACGGTGGCCTCCAGAACTTTGAGCTGCAGCCCAAACTCAAACAGGTCTTTGGCAAGGGGCTGATCAAAGCCGCCGTGACCACAGGGGCTTGGATCGTCACAGCTGGAGTCAGCACAGGTCAGGAAGCAGTCATCAGATCCTTTCCTCTTCCATGGTTACTGTAACAATGTTCCTTTCCTATTCTTGCTATCTTTATCCTAATCAAATAGCAACCTTCCCTCTACACTCCAATGTACACACCTCCACAGGTGCAGATATGCATCACCCTATGGCTCCTAACCAAAGTCACAAGGAGGTTTGCACATGAGTGTTGAAGTGCCTCTGCTCTCTCCCTCTGTGTATCTCTATTTCTCCTGCATGGAAGCTCTTGATTCTTTGGGTACACAGTACTGAAGGGCATTGTCCCTGTGTCTCCTGCCAACCTTGGTGTCTGTGTGTATAAACGTTGTAGTTGAATATGATAAGATTAGGCTCCAGTAGTTTATTGGGTTTCAGGTGTAATACGTCATGTGGGAGATGCCTTGCAAGATCAACCTTCCAAATCGAGAGGAAGAATTTGTGCGATTGGACTTGCTCCCTGGGGGATAGTGGAAAACAGAATGGAATTAATCGGGAAAGATGTAAGTACAGTATCTGGTAATCTGTCCAAATAGCTTGTCTGCCCATTGAGGTCAAAAATGATTCAGTCCGTCCTTGTTCATTTTGTTCCCAGATGGGACTTTGCTAAAAGATTACTGAGAATACAGTGGTTGATTGCTGAACCACGATCCTGAGCTAGTTCTGCTCCATCTCCTTTGCAAACCAGATTTTTGCTTTATTCAATGACTGTGGTAGGATTTTGATGGCTTTGTTTTTACATTGTTGGCGCACTGAGGTGAATCGGTTGTTGTCCAGAACCATTCTCCACTTGGTCAGTATGTGTGGCTGGAACCACTAACCTGACTGAATATGTACAGATCCATTTTTGCTCTGGTGTAGTGTAATTCTCAGCTTCTGGTTCCAGATACCTGTCACTGTGTGGGGCGGGAGTTCCCTCTGCTTGTAAGTGAAAGATACGTTTATGAGAAGCTGGAGAGTTTGCAAGAACTGTGTCCATATTTATTGTAGACCTGGTTGGGCACCTGACTAATACCTGGCCAACCAGGCAGACAACAACAATAAAAACTTGCATTTATCATAGCACCCCCTCACACAGGGTAGCGTCCCTGAGCACTTGATAGACCATACTGCCACGCAGGATGACATTGAGCATGTGTCTGTTTCCCAGTGACGCACTAAGGAGGTTGGTGCAAATATTTAGCAGCCTTGAGCTGTGCTTCTGGTCCCATATTCAGGGCAGCAAGGTATTAGCTTCAGCCTTTGGAAGGTCCTAAGTTTGGGGCTAAGTGGAGCGGTGATAGATGAATTATAAATTTAAGACAGAGAATTTTTATAAGAGGAAAGCACTTGGGTTGTCAGGTTCCGAAGCTCCTTGTTAATATTATTATAATAATCCTTGCATTTGATATAGTGCCTTATCATGTCGGTGAAACATGTCAAAGCACTTTACAGAATATATTATAAAGTGGATTGACTGTGTATTTTGTGGGCGAAACAATACTTCTAGTTTATTACCAAACTAGAAGAAAAAGGAATTTTAAAAGGAGATGGACTCTCCAGGGGCAGAGCTTTTTAGAGTAGATGGGCATGGTTTGCAGTATTTTATAACTCATTTTGTTAATTAATATAAACTGTTCACCTGTATTTTTCACCTGGGCTTTATGACACAGAAATCTCAAGCATTGGTTCTGAATGTGGAGTAGGATCAGGGTTGTGCAAGGAAAGCCTCACACTGTGTATATGCTTTTGGGATTGCCTTTGGGGATGTGGGAATGTCTGCTCCGGTTTATCATGAGTGGGAAGTCCATGACCGGCTCTGGTCGGAGTGGACTTTATCATTCCCGGCTTTTTGTTCCGATACAACTACAGCCTTTCCTTGCTTGTTGTCAACAGGTCACAAGACCCTATCAAACCATGTTGAACCCGCTCAGCAAGCTCAGTGTGCTCAGCAGCACGCACACCCACTTCATCCTGGCTGACAACGGGACAGTGGGCAAGTACGGGGCGGAAGTCAAGCTCCGCCGTCAGCTGGAGAAATACGTGGCATTGCAGAAAATCAATACACGTAAGAAGCACTTCTAATTCCCAGTTTAAACTGTGCTCCACAGGACGAGACCTAATCCATAGGCTCTGACCCCGTGATCGTGTTGATGGATGTCCACAACTGTGTGACCTGTGGGTTTCCCTTTGTCATCCTATGCCTGGGAGTATCAGTGAGGCAGGGGGGACAAAGGGGTGCTCAGCTGTCAACTCCAACAGCAGCTACTGGCCTGGAGGTCTACATGGGGGACATTATATGGTCCTGCGACTTGCTGCCCTGTGAATTTGAATTGACAGAGAATGGAAACTGCGCTCATTACATCACTTTTGGGCAGATCACACTCTGCTACTAGTTTTTGTTTTAAAAGATCATTGGTTGTTTATTTGACTGGTAACATTATTATTTGAAGGGAAAGGCTGGCACTGCCATTGATAGCAAATGATGCTCACGCTGGAAAGCAGAATTGGTACATGTTGCAGGGAGACATAGGGTTTGTCACTGCCACCTCAATGTAACAGGAGCATAACAGATCCTGGCTATGTAACTGCTTCCTGCGAGAGATTCAGAGTGATGGGTAGCTAATGTTACGAGCAGCTCTAAGCTTTTGTAAATTGGGCTTTTAAAAGGGAATTAGATAAACGCTTGTGGAGGAAGGGAATTAGAGGATGTGGGGAACGAGCAGGGAATTAGGAAAGATTGCTTCATTGGAGGAGCAAACAACAAATTAATACAAGTTACAAGTGATGTATAACAAAAGTGTGGGTCCTAACAAAATGAGTCATTCTCTCAAGAAAAAAAGCTACCTAAATTAATGAAACTGAGCTCAAGCTCCATAGAAATTGATCTGTAAGTCCTTTCATGCAGGAGACATTCACTCAATCATTCTGGGCTGGAAATGAGTGGTGCTAGAAGCCTGACCCACTGCATTTGTCGCCCAGTTTCATTGTGTTGTGTGAGGTATGCTGGTGGCTTATGTTTGATTGAGGTGTTGTTTTGTACCCCAGGACTCGGACAGGGAGTGCCTGTGGTTTGCCTGATTGTGGAAGGTGGTCCGAATGTGATATCTATTGTTCTGGAGAGTCTCCGGGAAGATCCTCCTGTGCCAGTGGTGGTCTGTGATGGCAGTGGGCGAGCCTCAGACATACTGGCCTTTGCGCACAAGTACTCGAAGGAGGAAGGGTATGTTCAATGTTATTCCACCCCCACACGTTGCATTGTTGTAGTAACAGAGACGTAACAGACAAAAATCTAATTTCTCACTGAGATAAATTGAGGGGGAAGGTTAGCAGTTAGGCTTAGTTGGCCTTGCCTCCGAGTCAGGAAGTTGTGGGTTCAAGCCACACATTAGGGACTTTTAGTTCTTTGTCTGGGTTGTTGTTCCAATGGAGTGTTGTGTTATCGGAGATGACATTCTTTAGAAGAGGCATTAAACTGAGGTGCTGTCTGCCTATTGCAGTGTTGCCCACCCCACAGCACTGCATTGGAGTGTCAGCCCAGACTAATATGAGTTTCAAGTCCCGAAGTGGGGCTTGAATTCAGAGGCAAGAGTGCTATCAACTGAGTCAGGCTGACACAACAAGGTTAGTACCAATGTGATTCACTGAACTAAATAGTCTTCTATGCTGTAAATTTTCTATGGTTCTACGTTTGCTGAGTGTTGGGCAATGCTGGTTAAATCTGTAGCAGTCAGATTTATATTGCACCTTACACTGGCATTCTGCCGATTGTTATCATGCTGGCACTGTTAATCAATCCCAGGCTGGCACTGTGCCTATCAATCAATTCCACACTGGCACTGTGCCTACGTTTAATACACTTGCACTATTGGGAATAAATAATCAGTTGTGAAGTCACTTTGTTGCTTAGAAAGCCATCTCCTTCTAGGGTAGGTTTAGGTGCCAATCTGGTCCTCTTGGTAGCACTCTCTACCCTGAGTCAGAAGGTTGTCAGTTTAAGCCCCACGTGGGGACTTTGAATTCACTGTCGAGACTGACGCTCTTAATAAAGGGGGTGTTGCTTTTGTCAGAAGTTGCATCCTTTGGATGAGTCATTATATCAGGACCTGTCTGCCCAGACATTAAAGATTCCATGGCACTACTCAAAAAAAGAGAATTTCTCCTGGTGTGTTTGTTGTTCAGCAATCCCCAGGACAAACATTCATTCACTTAATGGCTGTTTGGGGAAACATCAGTGAGTACAAATAAGCTGACGTATTCGCCTTCAAAATACACAATCATTGTAGTTTAAGCTCAATCCTGTAAAGTTCTTTTTTGACATCCTCCTAATGTGAAAGGCCCTATATCAAATGCTCAGAATCATTTATTTTATTTTTCCCCTCGGCATCTACTCTGTTCTCGGGCTTTGTTTCTTCCTCATGCAGCATAATCAATGAAGCCGTTCGAGACCAGCTCATGATCACTCTCCAGAAAACCTTCAACTCCAGCCGTACCCAGGCCCAGCAGCTCTTTGTGTTGGTCATGGAATGTATGAAGAAGAAGGAACTGGTGAGTGTTGTGGAGGCAATGCTGAAAGAAGGGATAAGTCATGTTCTGGGATCTGTCACTTTCCACCCAAAATGTTTGTTGAGAATGTGAAAGAGAATTGTGTGCGCTTCTTGCCTGAAGCTGAGTTTATAGAGAAAGCCAGCCCCAAGTACCATCCCTTGCAAGTGAGCTGAACTTAGCTGAAGTAGCTGTCAGTTAGCCCAAGTCTCTAGTTTAAGGAGGGAAAAATCAACCAGAGTACCTTCTCTCCATCACTGTTCACTGACCCCTGCTAGAGGTGTATGTGTCGAGTCAGATGAGGACAGGATTGGCCAATGCCCATCAGAGTCAAATACCCTCCTAACACTCACTGTCTGGGAACCATTACAACTTGCACTTATGTGCCTCTTGCGTGCAGCGTGAAGTTTCACAGCACTTTACGGAGGCGATGTGGTTCACTGAGCAGGATGGGAAGAAGAATGCTTGAGAATGTTGACATTCTCAATCAGAAAGATTTGTTTTCAAGAAGTTGCTGAGGTGTAAGTTGAAGAGATTTTTTGAGACAGTTCCAGAGTGCGGAGCACGGTGACAGAAATTGTTTTTGAAGTTGATGTCCTCAAATGAATCCCAAGTAATGAACCAAGGAATGATATTTGGAAAACATTTCCCCACAGATCACTGTTTTCCGGTTAGGTTCAGAAAGTCAGCAGGACATTGACCTTGCAATTTTGACAGCATTACTGAAAGGTATGTATATCATTGCAGCGCACAGTGTCTTAGGAAATAGAATACCTGATCTAGAGCAGCGTTTGAAGCAGAAACCGTATTAGTTTTTAAGAGAGAATTACATACATATTTGAAAAGGAGAAATCGTAAAAGGATCTGGAGAATAGGCTGTATAATGACCTGAGCCAGGCTGGTATTTGGGTGTCACTGGGTCAGAAGATTGTGGGTTCAAGCCCTATATTAAATTCATAGCAGGGCAGGCGGAGGTTTGTACTGTTGGAGGTGCCAGATAAGATATTAAACGGAATTGCCATCTACCTGTTCAGATGGACATTAAAGATGGAACACGCCTCACTAGTTTCATCCAGTGTCATGGCCAACAATTCTCCAGATAAAATTGATCATTTACTTCATGGCTGTATGCGGGATATTGCAATGTGCAAATTGGCGGCTGGGTTTGCCTACAAATAAGTAGTGACTACTCTTTGCAGTTGTAAAGCGCTTTCTGATGTTCTAGGTGTTATTTATTATACTGCACAGCGTGTGCTTGATTTAGTTTTGACATTACTTTCTCCATCACAGGCACGAACGCCTCTCCCCCTGATCAGCTGAGCTTGGCACTCGCCTGGAACCGTGTGGACATTGCCCGCAGTCAGATCTTTGTCTTTGGCAATTGTTGGCCGGTAATCCCCTTTCGTGTTGTGAGAGATTAGGATTTGGGAATATGTGTCATATATTGACTGAGTGCATCAGAACATTTCTCTTCATGTGACTTGTTAGAGCTGCTACCCTGGTCGTTGCTCGTCTGAACTTTTCTCTTGTTCATCCCAAACTTCAATACAGAACCTTACACACTTACCTCCCTGCCTCCTCGTCTCACTCGCTCTGCCCAAGAATTTTAAAATTATAGAACTCTTCACCTCCCTTTCTGCTTTTATCCTTCTACAATATAATCTTTTAAACCCAAATTTGGCGGCATCGATCCACTACTTCTTTATTTTCTTGTCTTCTCTGCTGCTCTTTCTGCCCTTGTCTTACTATGCATTTCAATAATAGGATGTACTGTTGTCTGAGTCGCTGCTTCAAACCATATCTGTGCCACATCCCCTCTTTGTTTCAGCCCATGATCAACATCACGAAGGACCAGGAGAAGGAGAAATCTTCTGCCCCCAAAGCAAAACCAGCGAAGGTGAAGGGAAAAGGAAAGAAAAAGGGGAAAAGCAAGAGTCCTGTGGAAGAGGAGACTGATCCCAGGAAACTGGAACTGTTGAACTGGGTGAGAACCCTGTGTTTGCTCTGTTAGTTCTCAGTTAGTTTTGCTGCTCAGTGATGTAAAGCATTTAACTTTTCTTTCTCTAGGGTTGTGCAGGTGCTCTGAGATGCTGTCCTGTGTGAAGGCTGCTATATAAATGCGAGTTGTTATTGTTGTAGGTGAACTCCCTCGAACAGGCCATGATGGATGCTCTGGTACTGGACAGGATGGACTTTGTGAAGTTACTGATAGAAAATGGAGTGAATATACACAACTTCCTAACCATTCCACGCTTGGAAGAGCTCTACAACACGGTGAGTCCACCCACTCCCCACTCCACCATGGGCACCGGTTCTGTAAAATCCATTAGATTTTACAACCCCAGAGGCAACAGAGAGCTGACGTCTTAAAGTGGCATTGACCTTCTTTAATCAAACAGCGTTGCGCATACTTGCTTTTTGTTTCCTAACCAAGCTCGGAACCCAATGATGTGAATCTTGTATAAGCGTCCCCTTTGTCTGATGCTGTTGTAACTTAAAGCTTTCCTGGCTTTTCCCTTCCCTACAAATAGGCTCAGTGACCCCTGGGTTATGGAGTGGGAGGGGAATGAGCTTACTGAAATGATCAATGATCACTTATTGGAAGGCATGTGTATGGGCTTTGGATGAAGACAAGATGGGGCTCGGCTTACCCCCAAAATTGAACGCCCTGCTGACACTCACTGTCTGCATGAACATTAGCTGTGGTCCTATTGCCCAGCATGAATTAGGAAGGAGAAGGGGAATAAAATGTTTTGACTGTAAATCTCCTTTGTATTCCAGAAACTGGGTCCTCCCAACACTCTTCATTACTTGGTCAGGGATGTCAAAAAGGTAACCGGTTTCATTGAAATGGGTGGTTTCCAATTATGCTCCTCACTTAAAATCACCTTCTTTTTGTGGTCTTTAATTGTGAGAAACCTAAATGCACATGTCTTACATCTCCATTCCTGCTTGACACGTGTTCATCTCTTCCACTCGATCTGCAGTTTTTGTGTGAATCGCTTTCCTCCTCCTCCCCAGTTTATTGTATCTTTATTGTCACTTACACCTCAGCTTGTTGCCCCTCCACCTCTCCCTTCACAACTCAGCATACCAGTGGAGGTGTGATTCAACTAGGGCTAAGAAACAGTGTGCAAAGTATCTTCTTCATTTGACATGGGTTATCTGAGCTATTTAATATAACATTAAGACATGATAACATATAACATATAACATCAAGCATAAACCTGGTCTTAAATGTTATATTAAATAGCGCAGAGTAGAGAAAGTCCAGTCCCTGAGAGTGGGAGAGATGCTGTGCTGACTTGCGCATGTGGACAGCAAGGCTTTCTCATGGATAATAATGCTCCATAATCATACAGAGCGATTTTACCTTTGGAGACCCACAGCCATTTTGACTTGTGAATACCTAGCATTTAAAACAACAAAAATATTGATCCTTGTTAACAGCCATCTGTGGTCCACAATCTGTGAGCAGGAGGAGAGCTGAGCTGGGTAGCCGGTGTTTTCTGGCTCGTTTCCCATTCTATTGTAGAACATGTTTCCACTTGTGGGGGAAGATCAAAACCAGGGGCCATCAATATAAAGTAGTCACAAATAGATCAAATAGGGAAGTTAGAAGAAATTTCTTCCCACAGAGAGTAGTGGGAATGTGGAACATGCTACCACAAGGAATTGTTGAGGCAAATAGCATAGATGTATTTAAGGGAAAGCTAGATCGGTACATGAGGGAGAACGAAATAGAAGGTTATGCTTGAAGGCTTAGTTGATGAAGGGCAGGAGGAGGCTCATGTGGAGCGTAAACACCGGCATAGACCAGTTGAGCCAAACGACCTGTTTCTGTGCTGTATATTCTAATGAATTCTAATGTAACACTTTGCTGTTGTGTGCTGCTTCAGTCCTCTAGTCTGGTTGGTGATCCGTTCACTCTTCCGCTTCTGGGCTGATCTGTTGTGGTTTGTTCTTGTGTTAATTCTTTGTGTTTAGCCGACACTGCCATTTCTGTTTCATTTAGTCTTGCACCTGTGGGGGTATATCTGCATTTATGTACTCTGTGTGTGTGGGTGTGTCTGTTTCATTGTATGTATTCCCTGTCAATGTGGAAACATGTTCTACAATAGAATGGGAAACGAGCCAAAAACACCGGCTACCCAGCTCAGCTCTCCTCCTGCTCACAGATTGTGTGAATTGAGTGAGCATGTGTTAGGATGCGAATGTGTATTCTATGTTGTTGTATTTGGTTCTGCGTCATTGTATTTCTATGTATTCTCTGTATGTGTATTGTCTGTACAACACATTGTTTCACATGTTCATAATGTTCTTCTCATTCAATGCCATCACCCGATGATTTAATCAGCGACGATACAAAGCTGGGTTAATAAGGTGATAGTCTTCTTCTACTATCTGGTAGACGTGCCTAGACTCACCTGGTGCCAGAAAGGAGGAAGCAGTCACATTAAAGAGCTGTGTGCCATCATCAAACTCTGATTCTGAGATCCTGCCCCACTTACAACAGACAGATCGGAAACATCCCAAATTCCAACCTGATTGCCTCTGAGGCAGTAATAGGGGCAATGCAGTTAGTCTCAGTAATCCCTGGGCTGGAGTGGAAAATTATCAGCTAGAGTTCCTGATCAGTAAAATACCTATCAGGAAGGTGCATGTACAGGACCAGGATGTTGAGCAGGTTCAGGCTCATCACTGATGCTTCCCATTATCAAATAGTCACTGACTGGGCTCACACATAAACAATGCCAATGTACCAGAGGGCGGCTGGTGTCCATAGAACAACAAGAGAGAAAGGGGAGAAAAGTGTGTGTGTGGGGGGGGGGAGAGTGTCTTGGGGTATATCAGTTTTATTGACCTCCTCTCCCTAGCCTGGCAATGCTGGTCAGTGAGGTTAGCATAACACCATAGCAATTATTTATGCACAGCTGGACAATGCTGTGAGTAGCCTTACATATGGCACATAGTTCTTTTAAGAAGCTTAAATCGATAGAAATTATTTCATGGTGTGTTGTATGTATAATGATTGGGGATAATAGGGGGTGTTAGAGAAGGGGGTGGGGAGGTATTAGCAGGGTATAGTAAATGAGGAGCTATAGCAGGGAGGTGCGCAAAGTAGAAGGATATAGTGGGGATAGTCCCGGGAAATGTTATAAGTGGGGCTGGGGGAGGGGGGATGAGAAAGTATGGCATGGGAGTATTAACGCAATAAGTGTTGGTGGGTCTGGGGGATGTTCAATGTTAATGGGGTCGGGATTAGCGGGAGTATTAGTGGATAGTGGAGGGCAGTTTTTGCAGGGATGTAAGGGGATGTTAGCAGAGAATTCTTAGTGGTGTATAGAGGATATTGTGCAATGGGATATTATCATTGGGTGTAGTGGGGGAGTTAGCAGGTGGGTATAATAAGGTGTTAGCAGGAGTGGGAATCTTACAGGCACTCTGGGTTGGGGTGGTAGCCACTTTAATCTGCCGCTCTACCCCACAGGGCAATCTGCCTCCGGATTACCACATCAGTCTGATAGACATTGGCCTGGTGATGGAGTACCTCATGGGTGGAGCGTATCGCTGCAACTACACCCGCAAATCTTTCCGCAGCCTATACAACAATCTGTTCGGACCAAAGAGGGCAAGTAGCCACCACCTGTAATGTGAAACATACAGTATATCTGCCATGTTACACTGAGTGACCCTGCTATCAGGTTTAACTCTCCCCTCTGCCCCCCACACACACAACGAGGCAGGCTGTGTGGAGAGTGGTATTTCCCTCATTTTCCCACCTGAAGAGGTAGCGAGGCAGCCCTGTGCACGCACAACTCTGGCCTATTTGTCCCTACGTTCATCCTCTGCTTTCAGTTGTACTGCAGCCTCTCACTCCAGTACAAGCAGGAGGAGCTTCTTCAAATCTCAGACAAGAGACTGAAGCTGTGCTCTGCTGTACAGGCAGTGGCTGCTTCATAACCTAGTTAATTCCTCTTCCTTCACTGTGAAATGGAACCTCTGGAGCTCCACAGAGCCCGACTGTGCCCATGTGGGTTTTGCAGCTGTAACTGTTAACCTGTGAGTGAACTGGATTAAAATCAAACTGTAAGCGTTTGGGTTTTACCTAGTCAACCTGTTTTCCTCTTTCAAACTTGCCTCTGGTGCATGAGTGTTCATGTGTTTTGTTCTCTTTCCATACAGCCAAAGGCTCTTAAACTGCTGGGAATGGAGGTAAGTCATTCTGTGCAGCCTTTGTGCAGTGGCTTGTTTTACTTGAAAATAATTATGTTTTGATTGAACGCAATAATGCTTTGAGATCCATCACAGCCCCTCTCTCTCTCTCCCCACTCATGGCTTTTCTCCCTCTAGGACCAATGTTGTGCTCCAGTCGCTCCCTCATGCCTCTAGTGTTTCTCCTGCTGCCCATCCCCAGCCAGCCCTTGTCGGAGACTATGCACCTCCTGCTCTTCCTCATTTCCATAGCGAGTCAAGACCAACTTCTTAATTCAAGGTGATAATTTACATAATGTTGCTCCAAATGATCAAGAAGGCTAATGGGATGCTGGGCTTTATCACAAGAGGTGTGAAGTATAAGAGCAAGGAAGTACTGCTGCATGTTGTATGGATTGTTGGTCAGAACGTGGGAGTATAGTACAGAACCTGATATTCGCACCATTTGAGACCAGGCCCACTGTGGATTTCTGGTTACGAGGTTTTTATACATATATAACAGTAACCAAAACATTTTGCACCAGGAATTACACCGTCATTAAAGTGCCACACAGTGTTGTCCTTTCTCTTGCTCTCTTTTCAGATCTCCCTACATAATGTCAGCCCTTATTTCTCTCTGACTCTCTCTGTTTCAGTCTTGTTCTGTGCCTTTGATTGCAGACGATATATAGAGCAGGAGTTCTGCAGGCTTACCCTGTGAGTGCCCTTGGCATGGGTGGTTCTGGCTGAACCCACAGGTGTGCTTCTTGCGCATGGACTTCACTTATTTTCTGATGACTCTTAACAGGATGACGAACCCCCTACCAAAGGGAAGAAAAAGAAGAAGAAAAAGGAGGAGGAGTTTGACATCGACCTGGATGACCCTATGGTCAGCCGCTTCCCTTTCCCCTTCCACGAGCTGCTGGTGTGGGCGGTACTGATGAAGCGGCAGAAGATGGCTTTGTTCTTCTGGCAGCACGGCGAGGAAGCCATGGCCAAGGCTCTGGTGGCCTGCAAGCTCTACAAAGCCATGTCGCACGAGTGCTCTGAAAGCGAGCTGGTGGATGACGTCTTTCAGGACCTTGACAACAGCTCAAAGTCAGTGACATTTATTCTAATCGTATCCAGTACTGTCTTGCTATAATTTAGTCACAGTTACCAGCACGTGGTGTGCTGAAGATCTGCCTCTTTGGGCTTACATTGGCCCAATCCCCAAACTGAGGATTTAATTCCATCTGTCAGCCACACTGGTGGCCTCTCTCCTCCCCTCCTTGTTTTACTTTGGTTGTTTCTGGCCCAGTTGACAGACCAGTAAAAGATTGTGCCCTGGTTCTGTTGTATAACCCCTACCAGACCAGTCTCTTACATATGATACAATCAGTGTTGTGGTGGGAACATTGCTCTCCACCTCACATAATAGTTTTATCATTATTATATTAAGCAGTCTATAGGATAAATACTTGTGTTTTTTATTGTGACAAAATCTGGGAATTTGATAGAAAACCAAGATGATGCAAGCTGAGTTAGAGGTGATTAAGAGTCCTGTTTAAGAAGATTTTGATTCAATGCAGTGAGAAGTCAATCCCATCATTGATAAGGTTGACTTGTGATCTGTTTCGAATAATAAAGGCAAATGTCTTTCTTCTGCATTCTGGGGTAATCGCTCTTTCTCTTGGTCTGTTCCCAGAGACTTTGGGCAATTGGCGATTGATTTGTTGGACCAGTCCTACAAGCACGATGAGCAGGTTGCTATGAAACTCCTGACCTATGAGCTGAAGCACTGGAGTGGCTCCACCTGCCTGAAGCTGGCAGTGGCAGCTAAACACCGGGACTTCATAGCGCACACCTGCAGTCAGATGCTGCTCAGCGACATGTGGATGGGGCGGCTCCGGATGCGCAAGAACCCAGGTCTTAAGGTGTGTGACACACCTGTTCAGTCTAACTTGCAGTTTGCAGGTGTAACGCATCAGTCTTTCTAGGTAAACGTCCAAATTAAATGTAAAATTACCATCTGGGTGGAGGATGGTTCTGATTATTTTGTTCTCCATGATCTTTGCCTGTCTCCAGTGCATAAATAATAAATAACTAAGTAAGTAAGTAAGTAAATAAACAAACAAATAACCAATCAAACAATCAATCAATTACTCACTCTTGCATATAATTCAGCAAAGCTTTCCTTTGGTTTCTTTTTATACACTTTGGGGAATCAAACAATGATTTTGACTATAATCTTACACCTCTCGCTGCTGTAATCTGTGACATGTGCCACAGTAGCTGAAGGGAGCGTTGGTGGTAAATTAATGAAATGGGAAAGATATTCCACTCTGTATCAGCTGAAAGGCAGTGTTGTTCTCAGTGTTGGGTATGCCTGCTATGACCTGCCTTGTGTTTATTCCAGGTGATGCTGGGGATCATATTCCCGCCTGCCATCCTCTTCCAGGAGTTCAAAACCAGCGACGACATGTCTTACGAAGACTGTGGAGTCACCGAGGAAGGGAAAGAAAAGGAGGAAGATAATGTATGTGTCAGGAATGTCTGTTGCATTGTCCTGTGGGTGTTTGCTTCAATGTTTCTCTGCTGTCACCAATTCTCTACCTTTTCATAGAACTGTTCTAGCCCTTCTGCCTCTTGGTGAGAAGTCAGAGCTATTTGTGTTCTGAACATTTGAGCAGTAATGACTCACTAGTCATTTGCCTTCCTATGAAGTAGCATTCAGCACAGTGAGGGACAGGACTGTGTTGATATCAGTAATTGGCTGCCAATTATGGCCAGTTAATAACAGTCCCTTAAATTGATCTGAGTCAGCTAAGTGCTAAGCCCATTCAACCATGAGCTCACAAACTACTGATCCAGGCACTATGAATGGTTCCTCGAGGTACTGACTAGATTGAAGGATAAGGTGAGAAGCTGAGGCTAGTGTATGAAAAAGAACAGTTTTGCTGGGTCTAACAACTCTCTTATTGCAGGTCATTAAAATGCTTCGCTCGGATTCACTTGCCTGTGTGCTTGTGACCTAGAGCATTGTAAGGTAGAACCTTTCAACACGAACCACCCAGATCTGTTGCCTTGCAACATGCTTGCCCACAATCATAGGAGGCCACTGCTATTGTTGTGGAGAAATCCATGGTACTGAATAGCCACAAGCTCCTTGCTGGTGGAGAGGCAAAAATCTGAAGTAATTCAGAGTTCTGCTGTGATGGTATAAAGCAGTTGTTGATGTGTAAGGAAGACTCCCTGGTCGGGGACACAGCTCACGTTTTGTTCACTCCACAGGATGCTGATGCTTTATCCAGAAAGGGAGATGAAGAAGAAGGGAAGAGAAAACATAAGAGCATCCCGATAGGAAAGAAGGTTTACGAGTTCTACAACGCACCCATTGTCAAATTCTGGTTTCACACAGTAAGTTTCCTTGTACAGATTAATCCATCGCTCAACTCCCTCATGTTGTGTGCCATGAACCTTGCTGGCTGCTATGGCTACTTGCAAAATCAGTCACTACACTTGCCAATAATTACTATGGAGCCCTTTGAAAATGTTTCACTGTGGAATGGTGCTATAATATGCCAGTTCTTTTTTTCTTTCTTTACAACTCGGGTAATGGGGAGGGTATTTGTGATGGAGTTGTGGAAAATTAAACACTGACCAACTCTGAAGTGTTGTTCGCCAATCTGTGAGAATCAAAGTTTTAAAGGGTTGTATGTTTCTATTTTACTTAACTCTAGTTTCCAGGTAGACAGGTAGAAGCTTTACATTCACAGGTTTTGAAAGTTGCTGGGAAAATTTCCATCGGAAATGTCGAACTGAAATATTTATTCAATTTGAAATATTCAACACCTTCAGGGAATCAGTGTCCTTTTTAGGAGGGATTACATTTACATTACATTAAATAAATGGACAGCTCTTTCAGATAGCTGGCGCATGCATACCGAGCCAAATGACCTCTGTCTGTGCTGTAATCTTCTCTGAGTCTATAATTACAGTAGTGGGTGGCTTTTAAAGTCTGTTCTGTTGCAGCTGGCATATCTCAGTTTCCTGCTACTGTACAATTACGTCATCTTGGTGAAAATGGAAGCCATGCCTACAATTCAAGAGTGGGTACTCATTTCCTACATCATTACACTATCCATCGAGAAAATCCGAGAGGTAAGCGGAGATGTGAGGTGCTGATCATTGAGAACCTGAACCAATTCCACTCACTAAACCCATCTGTTCATTAAATGTTAATCCTGGATTTCAGGTCCTGGTGTCGGAGCCGAGTAAACTGAAGCAGAAGATCAAGGTGTGGCTGCAGGAGTACTGGAATATCACGGACATGGTTGCCATCACCATCTTCAACATTGGCGTTGTACTCCGCCTCCAGAACCAGCCCTACATGAGTTACGGCCGGGTCATCTACTGCGTGGACATCATCATTTGGTACATCCGTGTGTTGGACATATTCGGCGTTAACAAGTACCTGGGCCCTTACGTCATGATGATTGGGAAAATGGTGAGCTCAAAAGATCCTCCCACACACTGGAACCCACCCCCCCACCCCCCCACCAAGTCCTTGAGACATCATTTCATCCCTCTCCACTAGCATTTTGCCCCTATTATATTTTCCGTTTCAAAATCTATACCCGATGCAAACGTTATAATGCTTTATTTAAATAGTTTAACTAGGATTTTTGTTTGGCCATTCTGTGATGTTAAGAATGAATCCTAACTTTTTTTTGCATTCAATCATAAATTGATGCCCACAATTCACCCAGTGGTGGAAATAGTTGTGTCCCATTTACCCTATCAAAACCTCTCATATTTGTATGCATGTAGCAGCGAGTACTGATTTGAACCAAGGACCTTGTGTTTCAATGGTAAATAGGCTAAACTATCGGTGGAGGTTGTGTGTCTGTGTGAATGTGTCTTCACTGATGCCTTCATGCTGACACTAATGTGCTGATGCTCTGTGTGTGAACCTTGCCTTATAGATGTTGGATATGCTGTATTTTGTGGTGATCATGCTTGTGGTGCTGATGAGCTTTGGTGTGGCGAGGCAAGCTATCCTACACCCTGACGAGGAGCCTTCCTGGAGATTAGCTCGGAATATATTCTACATGCCTTACTGGATGATCTACGGAGAGGTGTTTGCGGATCAGATAGACCGTAAGAATAGAATTAATAGTAAGGCTCTGATTCCCGTTACTGGAGCAGATGATAAGTTACCATGATTACAGTAAAACTCACAAAAGTCTGATCTATATAAATCTTATAATTGCCTAAGTTATATATTTGCCCAAGTCCCGTTCAACAGTTTATAATCTATGTAAATTTGACATAACTCATACTTTACATAAGTCATATTAAATGTATGGTCCCAACCAGTACGACTTGTGTGAGATTCACTGTGTGAGATTCATCCCTGCAACTGCTGTGTTAATTCCACCATTAGCTTCCACCACTGACTCTCCAACTAAAGGAAATTAGTTGTCCTATATTAAATATCCAATATGTGTAACATCACCAATAATAAAAATACATCTATTCTGTCCATCTTTCCACATCCACTTTCCCCACTGATGTTTCTCCTGTCGTTTCCTGGAGATGCTGACACGTGCTGGACAGTTCCAAAGATACCATATGCCCTCCAGCTCGCTCATGTGTGATCACAGAAGCACCTCAGCTCCCATCGTGTTCTCATCTGATTTTCACAAACCTGCACCACGGGTCCTGGACAGTGATCAGGAGTGGGACTTCTAGCCTTTCCCTCACTAAACCAGGGGCATTGAGACCAATTATAGCCATCCCACTTCTAAAATCAGTAACAGCGCAGAGCAGGGATTGAACACAAGACCATCCAGATCTATGTGATGTCAGTTCACTCAACGTGCAAGACATTTGCCCACACACCCTGAGGGAGGCTGATTTCTCTTCAACAAATTGAGGCTTTATCCCTGTGACACTCTATAGCAACTGGAGATGAGGTTTTACAAGAACACAGGAGCATTAGATCACAGAGAACCTGCTGATTCCAGCGAGTTCAATGCTATGATTAAATCTGATGCAATCAGCTAGTCTTAGTCCCAAATCATCAGAAAGGGAAGGATAAATTGTTTTCCATCCCTGGGAATGTTAATGAAATGAAAATAATTTGAAAGAAATGTGAATTGAGTTACTATGACTAGATAAGCTGAATAAACAAACATTCTGTAATCTTTGAAATACGTTGTACCCAGATTTACAGTGGACCGTGTTGCAGAGACTAGCTAAATGTTACATGTGAGGTGCTGTCACATTTTGTGTCCGTCTGGCTCAGTGGTAGCACTCTTGTCTCTGAGTTGGAAAGTTGGGGTTCAAGCCCTACATCAGGACTTGAACGCACATAGTCTAAGCTGACACTCTAATGCAGTGCTAGGGGTGAGCTGCACTGTTGCAGATGCTGTCCTTCGGATAAGACATTAAATCGAGATCCTGTCTTGTCTACCTGCTCAGGGGGACATTAAAGATCCCATGGGACTATTCGAAAAGAAAAGCTAGTTTCTCCTGGTTTCCTGGCCATCAATCCGCCAAAATAAAATTTGTCACTCAATCCATGGCTGTTTGTGGGACCTTGCTGTGCACAATTAGTGCTGCTTTTGCCTAAAACTACTCAGACACGCCACATCACAGTAAATCCTATGAAGTGCTTTGGGACATCCTCCTGACGTGAAAGGCACTATACCAAATGCAAGAAAGGATGGTTATTATTATGGGGAAGGAGAGGGAGTTTTTTGTTGCAAACGTTCAACGTTTTCTGTCAGTTGCAGAAATTGTGTGTGAACCAACATTGCCACTTCCAGCCAGTGCTGCTCTGCAGAAGGATTAGTGGTTAGTTGGTGGCAGTGTAGGGCATGCAAATGTGTGGTTCATGGCACTGTGCCTGCCTTATTCTCCGAGGCACCATCTCACATGCTCCAAGTTTGGGTTTCAAGATCTCAAGACATTTCAGTTTGAACTATGCCCTGAGTGTTTGATATTTTGTGATAATATTTCCTTTGTTTACCATCTCCTTCTCTTTGCTGCTTCACCGTGACGGATTCTTATACTAGTGTATGCCATGGAAATCAACCGTGAGTATCTGAAACAGTGGGAGCGTCTGGGGGGGGCGGTGGTGGTTGGGTGTGCATGGAGGGGCAGTTGTGGAGGAAGGGAAGGATTTGGGTGTTGTGTGCATGTGGTGTTGTAATTTATGTGTGACCAAAGGTTTAAAAAAAAATAGCTTTAGTGAGTAGAGGGCTTGTGACCAGGATAAACATGTTAGAATAAAACTGCAATAGGGAAGGACAAATTTTGAATACAACACCAGTATGATTCTGTGACTTTGTGCTGATTGTATAAATGTATAACTTCTTCTATCCCAGCACCTTGTGGAGAGAATCTGTTTGATGAAGATGGTAAGAGGATGCCACCTTGTATCCCGGGTGCTTGGATCATTCCAGCCATCATGGCTTGTTATCTGCTGGTGGCCAACATTCTGCTTGTAAATCTGCTCATAGCTGTCTTCAAGTAAGGTTCAGTGCAATGTCTCACACCTTCGCTATCTAACCTTACAACATCTCCTCACCTCATGTTCTAACCGGGCAATGTCTTATGCCCTTGTGTTCTAATTGTGTAATGTTCCATTTGCTCATGTTAAAACTATGCAACGTCTCATGTTTTATTTGTTCAATTTCACACTTAATTGCAATGTTTCACTCCAGTGTTTTTACCCATTTATTTCACCACTCACCCATAGCCTACTTTTGTCTTCTACGGTCAGATGTACTGTACACTACTGCATTACATCTGACTGCTGCACAATCAGTGTCTGCTCTGATTGTTGCACACTGGGCCTCTGCCCCACCTTCTACTGACCTATCTATATTTTTTCTCTGCAGTAATACTTTCTTGGAAGTCATTTCCATCTCGAACCAGGTGTGGAAGTTCCAGCGGTATCAGCTGATCATGACATTTCACCAAAGGCCGGTCTTTCCTCCACCGATCATCATCTTTAGCTACGTGTCCATGATCATTCACCGCTTCTGCTTTTGCTGTAGGAAAGACAGTGAGATTGATGAACGAGATCGAGGGCTAAGTGCGTACACTTAAGATTTTATTTACTTAAAAAAAGTCTATAAACGTTTACATTCTGCATTTTTTTTTTGCAATGTCTGTCTGCAGTTCGATGAAAATCCATTTTCACTGATGAACTTTTTTTTAACTTTTTTGTTAAATCATTTTTAATCTGAATTCCAGGTTGCCAGGGCTGTCACTCCATAGGAGTATTCAAGGAGGTCTGAGTTGAAGCAGGATTTAAAGACTGGGAGGAGAGGGGTTGAGCCAGAGTGTTAGACGGAGGGATTTCTAGAGAGTAGGGATGTAGGAGCTGAAGGCTTGGCTACTGAGAGAGCAGGGGTTATGCAACAGAACCGAGTATGGCGAATGTATATACTCTCTGACTCGAGCAAACCCTTCAGATCCACTTCCCCTTTTCTTACTTGACAACCATCGATTAATTAACCCGCCCTTTCTCCAGCATCTTGGGAGTCGTCCCGACGTGAAAGGCACTAAACTAATGAAATTTGTTGTTGTTTTTCTCACTACAGAGCTGATACTGAGCGAGGAGGAATTGAAAAAGCTGAATGAGTTTGAGGAACAATGTGTGGAGTCGTTATTTGCAGAGAAGGAAGACCGGGAGCTGTCATCCAACCAAGAGCTTGTTCGGATTACAGCAGACAGGTAATCAGCTGAGGGCTCTCTGTCATTGAGATAATTATCTTTAGATTCAGGGGAATAAACAATGAAATAACAATAATAATCCTTGCATTTGATATAGCGCCTATTACATCTTTGGGACGTCTCAAAGCGCTATATACCGTAAAGTGAATTGACTATATTTTGTGGGCAAACCATGGCAGCCAATTGGGCAAAGCAGTGGAAGCCCTCAATGGAGGCAACAATTCATAAGACATTTGGATATCAGCCTGGTACAGGTCTGGGTGTCAGCTGATGACCCAGCTAAAGGGTAATGAAGATGTACAGTAACTGCTCCAGGGACCTCGGGACAAGCTCAAATAAATAAATAGAGGAGACCAGAGGCCTTAAAATCATCATATTCTCAGCCTTAAGATCATTTGCCTCCAAAAACCCTCACTAAAATGGACAATATTTACTTTGAAACACTTTGAGGCATTTTGAAAAGTTCTTTAATTCTCTTGTGTCCTAAAAACTTTTGGAAAATTCTTAAATTCAGTATTAGTTTTGCAACCGTATTTCTGCTGGTCTGTTAAAGAACCGATGAAAACCAGCTTCCAAGTTAAGACTGTATTTAAGAATTTTCCAAGATGCATGATCTTAAATTTTAAGATGATTATTTTACAACTGAAGCGATGAAGACGTCCAGGAGTTTCACTTGTACTCGTCCTGGATTTAATAGTCAGAGCTAATGTCAGAAGGTGAACACCAAGCTTATTGAATAGATTAATTGCAGATGAAACCCAATCCTTAGCGCATGGCTGTATGTTGTTAGCACACATTTAAAGGATGTTTACTGTAACTAATGCCTATCTGAGAAAGGGTAGCAATGCACTTAGAATGTGATCTTGTCTTGATATTTCAGAGTGGAGAATATGGCCATGAGGCTGGAGGAGGTGAACGAGAGGGAACACTTCATGAAAGCTTCACTGCAAACGGTGGACCTTCGGCTGGCCCAGCTGGAGGAGTTCACGAGCCGCATGGTTAATGCACTGGAAAAGCTGTCAGGCATAGACAAAACCGAGCTGCGCCGCACTCACTCCAGGTGTCCCTCGGAGTATGACACTGCGCCATACCTGTTGAGACAGAGCAGCATAAACAGCACAGAGGGTTTCCATCGCTACCACATGGAGGCCGATGATTCTCCCTTTGATGAGGGAACTGGCCAATTGTCCCTGGCGATCGAGTCTCATGGAAGAACCAGCTCCATAAAATTGAGAGAGGAGAAAGCGTTTGGAGAAGGGATGAGACATCTGACTCCAGACTGGCACTTTGGTCTGCACCGTGCTGCCAGTACTCACTCCATAGGATTGGCAGGAAGTCGGAAAAACTTGGCAGTGTTACCTGACACCAGGAGACCCAACTCCTGCGTAGACATCTTCATTTCTTCATCTGATGACTATGAGGCACCCATAGAGCAAAATTTCCTGCATCCAATAAAAACAGGTTCAAATGAACATGAAGGTACAATCGTCTCGTCTGGAGTATCACAGGAGCGAACTAAGCTGGAGGCCTGTATCTCTTTCCCCTTAGAGAGGTCCAGAGCAACTCAATATTTTCCTCCACAACCTTTAGACATGTGCCAGACCATGATAAAATCTAGGAGTTTTATATTTCCTCCTGGAGATGGTTTTTCTAGTGAGCCAGAAGACTGGACAAGAGTGCATGGATCTGTCAGGTACTCTGCCAAACCTGACTCTACGCTATCCCCAGTGGGAGGATTGACTTCCCAATGGGAACATAAATTTGGTCAGGAATTGCCGCAGAAGCAACTCGCCACTAAAGGGACTTTTCACCAGTCATCATTGCCCACTCCTGAGTCCATGGCAGAAGAGAAACAGCATCTGCTGGAGGGAGAGGATAGCGACACTGGAGACATGGCTTACTCCTGGATGCTCTCCTCAGACAGGCCAGCCCAAAAATCTGAGAACTTCCTATCAGTAACAGAAGCTAGATATGGCTTCAGCTCTCCAAGATCCAAAAGTCTTCACAACCCTAATAGGAAAAAGAAGTCCACAATGGGCATGAGTTTTAGTAAACCAAAACAAGCTTCAAGTGTGAAGAACCTACTGGACCCATTTGGTGACTGGCAGCAACCTAAAACCAAGCCAACCAGAAGTACACGCACAAAGCCCTCTGAGACCTTCTGTTGAACGTCCTACTGCCTGTTACTTTAATCTTACTGTTCTGTACAGTGTGTCAGCCTGGCTCAGCGGTAGACCTCCTGCCTCTGAGTCAGAAGATTGTGGGTTCAAGTCCCAGGTCGGGACTTGGAGTCACATAAGTATCTAAACTAACAATCCAATGCAATGCTGTTGTAAAAAATATTGTAAAAATGTCATCATTTTATTTTTATGAAGTCTGGATTATGAAGTTAATCACTGTTGGAAAGGAAGGTTGGCCATAGATTGGCAAAGATAATAATGCCACATTTAGAAGAATTTAAAAATTTGGAAATTTACTGTGAAAATTTTATAACATGTTATAAATGTTGCTGTTATAACCCAAGATGTTTCTGATTCTCGCTCATATTGACTGACATGAACCTTATTCTTCATTGGAGTAATCTGGTGGTGTCTATACTGTCTGTTTAGGACAAATGCAGCAGAATTGAGTCCCATACTTACTCTGGTGATTATAGCTTTGGTGTATTATTTGTTACTGTATAACCTGCTTCCCTTCCCCGCGAATGGTAGTGAGGCTGCCCCTCTACCACCTCATCCGAGAATGGCAGTGAACAAGCCAATCCATTCCAACAGTGACGATTGAATACTTCTTGTGTCATTGAAACCTAATTCTCGTGTCCAGCTCTCAATGTATGGGCAGGATTACTGGCAGGATTTGATATTTTCCCCTCTTCTGCTTCGATAGTTACAAATCCTGTTGTGAATACAATGCCATGTTTTGGACCTCACTGTATGCACAATCCAAGCACATGTGTGTTCTGGACAAAGTTTCAACACGGCTGCTGGGTGAGAATTGCAAACGACCCATATTTTGAAAGTATTTCTAAAATGTGTCATAACAGAAGGGACAATTCCAGTGCTCCTAATGTTCTATTAAAGGTTTAGTGGGCTCCAGATCGGTTAACGCTAGAATTCTGAATCATACGTCGTAAAGGCTGTAGCTCACGATTATTTGTGCATAACATGTTATAACCTTTATAGACATGGCTTGCGGCGGTCTGCTTTCCAGCTCCTGGCTCGACATTGCAGGGCCGGGCAGAGTAATGTGCTGATTCCCTGTTATTGCTGAGCCCAAATCTGTGAGCTAACTGCTTGAAACCTGCTGTCACAAGCCTGTGTGGTTTGACGTAAATTTTCTTCGTCTTTTGCCTCAATGTATCTTTAAATTGCATATTTTTATACTTGTAATGACCAGGTGTCTGGGATTTGTAAAAACTACACTTACAAATGAATTTTCCGGTGTCTTTTGTCAGTAGTGTATGTTTGAAGTGACATTTTCGTAGAAAATAATAATAAGTGCGGATTTTATTATGCATTAAAATTTGTTTCTCTCTTTGACATCTTGTGTAGTTATGTACGCCAAGTGAGTGCTGGACTCCAGGACGTCTTTATAACTTTCGTATTGTGAAATGCTCCATATTGTACAGAGAGGGGGAGAATCACAGAACGAGCCACAGCGCAGAAACGGGGCGTTTAGCTGCGTAAAGCCCCTCGAGGCGTCCTTCCGACTTGGAAATGGCGCTATCTAAACTGTGGGTTGTAGCTCGTGTTTTTCTCTTGTGCAACGGGCGACCTGATCGGAAGCAGGTTTTCGTTCGCTACGATTTCTGTCCTGGTGTCCTGGCCGACAGTTCCCCGAATAAAATTCCCCGGTCACTCGCTTTGGGGGCCGCTTGTGGGACATTGCTGTGCGCAAAAAAAAATTGGCTGCCAGTGCACGTCACAGCAACCGCCTATGCAAAGTTTCTGTGATTAAAAGGGGCCGAACCCCTGGGCATCACATTAGCCCCAACAGGACGTCCCACCCCAACCCTCCCGTGGGCTCCAGACTCCTCCCTCCATATCTGTGGCTCCGCCCCGGGACCTCTGGCTCCTCCCCTCAAGCGGAGGCTCCTCCCCCTGCACGGTTTCAGTTTCTCCCTGGCTCCTCCCTTCCAGGCGGATAGCCCCGCCCACGTGGCCCTGGCCCCTCCCCTCAGGCCCTGGACCCTCCCCTCAGGCACTGGCTCCTCCCCTCAGGCCCCGGCCCCTCCCCTCAGCCCCCGGCCCGTCCCCCCAGCCCCCGGCCCCTCCCCCCAGCCCCCGGCCCCTCCCCTCAGGCCCCGGCTCCTCCCCTCAGGCCCCGGCCCCTCCCCTCAGGCCCCGGCCCCTCCCCTCAGGCCCCGGCCCCTCCCCTCAGGCCCTGGCCCCTCCCCTCAGGCCCTGGCCCCTCCCCTCAGGCCCTGGCCCCTCCCCTCGGGCCCTGGCCCCTCCCCTCAGGCCCCGGCCCCTCCCCTCAGGCCCCGGCCCCTCCCCTCAGGCCCTGGCCCCTCCCCTCAGGCCCTGGCTCCTCCCCGGGGTCGGGTGGTGGCGGTCTCTGTGCTGTCGGGGTCGGGCACTGGATGAAGGGGCCAGGGGGCGGGCGCCTCCTGCTCCCCGCCTACAGTCCCCGAGCTCTGGCTCCGCCGCAGCGGCGCGGGATGTTCGGGGTGTCCGGGATGAAGAGCTCGAAGCCCAGCTTCAGGTCCTATCTGCCGGCGGCTCAGGTACTGAGGGGCAGGGCGCGAGGGGCCGGGCCGCGGCCGCGGGGCCCGGCCGCCTGGGCCTCGCCTACACTTACTGCCGGTTACTGACCGACTCTTTCCCCCCCGCAGAGCCCGCTGCCCAGCCCGGCCGAGGTGAGCCAGCGCTGCCAGAGCAAACTGCTGCCCGGTGAGTGCCGCCTCCCGCCCCTGTTACTGCCTGAGCCGCTCCCCCTGAGGTGCTCGGCATTCCCTCTGAACTCTCCCTGAAACCGGACCAGTCACTCCCTCCGACTCTCAGTCACTTCCCTGTAACTCTCTCTCTCTCTCTCCTGTATAAACTCTCTCTAAACTCCTTCCTCCACCCCCCCCCCCGGTTTTTTTCTCTCTCTTTTTTTTAATACCTTCCCCCCCTCCCCCCCCCCACCCCCTCCCCCTTAGTTAGTTAGTTGTGGGCCCTGTTGTTGGTTTGATCTGAACTGTGGCTGAGTTTATAAATCCAGGATGGGCTTTGCTGCCTTCGGTCAGGAGAGTGAGTGCGGGTTCGCAGGAAGGTACAGGAGGGTCTCCTGTCCGGCTGACCTGGTTGAGGAAATGTTTTGTTCTGTGTGTTTGGGAGAGCTTCGGCGAGTGCAGATGGACGACGCAGCTGATTTCTTTTTAAAACTGGGTGGATGTGGAGAAAGTGTCCTTTTTTTTTGGAGCGTTGTCTCCGGCGGGTCCGCTCCCCGCTCCCCGCTCTTCACTACCGGACTCGGACTCGCAGAGCGAGCCAGCGAGCCAGCGAGCGAGCGGCGGTCAGACGACAGAGCTTGCATCTACCCGGTCCGCTTTGCCGACCGTTTGGGGGTCGTGCCTCCCAGGTCCGTTTCACCACCTTGGATGGGCGATGACGTCTCTCCCCCCGGACTAAAGTAAATGACAAAAAATAGGGTTTGTAGTTGGAAGGTCCCAGGGCCAGTAGTCAGATTCTAACTACAAACCCATTTGGTCCAGGGAGAGATATCATCGCCCATCCACCGTCTCCTCTTTATCCAACAAATTCTTACGCTTTTACAATTGTACAATTTTCTTATTAAAAAGAGGGGGAGTGGGGAAGTGGACTGGCTAACAGCAGTGCTGGGTGACGGACCTGCGAGAGACCGGGCAGCCAATACTGACAACTACAGACGATCCACACGCAGGCCTAGCAAAGCGGTGAAGCAGACATGGGAGGAACAATCCCTAAAGGTCGGCAAAGTCAAAAGCGAATTGAGGTAGAACCAACTCCTGGCCTCTCAACACCGTTATGTGAGTCAGGTCTGGCAGTGAAGACTCTGGTCTCCAGGAAGTGACTGCAAACCAGCTGGTTTCTGAACATAATGATCTGAGACTCGATGGGCTGAATGGCCTCCCTCCTTTTACACTGTAAATTTCTATGATTTTAATCTGAAAATGTTTGAAATCATCTACAGTTATTTTCCAAAAGAGGACTTAAAAACAGTTACTCGAAATTCTAGTTTTCAAATACGATTCATTTCATCAAAAGACTTTTAAGTTCTTGTGATCTTCATTGAAAGTTTCTAAAACGGTCTTACATTTGTGGCCATTCAGTCAATTCACTTTACAGAATATTCTGTGAAGCGCTTTGAGACATCTAGAAGACGTGAAAAGTACTATATCAAATGCAAGTATTATTGTTATTGGCCTTCTTTTTAAATTAACACTGAAAACTAGAGGCTCTCAGAATCCAAAATTAAACTGATATTTCAAATTTCAATATTCCAACTATTCCATTTCATTCAGATCCAATGCGTGGCTTACAATATAGACCACAGTCACACTGGAGAGGTGCTGGTGGTGGGAGGGGGAAGGCATTTAAGAAAAATAATAACCAAAGAGCTTGCATCTTGCCTTCAGAATCAAGGGATATTGTAAGAAGGAGCAGCCGAGAGGCTACTGTGTTGATTGACCCCAAGGTACACAGGCAGACATGAGAAATGGTGAAGTGCTATTGGACAAGTGCGTGTTCTTTGACTGCACCTTCGATCATCTCACTCCTATAACCGCCAGCTCAGGCTCCTACTTTGACTTCGATTTGAAATGCATTGAGGCGTTTAACCACATGACTGCAAGCTGTTCGCATGCTTCCTGCTATTGACGTGTGTTTGTGCAGGTGGTGTGACAACTACTTTACCACAGAGCTTCTGTGAGCTATTTTATGTTCGTATTTCTAATGTATTGCTGAGGAGATTCTGTGGCCCTGTCCCTCAGCATTTGGCTGCTGCCGGTAAAGCTGCACATCACTGATGTCTGGGTGTTGGACACATCTGATTGTTGCATACTGTTAATTCATTGCTTGACTGATGCAGATCATGTGTCGACGATGCACTCTGCGCTGTCAAGAGGAATGGTGGCAATGCACTTGTGTGTTTTATCCTGAGGTTTGCTGGTCGTAAGGAATACCTGCTATCCACCTAGCAAGAACGTAAACCTTTGTATGTTGGATGTCTATTGACCAACCAGGGACTAACACTCTGGAGGTTGGGGCGGGAGAGGCACACTGCCCCTTGATTTGAGGTGGCTCCAGGGAAGCATGCTTATCAATGGAATATCGGACAGTGTTGGAACAGAGTGCTCACTCCATATCAATCGGAAACTATGGGTATATAGATCTACGATGGTAACTTGGTTTGAAAACTCTTAGGCATGGTGTTGGGTTGTCAATCGTGTGTGGTTTTGTGGGTGTAGCAGCATGTACCTTACCTTTGTGGCTGTTTTTCACATGCGGGTCTGGTTAGGTAGCAGGTAGCATTTGAGAATCCAGCATTTCAGGGGAAACGTATGTAGGAAGGAAGTCAGTAAAATTCTGGCTGATTCCACTCGTGATTTTTCTTATTTCAAATTTTTAAATTTATTATTTAATTAAGCTGGATAAACTAAACCGATGCCTCATGTCAGTTGGTGCATTTGAGAGGAAACATGTAAGAACATATCTGTGCAGACGAAACACATTAACTACACCTGGAGAAGAGTCTCCGGGGGTGTGGGGGCAGGAGAGGAGAGAGTCTGTCGAATTTCACAGAAAGCCAGCAATGAAAGAAATTGGAGACAGTTTTAAATCAAGACATTTCGGTGAAAATGAGTTTGTTATAAAATCAAGATCCATGATCAGAGGGCTCAGTGTTCTGATTAAATGCTAAATGGAATTGTTGCATAAATTGATGAATTGATTCTGCTTTATCTGGCAGATAAAAGCATATGTTGCGTGTTTGAAGGTGAGTTTGTGATAGAGAACAAATAGGTGGGGCTGTGAAGCTTTGGGACATCGTGTGTGGATATTTGCATCAAGTTTAAATAGATCCCTTTGAAGTAGTTGGGCTGCATTCCATACTGGCTGCAAACGCCTGCTATCACTGTGGGATTTCCATGTGGACTCCAGCCCTAAACCTGGTAATGATGTGGTCTGATCACCACTGCTGTAACTTTTCTTCCTTCCTCCACTCCACCAAACCCACATGCACTATTGTAACTACACCACCACAAATGCTTTGTGTTGATTTGCACACCGTTGTTCGTGACTCTTCCTCTCCCCCCACCCATTCACACATATGCTCCCTGCTGTCACTCCATATACATTGTGTGTCATCAGCTTTCAGTAGAAAAGCTCTAGTTTGCATAGAGGCAAATGGAACAGCGTACAGTTTCTCATTGTCCATCATGTTTCTTATAGTCGCCAAGTCTAAACAACTATGGGATTCTGGAGTAAAACAACAGCAGACAGTGGTGTTGTTCCAATTAAACGTCAAAGGTGTGTGGTACTGGCAGCAGCTACCGCGTGGTTGTTAAAATCACAAGCTTTTGTTGGGTGTCAGATGAGCAGGGGCATGTCCTGTGTGGTTTTTTTTAACAGAATCCCAATCACTGTGCCTCACTGATTCCAGTCAGAATGTTGATCTTTCATTTGTTCACTTCCTCAATCTTCCTAAATTCTTATGCAAGAGCGAAAGGAACAGAAATGTTTCCCCCATTGCAAGTACCCAGTGTCAGTAAAAAGAAGCTCGGTTAACTGGTGAATTGAGATGTGGCAAACTCATTTTAAAAAGAGAGGGGACACAGACCCTGTTATTCAGAATGAGTGTTGAATCCAACTGTTGCCACAGTTCAGCGTTAACCTTATTAGTAAAACTATTCGTTGGCTTCCAAACACAATTAAAAGCAATGCGCCAGAAGCGGGAGGCTGTGTTCGGAGCCTTAGGTTCTTATAAAGTTAGTATCAAATAAATAAATAATCTTTGCGTTTGATGGAGCGCCTTTCACATCAGGAGGGTATTTCAAAGCGCTTTGCAGGATTTACTGTAAAGTGTAATGAATGTTTTTATAGGCAAATTAATAGCCACTAATTATGTACAAAAAACAGTATCAAAGGGTATCTCCTTGTACCAAAACCCGGGCACTGTATACTTAAAACCAGGTGACTGATGTATATCACATAAATACATGAATAAGATGAGCAGGATGGGAGCAGATGTAGTTCCTGAGTTGAAAGTGGAGACTGGTTTACATTTCTATTATGTGAAATCCTGCAGAGTTCCAGGTGTGTTTTGGGGATATTCCTGTCTTCTATATAATGCCACCAACATGCTTCTTTCTGTGCTCTGTTCTGTCTTTTTCATTTGTTTTTGAAAACAGAATGTTTGAAAGCTTGGACCTTGCAACACATTTCACTATTGCTTCAGCTCTTGTACAGGTAAACAGTGCTGAAAGTAGCTTGCTGAACAGGCAGAACCAGTAGTTTATTTGGAAACAACACTTATCTGAGCTGTTTGTTACACGAGGCTAACAGCATGGGACCCAATGTTTTGAAATTGTTTGCACAGGGTGTGAAGCAGTGTATGTCTGGCAGACTTTCTAAATATCCAGATGTTTCCAGCCTCGAGGCAGGTCAATGGAGAAACGTTTTGCTAGTTGGTGGTTTGGAGACGGGACTAGAAAACTCTTTACACATTTAAGACATCCATTTGAATTGAGCTGTGACTAAGGCAAGGAAAATTCTCTCCCTCTGACTGTGAGAAATTAGTTTGAATGATAACTACTCAGTGGGTACTGCCCATCATTCAGTAAAAATGAGAGTTCCTTTTAGAGTCACAGATAAGTAAGCGTGTGAGCCAAGGGCTCGATGGATAGGGCAATCATCATGACACATACCAATATTTTGTATCTGATAAACTGCACGGCCGACATTATACTACATCAACGGCAGCTGGTGTGTGAATGCGTGTCTACATACCTGTGTCTCTGTGTGTGTATGTGTGTGAGCATGCGGCAATGAACCAACGTTTTAGTGATGAGGTTAAGCTACTGCTGTGTGATGCAGATTGTCAGCCTGATGCTGTGGACTTGAATGCAGTGTTTATAACCTCTCCAGCCTCCTGTGTGACCGGTGAAAAGCACCAACTAATTCTACATCCCTTTTGCTGTGGATGTGCCTATGCATGTAAGTAGTGTAAATTGTGTGTAATTACTGTGCTTGGCTGTTCAGAAGCCAGAGCGACTTGTTGGGAGTTTATATTTTCTGCTGGAAATGGGCTGGTGAGTTCCCAGGAGGCGAGGGTTGACTCCTTGTTGAATTAGATGGAAACGCTGGGTGTTTCCTGTCTGATGGCACGGCACCACTTGTTTACTGCACTTAGCTGGCTTCAAATCAACTTCAATGTCATCTTTCCGTAAATGGTCTGTTTCCTGGCATGGATTCAAAACTGAGGGTTTATGCGATTATAAGAGAACACGTTAGCTAAGCACTGAGTAGATCTCGGGGGCAGTGAGGGTGGGGGTGGAATAAGTACCATTGTGACAAAATTACACATCCTTTAAATGCTGTGTACTCCTCCTTCATGTTCCTCCCGGAGAATAACCGCCTTGCTTTCTCAGTAGGTGACTTGACTTAGTTGCTATTTTGGTCCACTTAAGTTAAGGGAAGTGATGAATGGGTTCAAAGGACATCACTGTCTCGCTTTGTCTTTGTACTCCTGCTTATCATAAGCTACATCGCATGAAGGGCGGGCTGCAACTTAGGTGGTATCACGCTCACTTCTGATACAGATAGCTGTGTTCATACCCCACGTCAGGACTTGAGCTCACAGTCCAGGCTGACATTCCAGTGCTTCAGATAATGTCTATGGACAGATCCCAGGACACTTTTGGAAAAGACAAAATATTTATTCCCCCGCTGTGTGGTCAACTATTCTCCATGTTAATTAATTGTTCATGGCTATGTGTGGATTTTTATGATATGCCGGCTGTAATTTTTGCCTCCAAATACTCAGGAAACACAAGATGAATAATGTGCTTTGAGACATTTGTCATTATCGATACTTTATCAAATGCAAGAATTTTCTTCTTTCTTACAATTGGATCTGGTGCTTTTGAATAGTGAAGAGCCCATATAAGTCCTTGTGTTGTATGAGAAAACTGAGCATTGAAAGTATTGTTCTGGGTTCACCTTCCCAATTCCATTTAAAATCTTCTGTACCTGTATACAGCTTTCTCTGAGATGCATCGTTTTAAGGTTGAAGCGTCCTGGCTTATCTAATCGTTGTTCATACCACATTCTTCTAACACTGGGGATCATCCTTGTTATCTCCTCTCCACTGCCTCCAGAGCCTTAAGGACCTTTATCAGTGATTCTGTTAAAGAGCTCAGTATTTGTGAGATATGATGTACCTTTTTAGAAGGGCAGGCTGACTTTCTGATTTGCTCATATTTACCCAGATGTTCTTACTTTGTTTTTGATGATTAATTGATGTTTGATGATGGTTGTACTTTATTGCAGGAGAGCTGGTGGTGAGTGAGACGTGTAACGTGAGGAAGTGCATTGCAGCGGACACGAGTGTACATGATCTGTACGGATCTCTGATCTGCACTAACTTCAGGATTTCCTTCATTACCAAGGACGTGACCCCTTTTCAGGTACCTTCACAGTGGCATTCTAATATTTAAGTGTAACGCTTCCAGTGGTAGGAAGATTCTCAAAGGTTCCCAAGGCACTGACTCTATTGGACTATCACCTTCGGCCTAGACATTGTTGAAACAGAGTCCATAGATTCTTTATAAAAGGCAGTTAGATATTGGAAAGGAGGAATATTTAAAGAAGATGGGGAGTAACCAGGGGAGTGGGGTTTGACCTGGTGGCTTAGAGCAGTTCAGAGGAAGAACAGGCCAATGACCTCTCTATGATCCTAGTTGATGTGATGACTCCTTACTCATCCACATGGAGTATTCCCTTTCGATGTGGAAAATTCCTGGTTTTGTGGCTCTGAAGGGAGGTTCCTGAGGGTAAAGGTGTTGCTGGTTGATCAAGGCACTGGCTACTGGTCCTGGAACTCAGGCACTTGCCGGAGGTTTACAAATCCCTGAAAGTACTTGGTTTGGAAAATGCTATTATAACTTGCAGGGAGAAGTCTCTTATTGATTGCTCCAATGGTGTTTGTGCAAATCAACTTTTACTGTATTGAAAAAGTTTAGTGTATGTATTTTGCAAATGCTTCGGTAAATGTTCAATTTGGAATGTTGCTTTTCTCCAATGTAAAGAATAGACCCTGGTGCTGGCTCACTGTTCTCCCAACCGACTCTGTCCATATTTTCCTACAGAAATTTCAATACCAAAACCTATTGCTGGAGGAGCACGATGTATCTCTGACTTGTGTGGAACGAGTTGTCGCAGGTACTGTACCGTTTGTAAAAACTGTTACTGTCGGGCTTCATGTCTGAGTAATGGAATCCACCACCAGCAGAAGGTGTAACTGCACATCAGGGTGAGGTTTACGGTTCCTAGCTTGGCCTCCAGATTGTTTACCAAATTGCATTTATCCCCAGGAGAGGGGAGAGTTGAGGGGGCAGGTACTTCACTCTCCCATATAGTGGTTGCTTGTCAGCAGGCTGGTGTCCAGAATGTCTTACGCTCTTGCACACATCTCCACATTCAGTGGAATTGTAGGTTTTCCCAGAGAGATAGAGGGTGGTTGTCACAGTTTTATTTTTGAATGACCTTGGGAACTGTTTATCTTTATCTTTTCAGTGGAATTGTAGGCAAATCCTTGCATTTGATATGGTGCCTTATCACATCATTGAGCTATCTCGAAGCGCTTCACAGAATATATTGTTAAGTGGAGTGACTGGGTANTTTTTTTACCTCTGGACCAGGCGTCTTCACACAGTACAGTACGCATCAAATAAACCAAGTCCTCCGTGATACTAGTTGTCCATTCAGTTTGAAATGGAGGAATAGGGATTTTGATACATTGAGGGGAAATGGCCTATTTGCAGTAAACGAAGTAGCTCATTCACATTTTGCCTTGAACCAAACTTCTGAGACCTCCCAGACTCACACAAAAAATAGATATATTGCATTATCTGCTGTGTTTATTTTCGTTCTTTAAAAAAATTAATGCATGAAAAATTGTTGCAGTGCCATTAAGAGATTAAGGGTTAAAAAGATTTAGGACTTGGTCCAATTTCAGCTTGTATAAGCTGGTGGAAACTGCTGCTGAAGCACGAGGTCATTTGCTGTGCTTTTGAACCAGAATGCCTCATACTGTGTGTTTTGTCTAATTAATATATAATGTATATATTGCATACACTTTTAGTTAGCATACGCATTGCATATAGTTCTACTGCACACTTTGCTTACAGTAAATCAACAGTAGTCACACCCTGTTCCCCCCATGATGAATGCTGGTGAATCTAACTTAATATAGAGCCATTTATGACCCAATAGGTGACATTGCCCCACTATTTGGCCCATTATATTAGTGTTGCTCTAATGAAGCCATCTATCCAAATCCCAAGTACTGCACTTTGCCGGTATCTTCCTCCACATATGTTTATCCACATTCCCGTTTAAAAGGCCCAGTTTACAGCTACCCTTGGAAAATGTTTCCATATTTTTATATCTTTGAGGAAAAAAACCTTCTCCTAATTTTATGCTCTCTTGCCCTGAAATCAACTTCCAGCAGAAATAATTTTTCATCACTTAGCCACAAACCATTTTATTACCTTGAATACTTCTATCATATCGCTCTTCTATGCTCTAATATGAAAAAACGCTGACATCCTAGGAAAAATAATCCTCACAACCATCTCTTTCACACTGATAAATTTGTGTCCTCGTGTGCTGAAATCATCTTCCAGCAGAAATAGTTTCTCATCATTTAGTCTGAAACCATTTCATAACCTTGAATACTTCTATCATATCGCCCTTTTCCACTCTAATGTAAAGAGTCTCCAACCTCTCCTCATATCTATGGCTTTTCACCTCTGCTCCTTTGTGAATTGCTTCCTCCCCATAGTTATAATATCCTTTTTATAGTGCAGCACCCAAAACTGCAGCCTTAGCAGCTTGTTATATAAAAAGAATCATTGCTTTGCTTTTGAATTCAACAGCTCTATGTATAAAACCAGAATCTGATTTGCCCTTTTTATGGCCTCTATCTGTGTTATCTTTAATCATGTTCGCAATTGTGCCCCCGTATCCCACTGTTTCTCCACTCCACTGAAAATATTACCACTTAGGATATATTCTATTTTCCAGAAATCCGCCTACTCTGTTAACCTATCAACCTCCTGTAGCCTCCTGCCCTCTTCGTCACTGTTAACGCCTCCTAATTTATTATCATTACAATCATTCTCTCTATGCTTATAGCCAAATCATTAATATAAATAGAGAATAGGAGCAGGCCCACTCATCACTGAGGCACTTCACTAACGACTCTCTACCAATCTGGAAACAACTTTTAATTCCACTCTCTTGTCACCTCTGCTTCAACGATTCCTCTATCCACTTTACTGCTTTGTCAATCTCATTGCACAGTTTGATTGAGACTCATAATACCCATTGAGTGATATTTGACAAAATCCAAAGGTTTATTTCATATGGTAAGAAGCAGTGATTCAGCAGTGACTGGTTCACCTGTAAAGTTACAAATGAAGTGGGTGCAGTGAGTGTAGATTAGGAAAGGAACTGATTCTTAATTTATGCCAAAAGTACGAAGCCAGTTTTTTTTGTGACGTGGTGTACTACTTGTGAGTGCCTGGGTCAGCATGTTTGCTTGTGTACCCAGCTCCATGCGTGCCCATCCCATGTATACCTGTGTGTGCCCTCATGAGCACCTGTGCCTCAAATGTGGGTACCCACGTGTTCTTATTGTGCAAGTGCCTCCAAGCGCATGCTCTTTCTAATTCATTGCCAAAAATTATGCAAATGTTATTGTGGGAAGTTGTATTAATAAGAATAATCCTTGCATTTGCTATAGCGCCTTATGTTGTTGAGATTCTCAGAAAGCTTCACAGAATATATTGTAAAGTGGAGTGACTGTATATTTTGTGGGCAGCAGCCAATTGCACACAACAGTGTCCCACAATTATTGTATGTGGCACTGCATGGATTAATTGTTCTGTTGTCCCTTTTTCAGTAAACGATGCTCGGAAGAAAAGGAAGGTCCTGAGCTCCAACCAATTCCTTAAGTTTAATCCCAATGAACTGATCATTTATTGCAAAGATTTCCGTATCATACTGTTCCGCTTTGACGAAGCTGTTCCTGAATCTGCCAGGAAGGTAATACCACATAACGCTTCATTTACATTTTATCATTTACCTTTATGGAAATTGAGTTGCATCTCTTCAGAGCCAGGCTGCGGGAAGAGGAGCTAGAGAGAGGGACTTAGCTTACAATGTGGCCCTTGACCCAAGGCACACATGACTGGGTGTGCGCACTTTTGCTTTCCGCATTGCATAGAAATGTGCTAGTTGTGAGCAGGCTATTTCTAGAGGAGAAAGGGACTGCAGAGTAGGAGTCACTTACAGTCGAAGGATCAGAGTTTGGGCAAAGGGAAGAAAAGATTGGGGTTTCAGATGGTTAGGTTGTGGGTTCAGAGTTGGGTTGTGGTTCGGGCTTCAGATGAGTTGGGGTTGAAAATTGTAATGGGTGGGGCGAAGGCTGAGGATGGATTGAGAAGATAGGTGGGGCTTAGGGTGATGGTAGCTTTAAGCTGCTGCTATCCTGGAGTTTTTCTAGCATTAAAACTGGGAAGCGTTTCTCTGGCATTGTGAAACCACATAAAAGTCTCTCAACACCTGTTCAAACTCTGAGAATTGAACAAAATGCTTCAAACGGGAAGCATAATTACGGAAGGTTTCTAAACGTCTAAAATGTCAGAATATCCTGGATCTGCAAGTCTTCGTGTGGCATGAGCCCAAGGCAATGAAACGGCAACAAAGCGCGTTTGAAGACTGTTATTTGGAAAATGTGAATAACTGTTCTCAGCAGCATTCAACAAGAATGAGCTGGATGTTCGCCCAAGCTGCCAGTTTAGTTAATGTAATTTGCAGTGGTGTGGGCGGGGCATTAGTGGGGGTGGGGGCCGGGGTGAATGAACTCCAATCCACCCAAAACAGTTAAAATTTTACAAAATGCGTTACCGTTTCGAATTGATTCTTTCAGCAGTGTTTGCGTGCTGCATTTAATATTAGATTGACTGACGCAAGTGTAGGGTGAGGTAATGCTGTCCGTTATTATAATAATGATACTTGCATTTGATATAGCGCCTTATCTCATCTTCAAGACGTCTCAAAGCGCTTCACAGAATATACCGTCAAGTGAATTGACTGTGTGTTTGGGTGGAATGAGTATCTGAGTGGTGCAGGCACAGGGAAACAATCTCACATGGATGCTTCTCACTGAAGCGAGAGGCCCCTTGTGTAAGCCACAGAGGGATCAAACCTTACGCCCAGATCCAATGTGGTTTGTGCGGAATTAAATACATCGACTTAACAACAGTGCTCACAGCCTGTTGGGCAAAATCATATTTTTTTCAGAAGGGTGCAGCTATGGCTACGTCAAAATAGCCGCTGGGTGTTTTTTAGATTGTAAATAATTTACAGTCAGATGCTGCAAATAGCAGTGATGTGTTGGGTGGGTGAGCTGAGGTATTCTGATGTGATCATGTGGCCAGACTGACTGCAGCACTGGAAACCTGCATGGTCTGTACAAGAGTCTCTTTCTTCTGTGTGAGGGAAGCGACGCTGCTCTTTAATGAATGGGTCTCATTGTGTCAAGTCCACAATGAAGCTGGAAGCCTCTGAAGCACTAGCACATACACCGTGGAATGGAGTCATAATCCACCCCTTGTGCTCAGCAGAATGAGTTGCAGAAAATGCGATTGAATTTCCTCACAATACCTATTTTAACTCTTTATTTACATTTCAATACAAACTGTAAAGCCCACTCATAATGTTTTTTATATATACGCATACACACACATACAGACCCATGGTCTGTAATAATAATGCTTACATTCAGTGCAGTGCCTTTCACGTTAGCAGGACATCCCAAAGCACTTTACGGGATATTACTGCAAAGTGCAATGAATGTGTTTTGTGGGCAAACCCCAAAATGATTACCTTAATGTACAAAGGTGACATTCCAATAGATGACCTGAAAGAGTTGGCTTTATTTGCATTCTCTGAATCGTCTAGATGCTTGAGGAGAGGAATGTTAAATGGAGTGGGATTATAACAGCAACTTGCATTTATACCCTCACACAGGGTAGTGTCTCGGAGCGCTTTAACTACATTTACCAGTGTAGTTTTTGTAAAATAACATTCCAGGATTCTGTGCAATGTCCATGGTACCTGAAGAGTATTGTTCCTTAGCAAAGTTCCTTTGATTTATTTTGCCAGCTCTGCCTTGCGATTGCACATTATTCACAGCCAAAAGATCTTCAGCTGCTGTTTGGGTTTGCGTATGTTCGAGAGCAGCACCAAAATCCGGGTGAGTTGGTGTGAATGAGAGCTGTGTTCAAAGACCCCAATCCCTGTGCTCCTGCAACATATTCGTTTTAACTTGCAAGCTGCAAGCCAAGATCGTAAGCCAAGTGCAGGTTCGTTATTCGTTCGACATTTTCACATCTGAAAACTTGATGAACCCTGAAAGTGAACCAGTCCTAAAACTAGCCTTGCTGGGGTTTACCACTCATATGATTTGTGTGTTAACATGCACATAATTGACATGCTTCGGGTATAAGTACGTTGGGAATATTTGAGGGGTGACCTTTACTGCTGTGCAGTAATCCAAGGTTTCTGTGCGTTGCATTCTGTGCAGTTTACATAACCTGATGATCTCCTAATCTTTGCTCTCAGATACCAAAGTGAATGGTGAGTTTGGAGATGGGCAACAGACTTCTCTGTTTGAAAGTTACACTGACTGGGACAGAGAAATTAAACGCACGGTGGCTTCGGAATGGAGAGTCTGCTCTGTCAATGAGCGCTTCACCACTTCGTCAAGGTGGGTGGCTCTTTGAGTTCCATGAAGCACATTTTAATTGTGTTTTGCTGTTCGTTCCCCTCAGACCAGTGTTGTACTCAAGTGAGACCAGTTCCACCATAGCTTGTATGATTTAAATAACACAAATATTAAATGAAAAGCTGTGTCTGTACGCAATTGGCTGCCGCATATCACCCACAAAATACACAGTCAATGCACTTTGCGTAACTTACCCCTCTTCCTGTCTTTAAAACCCTCCTAAAAACATATACTCGTTTTCAGGTGTTCTTTTACATGAAATGTGCTGTACAAAATGCGAGTTATCATTTCTTCTCTTTTATGGTTTGCAGCCTCCCGGAATATTTTGTAGTCCCGTCCTCTCTGGCAGATGAAGATTTGAAACAACTGTCTCCTTCTTTTAATGGGGGTCGGATTCCTGTGAGTATCTGAAAATTGCAGTTACCTCGCTCCCTGGGCAAACGGGCTTTGAAGACGAGGGCACAAGTTTTAGATTGGGAAGGACTTCTCCCAGTGGATTGTTAGAGTATGGAATAATTTACCAGGGGTGGCTGTTCAAGCAGTCGTTTGGGGCATTCAGAAGAAGATTTGGATGAGCATGTCCAGAGGAAGTGTATTAGTGGGTGTGGGAAAAGTGTGGGGAATTGGTTGCAAAGCTCATTGGAGGAGCAAAATCCAACATAAAATAAGCCAAAATGGCCTCCTATTATCTTCTACATTTCCACAATCTGGATCCTTCCTTTGACCCAGCTTGAAGCCTGTGTACTGAAGCCAGCCCCACGTATGGTGTATTGTGAGAGTGGGAGAACTGAGTCAGAGCACCATGTTGTCGGATGGTCCGATCACCTGAAGGATACTGAGATTGCAGTGTGTTTGTGTGTTTGTTCAGATGTGGTGCTGGCAGCATTCAAGCGGGAGCGCGCTGGTCAGAATGGCCAATGTCAGGCCCGGAGTCCAGCTGAGGAAGCACGACACCAGGTAACCAAGCCACTCGGGAGAGGGTAGGGTTGAGGCCACTTCAGATGGTTAGTTATGAAAGACACTGCATAAGTGCGAGTTATTTCCAGTCTTTAATCAAATACTCCTTCGGTTGAGACGTTAAACCAAGGTCCTGTCTGCCTGTTCAGGTGGATGTTGAAGATCCCAAGGCATTATTTGGAAAGAGAAGGGCGTTTCTCCCGGTGTCCTAGCCAACAATACACCCAGATTAATTTGGTCATTTGTTTCATTGCTGTATGTGGAACATTTCTGTGTACAATTGTGCTACCATGTTTGCCAACAAATTTATTTACTCCATTTCACAATAAATTCTGTGAAGTGCTTTGAAACGTCTTTCTGAAGTGATAAGGAGCTATACCAAATGCAAGGATTATCAACATTGGATAATATTTCCTTTCAAATGTGATCTACAAACGTACTGCAGAAAGTGCACCCGAGACTCTTGGGCTGAACAATATCTCTTCTCTTCCTCTTAGGATTCTCAAGGCAATAACTCAAAGTCACCCACAGAGGAGTGAAGTCTTCAAGTCTGACTTGGACAAGACGTTACCGTCGCTCCAGGAGATCCAAGCTGCATTTCACAGGCTGAAACAGCTGTGCATCAGTGGTGAGCTGCCAGTTCTGGGTGTCCGCTTGCATGCTAGTGAGCGGAGTATATTACAAGGTTATGGGGTGGGGGGGAAGGCAGGTAAATGGGACTGAAAAGGTTGCTTCTTTAAAAGAGCCAGCACAGGCACAGTGGGCTAAAGGGCCTTCTTCTTTGCTGTACATTTCTATGGTTCGATGGAGTGGGTGCTGAGAGTGGGAGTTTTGAGCAAGTGCCGAATGTTTCTTGTTTTTAAAGCAACTCAGCTGCCATGATGTCTCAGTTGCCAACTCACATGATTGATGCCGAAACCTAGCAGGTCTGGCTGCACGGCTGGCAATTCACAGCTTCCAGGTTACCTGCTGCTCAGACACTGACTGTTTTTTGAGTTATCAACGTCTGTTAATGTCCCTGCAATGTTTCTGATCACTTCTGTGCAGATTTATTTGAGGAGACTGATGAGAAGTGGTCGTCTTCATTGGAAAGCACTCGCTGGCTGGAGTACATCAGGTAAGACAGCGAGGAAATCCACATCCCCCTTTCTCCATCTACCCTGAGCTCCTACCCCACAACTCAGCCCCTTTCTAACCTAGGCCCATAGCCCCTCAGGAGGCACCGTGTCCCACAGTGTTTCTCCCCCCAAAACACCCCCTTTGTTTCCCGATCAAAACTTAATATAATAATGATCTTTGCATTCAGTATAGCGCCTTTTACGTCGGACAGACCTCCTAAACCATCTCTGACAATGCAACCTCCCCCCACCCCCACCAGCACTGCATTGGAGCCTCAATTTAGATACGTGAAATCACCCACAATTTGACTCTGAGGCAAGAATGCTACCACTAGCCAGGCTGACACAACGTCCACACAAGCGCCTGTACTTGAGTATTCAGGTATCACAGAGATTGACTGTTTGAGTGACTCCTCTGCTGAAGCTGTTTTAGCTTCTGCAGCATTGTTGCATTTTTATGCCACAAATACTAATAACCTTCTCCTTGGCTTGCCATTGTTATTGAATGTGTATCTCAAGCTGTGACACTAGTCACAGTTCACTACCTGTGATTCTTGTGTTTGTTTCTGTTCTGTGAATGTACCTCAAGCAGATTATTTTTCACTGATGGTTACAATCTCCGTGTTCCCCTAGGTTGTTTCTGAAGCACTCGGCGGAGCTGACCCAGTGGCTGGACAGCAAGCACATATCTGTGGTGATTCAAGGTGAATTCTCAGAGTCAGGGTCATAAACCTGTATCTTGTCTGTTTCCAGGCCTGGAAACATTCACTCTGCTGCCTCGTTGTGCCACAAGAACTGTTTGTTTATTGCATTATCACAATCTATCATAGGGTGCTGAAAAACATTGATTCCTGCAAGATATGTTTTTAGAAAGATTTCTCCCTTAGAGTGTGGGTATATTATATATATATGTGTGTGTATGTCTACATGTATTTGTATAGTGTTGCATGGGAGTGTGTGCGAACTGCATGGCATTTAGTGTTGTACACGCACAGGTTTATGTACTTGCTGTAAGAGCTCGGGTGTTTGTGTATTGCACGACTGCTTGTGTGAAGGACTGCACATGTGTGCACATGTGTGTGGGTGCTGCAAGAGGGAGGGATGTTGTATGCAGTAAAAACTTGCATCAGTCTGATCTGTATAATCACCTAATTTGTTGTTGTTGTACATCTGCCCAAGTCCCGGTCAAGAGGTTGCATTCTATGCAAATTTGACATAACTCACACTTTTATGAGTCATATTAAATCTGTTCCCAGCTGATACGACTTATGTGAGGTTTACAATGTATGGGTGTGTATCATTGGTCCACAGGAGTGTGGAATTAGTTCTCTGAAGATAGAGACTAAACCAAGAGGAATGACGTGCTGTCACCCACTCACTAGGCTCGTAATTAATAATGGCCACTTAGGTGTGGACTGTTCAGCAGCTGAGCGCAGCACCATCAGGAGGGGAACGAGGGGAGAAAATTTACTAAATCAACCTTGTATTGTATTTCTCTTTGTTCAACAGAGGAGGAAGGCCGTGATCTAAGCTGTGTGGTGGCCTCAGTGGTCCAGGTAATGCTGGACCCACATTTCCGCAGCATCCAAGGGTTTCAGAGCCTGATCCAGAAGGAGTGGGTTATCGCCGGCTACCGGTTCCTGGACCGCTGTAACCACCTGCAGAAATCCGACAAGCAGGAGGTCAGGCGCCGTTTGCCAATCTGTCGTTTTAGAAAATATTTGTTGTTGTTTTTAAACAGTGGCCAGGTGTTACCTTGTTTTGGGTGGTGGGGGGGAGGCAGCTTTAAAAGAAATCCCTGAAATACTAAATCCCTAATCATGAAAACTGCAGCACACAAGGAGTCTTGTTTACCCTCTAGTGCTTGCTCCCCCTCTGGAGGCATTTACTCTAATCCTATTGCCTTTCTTTCCCCCCCCATCATGTCTGTGTTGGAAGTCCACTCCCTCACTTGAGCTGTCTACTCTAATCCCATATCGCCTGTGACCAAGCATACATCAGATTTGGCCAGAGGTGGGGGGAATACCTGTGTGAGCAGAAATATTGTTGCCTGAGTGAGAATCAGCTGGAGGAAGTAGGTCGCTGCCGTGGCTAAATGTTTTGTAGATTACTGGGACAGGCGAGTGACCTACTCTCTGCCTTTGTGACTGTGTTTGCAGTGCCCGTTGTTCCTGTTGTTCCTGGACTGTGTGTGGCAGCTGCTTCAGCAGTACCCAGCCGCCTTCGAGTTCACAGAGACCTACCTGACCATGCTGTACGACAGCACCTGGATCCCGCTGTTTAACACCTTCCTCTTCAACTGCCAATCCCAGCGGGTACAGCAGAGCCAGGTCAGTTCAGCTGCAAACTGACGGTGAGATTACATTGTGTCTGTGCTGGGTGTGTTGCTCCACGCCATGTACCATACATACACGCATAAACCATACATACACACCCACACACCACATACACCCCCCACACACTACACACCCACCACCCCCCAGCGCGTGCATACATGCGCACCGCACCGCACACATGCCCCACACCACCACCTCACACCATACACAGCACACCAAGCACACATACACCACACCACTCACACTCTTTATACACATACACGATGTGCTGGCTGGCAATCACAAACTGCAGCCTACTAGTGGAGCCTGGAAGATGCGTGCTACAGCATTGTACACCTAGATTCAGGATGTGGGCTCCGCTAAATGCAGGCCTTCTCAGCTCTAGCTCTGAAGCTAACTATTGAAACTGTGAAGGGTCCGCAGTGAATCCTAAACGCTAATTGAAACTTCAGTGTTTCCTTTTTTGGCCTGAAAGTGGTTGGAGAGTTTCTGTGCCTGGATGAATTTAGCAGTGAAACATAGAACCTGATGTATTCACAATTCAGATTTCGGCTGTATTTTTGTCCTGATAAATAACTGTTTTTATATGTTGTAGGATTTTGCCATCAATGGGAACCTGCACTGTTCTGGGCCAGGGCTGAGGCTACCCAATGTGTGGGATTGGTCGCTGCAGTTTACAGAGAAGGAAAGGACTTTGTTCAACAACCCTCTGTACATTGGGAAAACTGCCAGCTGTCTACAGAATGGAACGATTAAAACCTTCAGGCGATCAAAGGTAAATATGTTGCAATAAAGTGATGGGTCAAAGAAATTAGTCACTCAATCCATGACTGCTTGTGGGATACTGCTATGTGCAATTGCCTGCCGGTTTCGCCCATAAAATAAACAGTCCACCCACTTTAAAATATATTCTGTGAAACACTTTGAGACGTGTCAATAAGGTGATAAGGCACTATATCAAATGCAAGGATTATTTATTATTGCAAATCAGGGCTATAAAGAGTTGCAGTGATGGATATGTTGAGACGTCTAGAAGATGTGGTAAAGCGCTATATTAAAAGCAAGGATTTATTATACTGGGGTTGATCTTTGGGTAATGCTGTTAATCTATTCTCTCTTTTCTCAGAGAAACTTCACCTCCTCTGTGTGCTCGCCTCTGTGCTCCGTCTACACCATGAAGAAGGGCGTGCTCAGCGAGCAACAAGACTTTTTCCCCCGGAAGAACTCGAGTATCCGGCGCACGGCTCCCGAGCTGACGCTCACTCTCCCGGACACGGCCGGCACTCTGCCCGCTGAGCGCTTCTTCAGGGACTGGGTCTCCAAACCCCTGGACCTACACGGGCTCCTGCTGCCACACTGCAGCAGCCCACACGTGCAGCTGTGGAAGCAGTGCTACCTGCGCTGGGTTCCCGAAGCTCAGATCTCCAACGGCGGCTTCATCAGCACTCTGTACCAGGTCTCCCTGCTGGCCGACGAGATCCAACGCCTCCAGCAGTGCCTTCGGAGGTACAGAAACGACCCCCTCTCGCCCTCACCCCAGCCCGAGGGAGGCAACGTGTACTTCAGCCAGTGCGTCAGCGCTCCCGACTTTCTCTCCTCCTCTTTTCCCTTCTCCCCCATTGGGAACCTGTGCAGACGCAGCATCCTGGGAACGCCCCTGAGCAAATTCCTGCAGAGCGGAGCCAGGACATGGCCTTCCACTGAGACCCTGGCCAATGAGGACTGAACTACAGCTCTTTTCCCCCCCACTCTCCCCACCACCCCAACCTGAGCAGCAGCTGAACCCACCAGCCAGTCTGCTCCCTCAGCTACCAGTGAAGGCGGACACTGGGAATAGATATGCAAGAAGCTGCTTGAGTTATTTGCACAGATCTTTAATGAGAAGGGCAACCAAGAAGGAATGCTTTGTGATGAGACACATAGGCTGTTTTCTCCCACAATCTGTGTATGAACGAAACCTCAGGCTGTTTCACAGGACAGATTGCTCTCAAAGCAGTGATGACAGGAAGGATCTCTCTGTGTTGACATTGCTAAAGAGTGTTGCTGTACACAACAGGTACGGCCTTTAATACAAGTCCTGAACTGTACTGTTCTCGCTCTGTGCAGAGCTCAGCCCAACCCCAGTGGGAGAGCTCAGCGCAGTCTGGGAAAGAACCCCCCCTCCCCCCACAAGCCTGGTACATTACTCAGCCTTTGAGTTCCCAACTTCACATGTCGCACCCTGTTTTACTTGTTTCTCACTCCCGCGCCTGCAGATTGGCTGCTGGCCCTTTCTCTTCTGATTCTAATTTTAATATTCAGTTGCTGAAGCCTTATTCCAGCCTGGTCCTTTTAGCCACAATTGTTTAATCCCCCTTGCCCCCCACAAGCTGCTGCTTTATTCCAGTTCAGTCACTTGTCTCGGCCACAGGTGTCTGTCCTGCCAAGTTTCTGATTGACATCAGGCACTGGCGCAGACAGTGGCCACTGGATTCTGGGTGAGTATCATTTGCTTACTTGCAGTTTGCTGGGTGTGGTATTTGCAAGTGAGCAAAGTGCAATTAGGAATATTATTTTAAGCTATATGCGTGTTGTGCAGATGGGAGAGGAGATGAAAAACTGTAGAGCACAGGTCAACAAGTGGTGATTCACTCGGCCTGTCCAGTGACTGTCTCCATGCAGTGACTGCTGCATTCTCCAATTTCCTGTTCCTCCCCATCTCCCACTCTGTATCCTCCCAACTCGACCGTGGCACAGATGTAATGATTTTGACGGAATAAGCAGGGTGAGGGTCTGCCTTGTTCAGTGATGTTTGTAGGGAATGTGCGATGCTGTACCTGGTGTTGCCAGAGACATGGAATTCTAATGCAGTTTGTTGGATCTGACCAGCTCCAGGAGCTGAGTAAGTACAAAATAGGTGTTGGAAAGTGTTATTCAATTCCATTACTTTAATCATTTGCTGACTCGCTTAGATGTTAAACCCACAGCAGCCGGTGAGTGAGTTCTGCTGCTGCTCTACTAGGTATTTTACTCCTTCCTGCACTTTCTCCTCACTACCATTAATTTCCATTTGATCCCCTTCACGTGTAAGTTCCTCTGCTTCATCCTACTCAACAGATGCTGACATGACCACTGAATCCTAAACTTTCCAAACCCCAGTTCTACTTATGAACAGTTCACATTGTGCCTTACGCGTTTTTGATAGAATCCAGGTGTGTGGCCGAAGACAGTCTGAATTTCCTTGCAGCCCGACTTGTTGAGACTAAAATATTTTGACTTGCATACATGGGTATGATGGGGTCTGCACGTGTGGACCCAATAATGTCATGGGTTGCTGATATGAAAGTTGGATGGATGTGTGCTTATTTACTGCGTTTCAGTGCCTGGTCTGTGATGAGCTTATGGATGCTGGGAGAGGACCTCAGACTGTGCCTGAGGACTGACTTTGCCCCTGGTATCCTGATCCTCAGCTGCTGGGAAAGTGGCACGAATAGTGTTCAATGCTTAGCGCTGGAAATGAATGGAAGCTTAGCTGTTTGTCAGAATTCTGCAAGAGTGTGTGGTATTTCCCAGGGTATCTGTAGGCTGTTTAATGAAAATAAGTATTGGGCTGTTTGAAATGAGTTGTGAATGTTTCGGAAGCAGATTCAGTGCAATTACACATTCACTAATAATTGGCAGCATTCAGCATGCAATATTTATTGTTTTATGACCTAAATAAATGATCTTAAACTGTTTTTACTAGAGAACCATTGCATCAAAGTATTAACTGTAGACACTTAGCCGAGGGGTTGAGGAAAGCAAACTTGTCTTGTAGTTTTGATGATGTTTTATGCTGACGGAATGATCACAAGTTACAGAGCTATGGGGTGTGACTCTTGGCCTGGACTTGTGTAACTGGTGGTGGTGCAGTTGAGAGCAGTGACTGTGCAGCTCACCAGCACCTCCAGCAGGAAACTGAGTGTAACTGCAGCTGGTTGAAAAGCGGAGATAAACATTATTGTGTTTAATAACCATAAAGGGACCTACATCCAGTAGCTTCCACAGGACGAGGAAGCCCAGGTCCCTAGTGCCTTTATATATCGTAGGAACTCACGTTGTCAACATGCTCAGGCCAAACTTGATGCGTGCCAAGCACGGGTAGGATAGTTTCTCAATTCTTGGGGTTTTCTTTGCTGACTAAATACAAATAAAAAATAGGTAAAAGCACCAATTCATCTCTTGTGACTGCTGCTTCTGCAGCAATCAATAACTGCTCTCGCCTCAGTAAAATGTGGTGAAAATCCACATTTTCTGGCAAATTGGATTGGAGAAGTGGTCAAGCATGTGGATACTTGCGATGCAATCCACGTACTTGTCAGTCTTAAGTCCAGTCCTGATGAAAGGTTCCCATAATGAGAGTACATTAGAGGACTCTCACCTTCAAAGGTTTGCTGACCGATCAGAAAGGGATTCATGACCAAAAGATGTCTTACTCCAATCAGGAAAGGTGCAGTGGAGATCTCCCTATTGCCCCTAATGTAGAGTGGGCCTACTGCCAGTGGTCGGTCAGCCTCAGAATTCCCCGTCACAGCGGACCTGCTGGATGGAAACGATCCAACTGGGACAAGCAAGACAGAGGACCCTGCTGAGACCTCAGGGAGATCTCTGTGGTTAATGGTGATTAGCCAGTGAGGGGGAATCCAGAGACCATGGTGCACTTCAACTTTCCCCTCCTGATAGTCACTGAGGCTTGTAGACACTGCACAGGGGTTGACTGCTTTGGGGGCTAAGCTTTGCCACTTTATAAAATGGTTGTGCTTTTCCCACCTGAGTTCAGGTTAGGAGCACCCAATATTTACAAACAAATGATGTGCTTATTGGCAATAAAAGTTCTAGTTTTTCAATAAAGTAGTAGCTGGTTAATGCCAACATTTTTCCAGGCGCCAATTCCTGTTGCAATATATTTGTGAATCAATCTGCTACATGTGTTTATAGTGCGTCTTCTCAAATGTAAGTGTACTCTATTTTTATAAGACAATGGTTTGGGATGGAGTTTTGGAATGCAGTGATTGTATTGATTGCTGTATATTCATTACCCGCTGTGGGTTCTGTTGTGCGATTTTATTTGATTTCAATTGCTTGTACTCTGTTAGCGGATCAACACCATCACACTCAAAATAACCACAAAATAAATTGTCCCCTTTATTTGCACTGTCTTCAGAGTCATTAGCTGAGGCATTATTCACCAAAAATAAATGCAGTGTGAGTCAGTGTGGTATTGTTGCTGCAGTAAACATTACAGCTAGTTCGCTATACATCTGCAGTTAATTCAACAAAGGTAGGTACAAGCCATTTGATCCACCTAGCCTGATCTTCCCCCACAGTATTCTATACTAGCCATGGACCCTTCCCACGTCCCTGCCTTCTCGCCTTATGCTTTAATTATTAAAGTTTAATATATCCCTCATCCTTGAATTTCAAAGTTTCATCAATGGCTATCTGGGCAAAATCCTATCATTCAATGTGACAAATTCATCCTTACCTCAGTCTACATTAGCAACAACCTTAGATAATTAAGGATTAGCTTTAATTTTAAGATTGTTTTCCAACAATTGTTCGCTCCCATCCAACCAATCTTTGCAGTATTCTCTCCTTCCTTGAGCACAGCAACAGAACTGCTACCTGGCCAGTACCTCACCGTCAAGGCCATGTATGGGGTATAAGCAGCATTCTACTATATAATGTCACCATACTGTCCTCATAGGTTAACCACACAATAGTAGGTGGGTGTGTGTCATGGCTGATAAGCACAAATACCAATTATACTGCCTTCACTGTTGCTTAGCTAATGTTATCTCAGCAGACCAGACATTACAATAAATTTACATTTATATAGCACCCTTCATGGTGAGCGGATGTCTCAAAGCGCATTGAACCTGGGATCTTTCTTTCTGTTTGACTCAGTGCATGGCACTGAACCTGAAAGTGGCTATTGCAGAGTGAACAGATTCCAGAACAAGTGCATTTGACATCCATAAACTACCTCCCTGAGCCGTAATGTCCATCTGAAATCAGAGCAGGACTCGCAGTCCAATTGCATCTGCATTTCACCATCTTTCAGCAATATCCTTTTTTTCTCTTAACCAATTTGTAAAAGGATGAAGGGCAGATGAGTGTTCATCATTAATGAGAGCACCAGTTCTGTACCCGCCAGCCTTGACTGAAGCTTTTAAACTGAGTGGTTTCCGTTTACCAATTGGCTGGTTTATCAGTGCTTTGTGCACAGCCTGAAGCCAGCACGTAATCCGGGTAAACTGCTTCATTCAGTTGGTTAAAATAGCTGGTGCTCAGAGACTATAGCCGAAGGATTTGTCCCGCGGTGTGAATTAAGCTGAATTTTATGCTAATTTTTAGCATGTGTAACAGTGAGCAAGTTCTGAAAGACAAGTAAAGATTAGGCATTTTCCAGAAGTGGATTTGACTGCTCACTGCGTTGGCTGCAGATTAACACACAATAATATACTTTAAGTTGCAAATCTTGTCATTTGTTGTGAGCCTTTTTACAAAGAGGCTTATTCTAATCCAAGCGTGTCAGGAAGCAGCCTCTGATTGCTGACTGCAGCGCATCCCAGTCATACAACACGTAAGTGCGGAGAAACAAACCTCTGCTGGAAAGCTTGCTTTACTCCATTCCCAAAAGCTTTTGACTCCTTTTTATTTACCCTTGAGGTTACAGTACCTCACCCAACTGTCAATGGAGATTTCTCTCCCTCCCTAACACACAGAAGACCACTGATTCATGCCACAACTTTACAGCTCTGTACGATTGAGCTACTCACTTAATGTTTCTGAGGCATCAGCAGTGATGGAGGATTATGATGGTGACACTTAAATTACCGAATGTCTGTGAGACGATGGCACCATTCTAACAGGAGATGAAGGCAGACAGGGCTTTGATCAGATGCTCAATCTCCAACGATTACTAATTAAACAGGCAAATCCCCTCCTTTGCGTTCATCCTTTTCCCATATTTCTTTGTGGAATGTTTGAAGGCAGATCCAGTTGTCCGCACTACAGTGATTGGAGCCTCAGCAGTGGGAGAGGTCAGGGATATACTGTCATCATCCTAACTTTCAGCTGAGGCGAGTGCTCCGAGCTCCCACTGCTGTAACGTGGCACACTTCCACCTCAGCCCCGAGCTGCCGCAGTTCGTGTAGCCAGACTGTCTGCTTCGGGGAAAGCCGGTCATTGGGACCCTTTACCTCGGCAAACTGCAAACCATAAAGGAAGATAGATATAGATCTGACAGCTGGAGCAGAAATCTCGAAACAAACAGCAGACGTGCCTGAGTAGCTGACCACTCACTGAGGCAGCAACACATTGGCTAAAGGAATAATCCCACTTCAGGTGGGGGCTTGGGAACCTGTTGAGAGTCGGACTGCTTCCGATGGTTGGGGGATCAAGTTGGTCAGGACTTGAGCTTTTACACCAGTGGGGCAAGCACTGCCCTCCCCAAAGTGCCATCCCTTTGGGTGAGACGTTAAACCTGCCAATTCTGGTGGACACTAAAGATCCCGTGAGACTATTGTGAATGAGGTAGGAGCTTCTCCTGATGTCCTGACCAACAATCTTCCAAATAAATTGGTCACTAACCTCAGGGCTGTTGTGGGTTTTCGCAGTTGACCACAAAAAGAATATTCACTACACTTGATTTTTCTATAAAAGTTCTGAGATATTTCAACATTATAAGCTAGTCGCCGGCTGTTTCCCCCACGATGCATGGACTTGCCTTGAAGCTGTTGCTGTTCCACACCACGAGGTCTGGGAGCCCTGCCCGATAGTGTCTCAGATCCTTCACCAGACGCTCGCACACTCCACTCAGAAACGCTCCACCCAGGCTGCTCACCAGACTCTGAAAGTCAGATCATGCTGTAACAATATGTAACATACTCCAGAGAGATGGTAGGATTGGCTGCAGCTTTGCTTGGCTGCAGTTGTGGTCAGTGATCAAGCCTGGGATTACCTGTGCTTGCTGCAGGGAGCTGAAGAGTTGCCAGGTCACCAGTGGAGTCGCTTTGCCCTCCTGACTCCGCCACACGTCAGCGATTAAACTCTGCAGAGTGAGCGGAGATGCCTCTCGTACCAACTCCAGGCGCGAGTCCACAGCCTCCCTCCTGTTTGTGTAGAAACAATCTGTGTACAAATCCAGTGGGAATGCCTTGAGACACAGAAATAGTCAAGTTACACTCACCCGTGACACATGGAACAGCCACATTATATTCATGCCTGAGACACAACAGTCATGAGAGTATTAACAGCAGGACGGACATAGGATAATCTCTAACGTCGATGAGCACAACGTTCACATAAATGCTCCAAATACCTGGTAAGAATTTCGGAAAACATCTGGGATTCCGTCCATGAATATGATGTCCCAGAAAAGAAGTCCAAAAAGTGTGGTAAACGTGGCCCCTTCTCCGTGTATTCCTGCAAAACATGCCGAGAGTTAGCGTCACAACGCAGCATCGGGGAACAGACACGAGCTGTGAGGGGCAGCAGTGACCGTACCTTGATCGAAGCCTTGTTGCCGGTAGTGAGCCAGTGCCAACTGCTCCACTGAACAGATCACCATGGCCCCATCGCCCTTTTTCTCCAAACTATTAATGTTCTCTGCAGTCTCCAGGAGAAAGAAGGAATTCCCTGTGCCTGTCTGAGGGCACAGTTTACCTTTCACTGTAACCTGGAAAACAAGTGAGTCAACTCCAACCTCCTGGGGACTGACAGCCTCGACCTATGTCAAAGGAACCGAGTAGCTCGGGCAAAGGCTATTAACCTTCTCCCCTCCCAAAAGCAGGATCTTTCATGCTCAGGTGAGAGAAGCAGGATACTGCCGAGCACATTAAAACATCACAGAAACACCAATACATGGTGAATCTGAAGTCCTTACTCATAGTTTTAATTATGAATTATGTTGTTTAAGACAACATTGGTCGAGAGTGTGCAGCTATTACAGGAGATATCTAGCATTGCATTCGTGAGGGTTTTTATCACCGAGCTGATGCTTTTCTGGGGGTAATAATTCCTTAAAAAAAATAAATTGGTCACTCAATCCACGACTGCTTGTGGGACACTGCTGTGCGCAATTGGCTGCCGTGTTTCGCCCACAAAACATACAGTTAATTCAGTTTACAGTGTATTCTGTGAAGCACTTTGATTCGTCTCAACGACATGATAAAATGCTACATCAAATGCAAGGATTATTATTACTACAACAACTTGCACCGTTCATGCTTGGTGGTATCCTGGAAGGCTTCTTTATTTCCTATGATTAGGAAAAATCAGATGCTTGGATGGAGATTTGAAACCTACTCGTGTGAAAGACCGAGAAAGCAAGAAGCACCTGGGGGAAGACTCACATGTGGAACATCGCCAATGCTGGACGCTGGCAGTGTGAGAAGCAGCGGCTGCCATTTCTTGCCCCCCGGAGAATCCCGTAACCTTGTTGCCCGCTGGTGTAGCGCCAGTCTGTGGCCTGGACGTACATGGCCATCGTCCAACCCCTCCAGGATACAGTGCACAGCCTGTGGGTGACAACATCTCTCTCCAGAAAGAGCTTTGTAATGATTGTCCCAACATGAGATTAACCCGGCCTGTGGTTCCCAGCTTCATCCCATTCTTCTTTTGAACAATGGTATAACATTTGCCTCTCTTCACTCCCCTGGAATGCTTCCTATTTTTATGTACTTCTGTTTCTTCACATCTATCTCCATCTCTCCCAGCATCTCCCTCTAATGCAATCAAAGATGTAAAGAACTTATTTTAGCAGGTCCACCAACCCTTGCTTTTTACTGGGTATTCTTTCTCCAATTATCCTTGTATTCTTTACGTATCTATAACAACCACTTTTGTTTCTTTCCTGTACGTTCCCCGTTAGTTTTATTCTCTTACCTCTCCTTATAGCTAGGCAGCAGTGTCACAGAAACGACGGAGAAAATGTCAATGTTTCTCTGACTGACAGTGCATGAAAACGCTCCAGATATTCAAATATAACCAACAAGCACTGAACCATATCAGACTTTTCTTTATTCTTCCCCTCTTACACACAGGTTTTTATTTCTTACTGGGAACCGAGCAAGTCCTGTTGCCTCTATCATCTTACTCAAGTCCCTGCCATTACAGCCCCTACACTGCCTTTAGCAGGTTTTCCTAGGTGGACTATTAACCTCTGCACACTCTATCAGAGGCAGTGAGTGACAAGAATTGATCACTCATTGGACGCATGTCAATGAGTGGCCGAGAAAACCTTTACCTGTTCTGTCTGTTTGAGATGCTGGTGCAGGTTCAGAGCCAGGCGGTCCCACCACCGACCTCTGCTGGCCGCACAATAGACAGTTTGAGCCAGAAGAGCCCGCAGTTCTTCTACAGCCTCCTAAGCAGAAAGAATCGGCACTCGGTTAGGACACACACACACACGTCACCATCGCCTGACTCATCTTTACATTTTCGTCATGCAGTCAATGTCAGTGTAGCTCAATCGGTAACAATTTGGGTCAGAAGCTGTTGACTCAAGCGAAACTGAGCGCCTGTCTCTCTAATCAGGCAGACATTAATGATCCTGCGGTAGGACTGCAAAAGGGGAGATTGACTTATTGTCCTGGCCAACAACACGTCTCCTAGTAAATCAAATTCAACGGTTATTATAATCAAGCCTCCTCTTCTCTTCAAACAGCAATTACCAAGAACAGCTGCTGTAGATTTGATGAGTTTTCACATACTATTTAGGTATCCCAGAGTGATAGCGAAGAGGGTTAGGTTACACACACACTATCTTTACACACATGCGAGCGCACAGATACACATGGGAACTGGATGAAGTAGCATAACAATAATTCTTGGAATTCAGTATCATATTGTTTCGAGCACTCGATTCGCAAGTGAGAGGACTGGGTTTGATTCCTGGCAGGACAAAATGCTGGGTGAGTTTCCTTACTCCACTAACCACTACGCTACAGGACTCCATAATGTGACAGGCACATTGGCAAATAGTAAAACTTACTAATTCCGTGGATCTGAAAAAGGGAAGAAATCAGGGAAACAAAGAGGGCCGTGTCCAACGGGGAAATCCTTGGCACAGGTTATGGAATGTGGTAACTGGGATTTAACCTAATCACGTTTGAAAATGTTCCTGGGTAATGTTGACTCCTCTGGTGCTGTCCCTGAACAGGGAGCGACGATGGGCTGGACTCGGTGCCAACATGTGTGTTGCCGGCTCGGGTTTCACACTCACCTGGTAAAGCCTCAGCCGCTGCAGAATCTCCACACCATGGGAACGGAGTCGCACATGGACCCAGCCAGCAGTGAAGCACCGCAGGTACACGGGCAGCTCACGATCAAACCTGAACACAAGGCCATTAGTTCACTTTACAGTCCAAAATATTGGGCAATTTCCTTACTCCACATGCTTCTGTTTACCTAGCAGTAAGTAGGAACCCAGTTGTTAGTCGATTGGCAGATCGCTTTTCCGGGAATAATAATCCCTCAAAAAAAAACAATAATAATTTGGTTACTCAATCCATGACTGTTTGTGGGACACTGCTGTGTGCAACTGGCTGCTGCATTTCACCAGCAAATACAGTCAATTTACTTTACAGTATATTCTGTAAAGTGCCTTGGGACGTCCTCCTGACGTGAAAGGCGCTTTATAAATGTAATTTTGTTGTTGTTGTCTAGAAGATGTGAATAGTGCTATATCAAATGCAACGATTATCAGAGTATATTCTGTGAAGCACTTTTGAGACGACGCAATGGCGTGAAAAGGTGCTACATCAAATGCACTGATTATTATTTGTATTAATGACTCGGATATAGAGGAAAGTATACACAAGTTTGCAAATTACACTAAGCTTTGAAGCGTGATGAACCGAGTAGAAATGGACGGAGATTAAGTGAGCGAGAGGGAGAATAGCAGATACAATTTACTGTGAGGCGAGAAGGGAGCCTGGGGTTACCTGCTGTCGTTGGATGCCGCTGCCTGACTTTGCTCATCTCTGCTGTTTTTGTAGAGCTCTAATGCATCCTCCCAGTGTCCGCTTTCCATCAGCACCTTGACATCCCTCAGTGCATGCCCAGCAGTCTCATACCTGCAATAACAGCCCCACATCAGCCAGCACAACACATCTATCAGCACTCCCATATCACATCCCGCCCCACCATCTTAACACATTATTAGAATTCAGATGAGATGTCGTCAGCCCTTACCTGACATCCAAAGATTACTACAGTGAAGGAAACTGGGGTTCATTCCTTAACCTAAGGTGCTGAAGCTAATCATTCTCATAACCGGTGTCCCTACTGACCCTAACACTAACTAACCTTTTCGGTGTTAGCCTGGCACAGTGGTAGCATTCTTGCCTCTGAGTCAGAAAGTTGTGGGCTCAAGCCCCACTTTGGGACTTGGAATCACTTAGTCTAAGATAACACTACAATGCAGTGCTGGGAATGCGCTGCATTGTTGGAGGTGCGTCTTTCAGATGAGATGTTAAATCGAGACCCCGTCTGCCTGTGCAGGTGAATGTTAAAGATCCCATGGCACTATTCTATTATTATTTAACACAGCGGAGAGAAGGGATCTGTGGTCCAGGTTAGTGCCACACAGAGCATCAGTCATGCAGATATTGCTCGATGCACTCAAAAATGGATTTACTCACCTGATCAGATCGTCCCTATTTCGGAAGATTGTCGTCTTTCGTGCTACCTTGTACTGAGGGAAGGTCACGCGCCCCATGTTCACCAACAGCACTGTAGACATCTGGTTCTGGCCACTACTTGCTTCTTCCTCCACCGCATCAGTCAGTGAGAAAAGCAGCAGCAGCCTCGACAGGACTGCTCGTGGGGCCCGAGCAACCCGCACACAATTGCCTGCCAGCTCCTTAGCCCTGTGTACACACCACATAGTGAGTCACAAAACCCACCGCAGGCACACACACACTACACACACACACACACACAACACAATGAGTCACATTTCAAATTCCAACACAAGACCATTTGTTACCAACGAGTTTCTTTTAAGATATATCTGAATGTTTCCCTTTTTAAAAAATAAAATATTCTTCATACAAGTGAAATAAGTTTTAAGTGAGTAACTACCCGCTGACCTTTTCATCATCATAGAGCCGGTGGTGGAGCTGGTCAGACCTCCGAAGAGCGAGCGCTGCCTCGACAATCGCAACAGAGACGTCATCAGCTCCCTCCGTCCGCTGCCAGGCACCAGGAAACGCTTGGCGAGAACTTTCATTTCCGGGCCAGATAGTAAATCCAACGATTCAGAAACATCCTGAAGATCAGACTCTGGGGATAAAAGACGAAGAGCACAGTGTCAGCAAATGAGGAGCCTAATGAATAAATCAGAACCAGAAAGTACACAACACTGCGAAGAGATGGAAACAGCCACTAATTGTTCCCTCACTTATTGGGGATCAGCTACAAGCTAAACCACCAATGTTGTCAACCCTCAGCCAACACCTCTTCCTCACACCCAGCTCTCTTGTGTGTTGTTACATAATACCACATTTAAATGCCCGCAGATAATTTGGGATCATGAAGTTGAGATGAGTTCTAGAAGCACAAAGAGGGAGGTTGGAATTATTGTCTTAAAACAGAAGTGTTATCTGGGAAACATTTACACAAGTGACTAATGTATTTGCATTACATCATTTAAATAATAATAAAAATGTGGTCACTCGATCCACTACTGTTTGTGGGACAGCTCTGTGCACAATTAGCTGCCAGGTTTCGCCCACAAACTACACTCACTTCATTTTAGAGTATATTCTGTGAAGTGCTTTAAGACGTCTCAACGATATGAGAAGGCGCTATATCAATGGCAAGGATTATCACTAAATTAGGTAAATATTTGAAAAATGGGAGGCACAAAAGGGTTTGGGGAAAGAGCAGAGAAATGGGATTGGAATAGATAGATAGCTCAAGTGGGGAAGCCAGCACAAGCACAAAAATTATGGTGAAAGAATAATGGGATTAGAGTTGAAAGCTTCAGGAGACTGTGATATTCTGGCCAAGATCCCTAATCTGTCACAAGCACATTATTGCACCTGTGAGGCAGCTCCAACACATATTTAATGGCACAAACCCTGAGTGCTTACCTGTCTGTAACAAGCCAGCCTTGCCCATCTCCCGAATGTACGGTATCAGATCCAAACCAATCTCCGCATAATCCAATTTATTCACCTTTAGCCAAATCAGTTTCCGCTGAAAAAGCCGTACGTAGAGCTTCTTGGCATCAACTGGGTGGAAAAGGAGAGATGATTCAACTGATATCAACAATACACCACGTACATGACTTTGCGCATTGACTTCCCCCCTCCTCTCCCAGCGCAGACCACCTCCGCACACCAACCACTACCTTCCAACCTCCGTCACCACCCCCCCCCCCCCCACCCCGCGCACACACACCAACCCCCCCCCCATATACCAACAACCCAATCACCGCAAAGCCCCCCCCCCCCGACCACCCTGTATGCTGACCACGTGCGCCGTTCAAAAAGAGAAGAGTTTCTCCCGGTGGTGTCCTGGCGGCCGACAGTCCCCCCAAATAAAACTGGTCACTCACTCCGCGGCTGTTGGAGGGACAGTCCTGTGCGCGAATGGCTGCCGCGTTTCGCCCACGAAACGCAAGTCACTCCACTTTACAGTATGTCCCGGGAAGCGCTGTCAGACATCCCGACGACATGAAAGACACTATATCAAACACAAGGATTATTATTACTATTATTATTATAGACAGCACAGACATGGGGGGGGAGGGGGAGGGGAGGGGGGGGGGGGGAGGGGGAGGGGGGGTACAGCTGGTGCCAGGTTCCCAGTACCTGAAAGCTGAAGGAAGGCTGTGATCCAGGAGTGATCCTCTTCGTTGAAGAGCTCTCTGTCTTCACCGCCCAATACCAACTCCATCATCATCAGGAAGTTAGACAGGTAATAGGGGACCCGAGCGGTGTCCCCCCGCCCCGGGCCCGTGTCCCCCCGAGCGGTGTCCCCCCGCGCCGTGTCCCCCGGACCCGTGTCCCCCCGAGCGGTGTCCCCCCGCCCCGTGTCCCCCGGCCCCGGCCCCGCATGTCCCGGGTGTAGCTGAGGGGAGCCGCGGTCCTCCCGCTCCCGCCGCCGGCTTTTCCTGGAGAGTTTAGAGGCCGCGCGGCCCCGGGAGGGGGACCGGGCCTCAGCCTCGGCCTCGGCCTCGCCCCGGGGCTGCTTCGGGTCCGGCGGGAGGAGCTGAGGCGGGGAGCGAGGCGCCGCCTCACCCCGGGCCCGGCGCAGCTTCAGGCTCAGCCGCCGCTTCCCGCCTCCCGACCACATACCGACAGCAGCGGGTCTGGGCTCACATGGCGGGGGAGGGAGTCAGAGGTGACCCGCCCCCAACAGGTCAGCCCCGCCCCCGACAGCCCAGCCCCGCCCCCCACAGGTCAGCCCCGCCCCCCACAGGTCAGCCCCGCCCCTAACCGCCCCGCCCCCACCTCAGCCAACAGCCCCCAACCGGTCAGCTCCGCCCCCGACAGCCCCGCCCCAACAGGTCAGCCCCGCCCCCGATCGCCCCGCCCCCACCTCAGCCAACAGCCCCCAACAGCTCAGCCCCGCCCCCAACAGGTCAGCCCCGCCCTCAACAGGTCAGCCCCGCCCCCAACAGGTCAGCCCCGCCCCCCACAGGTCAGCCTCGTCCCCGACAGCCCAGCCCCGCCCCCAACAGGTCAGCCCTGCCCCAACCGCCCCGCCCCCACCTCAGCCAACAGCCCCCAACAGCTCAGCCCCGCCCCACTCCAGCTCCGCCCCCCACCCCAACAGCCCCGCCCCACCAGCCCAGCACCGCCCCCAACCCCACCCCCACTCCCCTCCTGTACCGGGCGCCACTGGGCTCCTTGTTTACAAGCAGATCCTCCAGTTACCTACAGGGTCTCCCCAACGCCCCGTTACCCCCCACCCCCCCCCCCATCTCCGCCTCTTTTTCTTCTACGCTTCACTGACCAACCACTGAAACCTGTGGAAGAATGTTGATAATTGTAGTTTATTGTGTACAGTATAAAGTCAAGCAAATACGCCCAAAGGTAGCCCTGTATCATGCCTTGCCGAGCAGATTTACCTATAGGTTCGGGCATTCGAAACTGTAAGAAAAGGTTTTCAAAGGGTGAAACAAAATTATTCGCTCGAGCTCTGTTCAGTCTTTTGCACTGTGTTCCAATCTTTTGCTGAAGGCAGTTAAGTCGACTGCAAGGAACAATTATTTTAAGGAATATTATTTTTGAAATTTACGAGCCCACAGCTCAAGTGAAGCAAAAGACGCTGTGTAGCATAAAAAAGATCGTTACTTTTTATTGGAAAATAAGTTTAACAAACAACGTTTGTGTTGGGTACGTGCAGTAGAGTCCACTGTATAATGGAATGGGTATGTACAGGAACTGGACAAGTGACCTCAGACTTAAAGCTTTAACCTGCTGGCAGAAAGTTCTGCACCTCGCTTCTTTTTGTTGTTCTTGCTCTTTGCTCCTTTCAGCTCCATCTTGACTTGATCCTGGAGTTGGGAGAAAAAGGCTTGGGAGGTGCGCAAAGCCTTATCCTTCCCGTCATCCTGTTAATGGTTAAAAACAAATCAGGCTGAGAATTCATTTTAGGAAAAGCCTAAAACTAAGGAATACAAAATACCATACCTGTGAAGGGGACAGGGAGGGAGGAAACGTAAATAACTGAATAGTTGGGGTGGTGGAGGGGGGGGGAGAGAAGCAAGATGGGGAGGGGTGTCTGGATGGAGCAGAGGGGTGGAGGAAGTGGAAGGGGGAGGAAACTGGAGACAAATGAGTGACTTCTGCTACTCAACTGCAGAGCCCCTGAACACTGCCAACTCTGGTAAGCAGTAGTCTTCTCGATCATCATTACCAGGAGAGAAGAGGAGCTACAGAGGACCCCACACCATGGTAAACTGTTCCCCCACCACCCCCATCATACAGAGATGTATACAGAGAACGACAATCTGCTGTAACTGATGGCTACAATGAGCTGCAACATTTTCCACCGACATTTGCTACTCTCTACAGAAAGCCTCGTTGCCCGATGCTGCTGGAGTATAGCAGCTGTAAGGGAATTAATTTAATCTGTAATCTCTCTCCCTCTCCTCCACCCCTCCATGTTGAAGTTTTGAGTGTATCATGCTTCATTCCTTCCCTGAATCTTAACCAACAGCACCCACCTTCAGCAGGGTAGTTTTGCCGTCCCGGGTAAGTTTCTTCAGTTTCTCGGCAGCGCCTGCTCTGGACAGCTTGTTGCTGAGACTTGGATTCTGTTCCTCCCGTAACTTCCTGCGTTTTTCTTTCTCTTTCATTCGCAAGCTTTTCATCTTCTTCTTCTTCTTTCTCTCTCGCTTCTTATCTGTCGTTGTTTTTTCCGTATCTCCTTTCACATCCCCACCTTTGTTCTTCTCCTGTAACCACCAGCAAAATTCAGCACTGCTCCAGTCCCCTGCACAAACCCCCCACTCAAACCACACACAACACCCAGCACTGCCCTCTCCCTCCCTGCATACAGTCAATAGGCAGCAATTCAGAATAGGAATTCTGACTGATTTCCTCCTTCTTTAACTGAGGAACTAATTGTAGCCCCGACTGCTGCTATCTCAGCATAGACTAGGGAATCTGGATCACATGCTGTACCAGTGCATTGGGCCAGTGTGCAGTCCAGTAGTACATTGGTTTCTGCTAAAAACACATTCTGAACTTCTTGTACTGAACTTCCATAATTGATCGGTCCGCTCATCAGGCTCTGGCCTGCTCCATGTCCCCAACCCCTCCTGCCCCACCATTCGCGGTCAGGACTTCAGCCTTTCTGCCCCTACCTTTTGAACTCCATCCCAGTCCCTTTGCATCGCTCTCTCCTTTGCCTCCTTCAAGGCACATCTCAAGACTCTCCTCTTTGACCACACCTTCTGTCACCCTCCTCCTCCTACCATCCCTACCCTGTACCCCTCCTGATCCCAATCCCCAACTTGGGTTCAAATCGTTGATTGTCCAGCGCATTGTGACGTCCTCTCGATGTGAAATAGAATTTGTTTATTTGAACCTTAATCTGTGTGTGGTGCTTACCTTGATTTCCTCAGGAGCCAGTAGGTTGGCATCGCTGGTACCCACAGGTGCAACTTCTTCAATTTGAATAGATGGGAGGTTGGAAACAACTGAAATTTCAGGTACAGGCTGATAAAAGAGACGGTCATTAGAAACAAATTTGAGAGCAAAATACAGGATCTTCACTCTTCTCCTGCTCCCCTGGGCTTTGCAGCAGGGCATTTTTGCACAGGAATAGTTGGAAATATTCTGCTTCCTTTCCACCCACTTAACTTTACTCTAAAACAAGCTTTGTGCGTTTCTTAAATAGTAAAGCAATTCTTGCTGTAATAATGAGTGTTAAGTTACGTTAGCGTTTAGTTAAAGCAGGATGTTCAGTTGTCGGTCGGTCATTACACAGGTTCCTTTACTCACTGGTTTGGGTGTGAAGTGGAAGTTGGAAAGTGCATCCAGTTTGAGGAAGAGTGAATCCATCCTCTTCTGCACCTCCACATGCTGCGGATTCTCCTCAGCCTCTGTCTGCTGCTGCAGGAACAAGTGGTTTGTAAGTCACTAGTCAGTCGGTTAGATGGGCTCCATTCTACATTTCTGTTTGCACAACTAGTTCTACAATGTTAACTCACTTTGTATAGTCGACTTGTATCTTCTAATGATAGTACCTTACAATGAGCTAAATAGGCTTTTTTTCTTTAATCTTACTCCATCCCCATCAGCAAGAGGCAGGGGGGAGGGAGATGACTGAACACATGGTCAGAAGTAGGTTTTCTGGATACTTTGAAAAACAGAGATGAGTGAGGCGGAGGGACTTCAGAGAGAATTCTAGGAGGCATTGGCTGAAGCTTTAGCAACAAATGCTGGGGTAGGGTAGATGAGAAACACACGACCATCAGTTCGCTGAGCAATGAAGAAAGTCACGGAGGTAGGGAAGGGAATGAATGGATTTGTAGGGGAGAATGAGCATTTTGTCTGCCGGGAGTCAGAAAGCCAGTGGAGACTGGCGAAGACGGCAATTACAGGCAATCAAAGCTTAGTGTGGGTAAAGACGCGAGCAGCCAAATTTTGTATGAGCTGAGGCTTGTCGATGTTAAAGACTGGGAGGCCAGTGAGGGGGCCATTGGTGAAGTCCCATCCTGTGGAGTCCTGTAGCTCAGTGGTTAGAGCACTCGCCTTGCAAGCGAGACACTTGGTTTCAATTCCAGGCAGAGGGCAAAACCTTGGGCAAGTTTCCTTACTTCACACACCTAATAATAATCCCTCCAAAACCCAAAAACAATAATAAATTGGTCATTTTCAATCCACGACTGTTTGTGGGACGCTGCTGTGTGCAATTGACTGCTGCGTTTCGCCCACAGATATACAGTCAATTCACTTTACAGCATATTCTGTGAAGCACTTTGAGACATCTAGAAGACCTGAAAAGCACTATATCAAATGCAAGGATTATTATTATTGAGTATATTATATATATTGTACATAAAACAAAGAACCTTAAATATCTATTGAAGTACCTGGGTTTGCTTTAGATATTCCTTTTCATAGACTTCAGCCAAACTCAGCTTGCTTTTCTCATGGTCCAGGGTCAAACGCTTCTTGTACTCAAAGGTCTCTTCCTTCAGCTTTTCCTTACGTACAACATCATCCCAGGCCTGGATCCGAGAGATAGCAATGTGATTAGCTCCTAGTAGCACCATCACATCCCCCCACCCCCCTCCTGTGACACTTCCCACCTCATGTATTTCAATGAGATGTTACAAAGGAACAATTGGTGTGTATCAGTCTCCCATCTAGAAACAGTAGAACATAGCTTCTGGGGAGACCAGGTGCTGGACTCCAGCTCAGAGCAATATATCTGCTTATTCCGTCAAAGAAAGTAACATGATAATGAGCCAGACCTTAACGAGATTACAACAGTCACACAGACCAGATGATCCCAGGACCATAATCAGATTCCTTCTTCTTTCTACCGCCACTCACCCCTCCCCCCACCTCCTTCCGGCAGCTTTCACATACAAAGCTCACACACGAAGACTGACCGCTTGGGGCAACTACACAGGATGGCCATGAAACCAAACCCCAGTAAAGGAAAAGTCAGAATCCTTCAAGAGAGAAGGAAGATGATGGCAGAAAATTGAGAGCGAAATTAGAAAGCAATAATCAAAATTACTAAGTTAAAACTTGGCAAAATGGATTTGTTTTCATTAAACTGCAAACAAACAGGTTCTTGCGAGAAGTTATTGAACTTTGTGGCCCTGGATTCACACTCATATCATGTTGACTTGTCGAACAACTGTCAATGAAAAGGTTGTCTGCTGGAGAGACATAAGGAAGCGCTGCACTGACCTGATCTTTAATCCTCTGTATAATGAGGTCTTCTAGCTCAAGCGTGGTAGCTTCTGTGATCACTGGAGCTAAAAATACAAATGGGAAATTAACACAAATCGAACAGCAACACAACAAACTAGCCAATGGGAGAATTTCAGAAAGCTCTTTCCCCGCTCCCCCCAAACCCACCTAGCAACCAAGTGCACCTTACCTTTTTTTTAAAAAAAAGGTTTAACAAATAACACTTATCCACAGAATTTTTTTATCAGCAATTTTTTTTAACGTGGGAGGGGTGTTATTACAGCCAAGCCCAATCCTGTCCTCTCATGCGGTAAATGGAGGGACACAGGAAAGTGAACAAGAAGCTGGCGTCAGGATGTTGCCCCGGCTGAGCTCAGCAAAGTCAACACAAGCTGTGATTTAACGCAGCGATCTTTAGGGTGTCTGGCGTAGATGCTGAACCATAAAGGGTCTTAATAATAATAATCCTTGCATTTGATATAGCGCTTTTCACGTCGGGAGGACGTCCCAAAGCGCTTCACAGAACACACTGTAAAGTGAATTGACTGTATATTTGTGGGTGAACGCGGCAGCCAATTGCGCACAGCAATGTCCCACAAACAGTCGTAGATTGAAAATGACCAATTTATTATTGTTTTTTTTTTGGAGGGTAGTTCACAAAGTCCTGTTGGCCCCCGACTCCCACCTCCCCGGTGTGCTTTTTTTTCCCACACAATGATTGTTTATTTTCTGTGACAGATGAGTTGAGTGTAACAATGTGTGATACCAGTAACTTCCTCGTCACTCCATCCATGTTGCGGAAAATACAATTATTAATATTGTTCCACATGTTTCAGCTGTTGGTCAGTGCGCTGTGTGTAAAAAAAAATAGGGGTAACAGGACTTGGTGTACATGCCCAAAGCTCTGATAAGTAACTGGTGCCTCTGCACTCAGGGTGAGAGCTGAGAGGTGGTTACCTTTCCTGGCTGTCTGATCAAACAGGAGGTGTTCCTCCAGCAGGCTGTTCTCAGGCCGTTTCTGTGAGGTCACCTCGCCCATCAACTGCCAGGGCTTCTCCCCTAAGGCTGCCCTTTCCAGATTTTCCATCTTCTCCTTCAGCTGTTGGATACAAACCACAAGAAGAACATTAAAAAGAGTGTAGGAGCCAGTGAGATGGCATTCAACTAGCTAAATCACGTGAAGAAAACATCAAATGGAGACTCTGACGGGCTAAATGACCCCTTTCTGTGCTGAAACATCCTACGATTCTAGGAAATCCAGAGCTGCAGTCACACTGACATTTCCGGAAGAAAGTCAGTGCATAGACAGCAACATTCTTGGCACAACTCCCGAAGTCTAGAATTATTCTGGTTATCACACATTAACACAAGATGGTCTTGGGCTTGCAGCTCATTCACATTCAGTTTCATGATGTTTGATGAGAATTAGCAAATGCCCTGAAAAATCCCCCAACTCAAAGTATTCACTAAAATGAGGGTCCTGTAAAAAGCAGGCAACTGGGAGCAACACTGAACTCCAGGCTAGTATGTATGTTGGGAACACTCTTGAACTATGGGAATAAAGGAGTGTGTTTTGGAATGACAGTTGAATGTCTGTTTGTAAATTACATTCACCTTTGCTTGGCGCTTTTCAAAGGATGATTTGCTTTCTTCTTCCTGTGTGTCCTGTCCTCCCAAAACAGCAGACAGTTCCTCTCCCTCGCTCTCATCCGACAGGTCAAAGGTAACTTTCTTCAGGGCCTCCTTGGCTTCTTTGCTTCCCTCAGTCTCCTCCATCGCCTGTTCTTCATCTCTGAATCAGTAACAAGGAAACTAATTTAACTTTCCAGCACTTCAACCCTGGGATTTGTTTTCTACAGTGGGGAATGGAGAATTTACTCAATGTGTATAACAGGTTTACTCATTTTTTTAAAATACAGCATCTACCTTTAGCTTGTAATTAATTATTTTTACCAATTAAAGTACTTGTATTTTCATTTCTAAGCTAAGCAAAGGTGATTACTGTCAAGTATAGTGAACTAGGTAACTATTTCACTTAAAGTAAGGCACCACAGACAAGCATGAGGAATTTGATCGATTAATCCAGGGACTCTTTTCCAATATTGCAATGGGATCTCTAACATCCACCTGGAGAGGCATGTGAGATGTCGGTTTAATGTATCCAACTGAGGGACGATAATTCCAAAGATGTAGTGCCCTCCAGTGCCTCGTAGTGTTAGCCTAGACTGTGAATTCAAGTTCCAAACTGAGGCTTGAACTCACAACCTTTTAACTCTTGAGGCTCCAACGCAACTAACTGAGCCAAAATTTACATTGTATTGCTACAAATTAAATGCTATAAAATCTGGAACCAAAGAATTACTAGGTACAGACATTGCTGCAGTTTCTAAAGCGGCAAATGAGGTGGAATAAATAAATTAAGACATTACTCGAACATTTCTTCTGCATCATCTTCAAAATCTTCAAATTCATTTGCGCCTGGTTGCTTCTCTTCCTCATCATTTTCTTTATCCTGGCCACCATTTTCAGTCATACTTGCATTACCCTCCACAGGGTCAAAGAAATGTTTGTACTTCAAATTTCTGGAACTCTTTGACTGAAAACAGGAAAATATTTCACTGTATTAGTGCCCGTTCGATTTTTACCGTAGGAGACTGAAAAAGCATCATAAATTTCCATTTCGTAAAGAAAATGCTGTCTGAATGAAAATACTGATGGCATTAGTGTGCAGCAAGATTGGAGAAACCATCCATAAGACCTGGAAAGTGTCCACGAACCAGCACTTCCACCTCACTCAGTCACTACCAACACTCCCTCTTCATGGACCTCTTAAGGTTGACCCATTACAGTCAGTGTGCTCCATCTATCCTAATTCCGTTCTTTGCCTGTACTCTGTAATGCACTTCCTATTTAATAATAGTAATAATAACACTTGCATTTGATAGAACTCCTTATCAAAGCTCAAAGCTCTTCACAGAATATATTGTAAAGTGAATTGACTGTATATTTTGTGGGTGAAATGCGGCAGCCAACTGCACACAGTAAATGTCAATCGTGGATTGAGTGACCCATTTTTTTTAATAGATTATTATTACACATATTACTTATGTGTTTAATACCCTTTAAAATGCCCAATATTTGTGCTTCATCAGTTTTCCCTGGGAATTCATTCCATATTCTGACAAGCCTTTGGGAGATTTTTATTCTCCTTTCAAACCTTAAAACATCTCAATCATAACATCATCCAATTTTCTCTGCTCCAACAGAAAGCTCTCAAAGCCTCTCCTCATAGCTATACCCTCTCACCTCCTGCATTGCCTCAGTGAATCCATGCTATTACTTGATTGCATTTGATTTAGCACTAACAAATAGAAACAACCAAATGTGCTTCAGATTTTTTTTAAAAAGTGTAGTGGCTGTATTTGTTGGAAAATCTAGCTGTAAGATTGAACAGCAATATCCCATAAACAGCCACGAAATGAATGTCCAATTTTATCTGTAGGATTGTTGGCCAGGATACCAGGAGAAACTACTGTCTCTTTTCAAATAGTGTTATGCGATATAACGTCCACTTGATCAGGCACATGGAACCTCGGTTTATACATCTCATAGGAACAGGAGTGGTCCATTCCTCCCCTCGAGCCTGTTCCGCCATTCTATTAGATCATGGCTAATCTGTACCTCAACTCCAAATACTCGCCTTTGCCCCATATCCCGTGATACCTTTACCTACCAAAAATGTATCCACCACAGTCTTGACAATTTAAATGGATCCAGCATTCAACAAGGCAGTTCTTTACACAATCTATTACAGCAGTATCCCATTATAACACAATTTCAGATCCATAAATTCATACATTGCATTATAACGGGGCACAGTGGCAAAACAGCCACTTTTCTTGCTATTGAAGAACAAGATGGAAATTCTTACATTTGTTTTCGATTTTTTCACCTCATCCTCATCAGAAGGAATATCTTCAAAATAATTTATTTCGTCTTCTTCATCTTTCCTTTTCTTCCCGTCTTCCTTCTCCACTTTCTCTAAGAAAGCTTCCATTTCTGAAAGCTTAAAAAACGTATCATCCACTGCAGATTCGGGAGCATTTTTCTGACTTTTTCTCTGGGGTACTTTCGTCTGTTTCTGAAGTTCATCAATGTCAAAATCTAAGTCAGAATCTTCTGCACTGAATTCTTCACTTGTACCGCTTTCTGTTTTGTTTTCATTCTTGTTCAACTGCACCTCTTCATTTTTCTCACCCTCATCTTCCACAGACCCCTTAGGTTCAAGCTTTTCCTCGGCAGGTTTTTCCTTCTCTGAAATAAGTCTAATTGTTGTATCTCTACCCACAACAGCCACTGCTTTTCTGAAGTAGTTTAAGACAGAATTGTTCTGCAGCTCGAGTTCCTGCCAGATTTGTTCTTCATCAAAGTGTTCTATCACAAGTTCCTTTAAAGGACTACCTGCCGGACCAGCCTCCTCCTGAGCCTTCTGAAAGTCATATAGCGTCTTAGTGAGAGCAGTGAAGTCTGACGCCAAACCATCCTGTACACTGGGGATCAAAGGAGTGAATGTTAGTCAGAACTTGTACACGAGGAGATAGGAGCGCCGTGGGCCATTGAGGAGGAAGCCGTTCAAAACATTTATTTACAAATGTAATAAACCTGTAATGGTGAGAAGCGTCAGACACTGGGGAAGATGGAACCACGCCGGGGTCTTAGCCCGGGGCTGTGAGCTTCGAGTCCCAAGCGGGCCAAGGCCAGTGGACCAAGGAGCGGACAGGCCAGGGGCAGAGAGCGAGCGGGCCGGGGCCGGGGCCGGGAGGCCATGGAGGGAGCGGGGGGGGGGGCATCTCTACACGAGGGGACACGGTCTGATTTACTCCCTCTCTCTCTCCCACCATCCCCGCAGCCCGACTGAGCTCAGTAGCTCAGCGCAGGCCGGCGCTGGGCTCCCCTGTGAAGCGGCCTACACTGGGATGTACCTGAGGAGCCGCTCGGGCTGCGCTGTGGCGACCTCCAGGCGCTGGAGGATCTCCCTGAACGCCGCCATTTTGCTGAGCAACACCACTTCCGCTCCCCCGGGGCTCGGGCCGCGGCTTCAGTTCCGCCGCTCGCAGGGTCCCAGTCCTGCACATGCGCACTTTGCACTGTGTCCCCACATGTAAATGGTACCTGTCACTGGCAATTGCCTTCTCTTCATTCATCTTGAACACCATCAGCAGCTGAAGCTTTCTGATGAGATTATTACTCCTGCGGCTAAGGTCATTACTCCCATTACTATTGCATTACTCCCACAGCCGAAGTATTACGCCCCATTGGCAATATTATGATCCCACTGGTACTATTGCTCTCATTGCTGAGGTATTACAGCATATCAATTGCTGGGATTATTACTCCCACAGATTAGGGAATTGGGGTCTGGAGGGGTGGAGGGTGGGGGGGGGGAAGGTGTCCGAAGGGACGGTCGAAGAAGAAGGTCTTTAGACGGGACCTGAAGTAGACAAGAGGACGTTTGAACCCACAACTTTCTTACTCAGAAGCGAGAGTGCTAACAGTGGTGCGAGGCTGCTCGCGCTGATTGGATTTTGGATCCTCTCGAATTCAAGATCCTCCTCCTCACCTACAAGGCCATTCACGGCCTCGCTCCCTCCTACCTCTCCGACCTACTATCCCCCTACCTACCTGCCCGTACCCTCCGTTCCTCTGGCTCCGGTCAGCTCCACATCCCCCGCCCCAACCGCCCGACCATCGGTGGCCGGGCCTTCAGCCTCTCAGCCCCGAGGCTCTGGAACTCTATCCCCCAGTGCCTTCGCCGCCTCCTCCCTTTCCTCCAAGGCCGGTCTCAAGACCTTTCTCTTTGACCGTGCCTTCAGCTCCTCGCTCGACTCTCTCCCCCCTCCCCTCACCCTGACCATTTACCCCCAATGCTCGGGTCCTGACCCAACTGTACAGCGCCTTGGGACGTCCTCCCGACGTGAAAGGCGCTTTATAAATGGAATCTTCTTGTTGTTGTTTGACTCCCACTGCTGGGGCTATTACTTTCTTCTGCTGTGATTATTTTTCCGGCTGCTCAGTTTGTGATTTGTTTCTGGTTTTATTATTCTGGCTGCTACTGAGTCATTACTCCCATTGCTGGAATTACAACAATACTTTGCATTTATAGACACTTCACGTAAGGGTAATGTCTCAGAGGATTTTACAGGAACGGGGTTGGAAGCCAAGCAGGGAAGAGGGGCAAGGGGAGGTTGCCATAGGTGCATTCAAAATGGAGGATTTGAAGCAGGATTTGAAGACAGAAAAGGAGGTGATGAGACAGATGATTATTATATCTGCTGCTCAGTGCCTTACAGCCATTGCATCTATAATTCAGAGATCACAGTGACTGCTCTAGTTATCTAGAAAAAGTCAGCACCATCTCTGAGGCTTTAAAGCACTTTTCCCATTCCTCCTCCACCCACTATCAAAACACACAATGACTGTTTGGGAGGTTATTCTCCAAGTGAACTCTGATTGAATTTTATACTCACACACCTGACCTGCCTGATGATTTCTTCATCTCACAATCATATCATCTTCATTTTGTACATCGCATTCTTCAAAGTAATAGTGTGATTCCTCAATTTTCTCTTTTCTAGCGATGGCAAAACTATACCTGATCCGGCAGCTGCCCTCTGCGCCCTCGTTGCCTGCCTTCCAATCCACATTTTGAAAGGTACTATGTGCAGATACCATGGCTTGTAGTAATACAGTGCTAACATGTAGGGTTAATGTCTTGAAGTGCTTCTTCCCAGCTGGACAAGGAGTGGGAAGCTTACCAGAATATTCACAACGGCAAGCTCTGAATTTTTGGCTGGTTAAACTCCCACCACTTTCTGGTTTCCCCCGGTATTGGCTCCGGCCAAACTGTGGCTATTACTTTCTGGAATTAGGTAAGCAGGATTTGCCTTTCCATGGAGAGAGTGTGTAGTCTGTCCGAGACAAAGGGAAATCTCCTTGAAGCGGAGGCATGAGTATATGGAACTCTTGTCTGGTTTGGACTCTGTATGGGTTTCTGTATGTCTCAAACCAGCTTGCTGATCAACAAAGATGATGGGGCGCCTCAGAGAAGTGAAGAAATATTGATCTATGAGTAAATATTGATGAATAGATGAATATGTGTCCAGGTCTCAGGGCTCTGCTGAACAATCTACATTCAGTCTCATGTGAACTGACTTGTCATCACATCGCAGGATGGAGCACCTCGGAGCCCCTAACGGTGAATGATACATACTTGTGTGCATTCAGAGTCTGGGGTTCGGTGGTGGGGTGGGGTGGGGGTAGTGGGGAGAATGGGAAGGGGGTGGGGGGGGGGGGGGGGTGCTCAGTGCACGCAGTATTCAGTGTGCGGGGTGTGGAGATGTTTGGCTATTCAGGTTCAGGGTTCTCTCTCTCTCTCCCTCTCTCTCTCTCTCTCTCTCAGTGTTTGCAGAGACACAAAGGAGCAGCAGCGAGAGGCGAGGAGCAGGTGAGCAGCATCCACAGCCCCACACCTGCACACACACACACACACACACACTGCTCATTGCATCCGTCCCCTGGGTCAGATCTGCAAGTCGCACAGCGTTTAAGCTTTTTTGTTTTATTCCAAAGAAAAACTCCTTTGCAAATCAAACGCTTTTTATTATTGGTTACCTATTCTCACAGCTTTTTTTCTTGGGTGTGTGTGTGTGTGTGTGTGTGTGTGAGTGAGTGTGTGAGTGTGTGTGTGTGTGTGTCAATGGTCCCATTGACTTGACTGCAAAAGCTTGGGTTGAAAATGCATCGATATATGGTATTGCATTTTTTTAAAAAAACACACACACACACACACACACGTTTCAGCCTGTGTTTTTTTTTATATACACACACACACTGCTGTGCTGTGCAGGACTGGCTGCCTTGGTGCATTGCATGGAGCAATGCCGTTTGGTGCATGGGAATGCACCGATGCCCCTGCACATCTGTGGTACTCTATTTTAAAAGGGGTATATTTTTTTTTAAAAAAAGACGCTTCGTTCTGGATGAAGGGCAATCGTTTGCTTTGTGTTTGCCAATAGTGGGGGGAGAAAAAGGGTGAAAGAGCTCAGCATTCCGATCACAGCGTTGCTCCTGAGCTCAGGTGGACAGCAGCAGAACACTGCCCCCCACTCCCCTCCCTCCCTCCCACCCTAAAAAAAAAGTGCATGCAAGTGGCAGAAGGATTGAGAAGGAGGGGGGAGGGGGAGGTGGGGGGAGGCTTCATTTAAAGAGCTTGTCTTGCCTGGTTTGGTGCAGGTCTGCAGGGGAGACGAGATGCGGGAGATGTGATGATCCTGTGGTCCATTTCCTCATCCCCTTCCTTCAGATGACGTCTCCCAAACACACGAAAGAGCAGAAAACGATTGGGGGAATGAATTAAATATATATGCATATACATATATATATATGCATATACATATATATATAGCAAAGACGAGGCATAGAGGTGATTGAGACAAAGGAAGGGGGTGATGGTGATGCAGGCGAGGGGAGAAGGGACACAACGAATGCAAATGAGATAGATGTCAGATGTAAGATAGATGTGAGAAGCAAATGGATCTGGAGCTGAGAAGGTCCATGGAGCTGTCTGGAGGGTGCAGTGGTTGTGAATGGGTGAGGACAGGGTTGAGCTGGATCTCTGGGCTCCACACAGAAAGGATTGGCATCTTTCTGAGCTCTGGATCCATCTGTGCTTCCCTGTGGGAAGTGTGATCCCCCCCCCCCCCCACACACACACACAGTGAGATAGCCTGCATGTCACTTACTCCTGAACATTGCCTCGAAACCATTCAGGATGGCAGGGAATCAGGAAACAAACAAAACAGGGATTTTACCAGCCTCGCGTTTATAAAGAAAGGGCTTCAGTAATTAGGGTTTAGTAACATGACTCCTTCATCAATGGTTCATCAACTCCCAGACCCTGAGCCATACAAAGTGGGAAGCTCCATCTCTGCTCTGTGCTGAGTTTCTGATCTCAGTCAGGGTGACAATTGGCCTCAGCCCTCCTCCCCCACATTCCACCTCCTTAGAGTTCCCTGATCTGTGACCACAGACACCTTCTCTTCAATATCCCCCCACCCCACCTCATCTTGGGATGAGGCAGGACCAGGTCTGTAAGCATCCCGCCTACACGCAGTGGTCAGGTTTGGTGAGGAAGCAGAGAGCAACCTTAGAAACAACACAGCACAAGGCAGAGAGAGAAAATGGGATCAACAACAACAAATTACATGTATACAGTGCCTTCCACATAGGAAGGATGTCCCCCAAGACACTGGATAGTTAAGGGTTCGCAACCGAGCTGGGGGTTGGAATCTAGAGAGGTGGCGGGGAGGTGGGAGGATGGCAGAAGGCAATCATTCATGGCAACTCATCCCCTGAGAGAGAGAGAGTTGGGATGGGGGTTGTGGTGTGTATGTGTGTGTGTTGGGGGTGGGATTGTGGTGGTCTCCTGTGAATGCAGTTGCTGCTCTGGCTGAGACCAGGTAATGTGGCACACAGCAGGGATTAGACCTGGAGAATCCTGCAGGATTTTACTGAATCCTGGGATGGCTGCTGTAGTAGAGCAGCTGGAAGTAATCGGACTTTTCATAAACAGGCAGCGAGATTAATATTTCCTGGAAAACGAGGGGATTAATTTCGAAATATCCTGTGATCTATGATTGACAGGAAGTTTGTTTTCTTTTGGAAGAAAAACCTTGGCGTCTCACAGAATTTTTGAGTAGGAATGCAGTGACTGTATTTCATTAAGAGTGATTCCTCCTACAATGCAGCACTCTAGTTCTGCCCTGGAGTTTCCCGTTTATGAATCAAGTGCATGGTGATGTTATTTCTCACAGAACAAATTAGTTTGTATCAGCAAATGGCATTCTGTTTGTATGTCCCTAACCTTTATTTATTCCCCTCAATGCTCTTTTTCTGACAAGGCATACATACATTTTCTGATCTGCTCATACATACATACACACGTTCCTTTACTGCATTGTCACTGTCAGGAGGTGCATAGCATAAAAACTCCCTTCGAACAAGCTATAATTATACTCTTAGTGTATTCTGCTGATCACTGTGGGACCTTGAGCTCGTACAGTCCAGACTGACACTCCAGTGGAGTGCTGGGGGAGCCCTGAATCGCCAGATGAAATGTTACACGAGGTCCAGTCATTTTGTTCAGGTGGATGTAAAGATCCCATAGCATTAATCGAAAAGAGAAGGGAGTTTCTCCGGGTGTCCTCGCCAACAATTTTCCAGATAAAGTTGGTCATTCACTTCATGGTTGTTTGTAGGACGTTGCCTTGTGCTAATTAATGACCGCATTCACCTACAACATTTTAAGATGTTTCAACATTATAGATATCAAATGCAAGAATTTTTATTCAGTTTTATCCCTCCTTTCGACTGCTATAAATGCAAGAATTATTATAATTGTTGTCTTATACCTTGTTAATAAGGCCTCTTCTCCTCCTTCGCTGATTCCCTGGTCCTTCACAAAAATCTCAATTCTAGGCATATTTCCCATCTGCTAGAAAGAGCTTTCCAATTTTATTTATTAAATTAATTTTTAGGCCAGTATTTGGCAAAGAAGCATGAAATCTGTGCATTCCACAATGCGATTAAAAGATTTCCCAATTCGCATATGGAAATCCCAGAGATAGATTGTTGGAATGGAATGCGCACTCTCTCCCTGGAGGGACTGATCCTGTTTACCTAATTCTGGGAAGTATTAGACGCAGGTTGGTAAAAGCCGAGGCTTGAGGACCCTAGAGTGCGATTTGTGGTACTGCTGGAGTCTAACCAGCTAAAACCACATAGCTTGCCATTGATATTGCTGTCCAGCAAGCTTACCCTCTGCTTGTCCAGCTAGGACCACCCTACCTGTTAGGGCTTTGGCTTGTAGGATTAATAGGAGCTGAGTGGAATGACTCCTTGCCCTATTTCACGTTTTCAGAATGAATTCCCTGCACCTTCCTCTCTAGTTATGGCACAGGTCGGAGGACAGAACACAATGTGCAGTGGTACCCAGAGCTATTGCAGCCTTTACACAGAAACAGATGGTGTGAAAGTGATGGGTTGGATGAAGGGCATTCAAGCAGGTGCCTTATGTGCTGGATGAGGTCCAGAATGTAATGCCTTTTGCAATGGATACTGAGTTGTCAGCTCCTGAAATGGCAGTGAAATGAAGAGGCAGCTCCCGGCAGTGGAAAGCTCCTGGAGTGGGATCGCGAGTGTAAGATGTAATCAAACCTGTCCCAGATCTTGAAAAACACCCTTTGCTGGACACGAGGCCCATTCACATGAATTGCTGCATGTGGGATGACAGGCATAACAATGTGCAGATATGCAAACCCTCTGTGTGCACACACACACACCGTCTGTATGTGCACACACAAGCTGTGAGATGTTAAGACCTCCAAACTGTGTGTCGTTTTCAAATCCCTTCACTCCCTGCACCTGCCTACCTCTCCAACCTCCTCACTCTCCAACCCACCATTCCCTTTTTCAAGTCCTGCCTTGAAAACCTTCCTTTTCGACCGTGCTTAGGGTCACCTCGCAACCCCCCACCCTGACTCGAAGTCAGGCTCTGCCACTGTTAAGCGCTCTGAGACGCTACCCTGCACGGAAGGCGCTTTATAAGTGCAAGTTATGCAGACACACAAACCCTTTGCACGCATACACACACTCACACACACACACAAACAAACACACATCCTGCAGGGTACTGATCTACAAACGCTCCACATGCACGCACACAAATCCTCTGCCTGCACACAATTCACCGTGCACACAAGCAGATGTTTTACACTCATGGAACCACACACACACACACACACACCGCATTGTAAGCGCACACGTAAACACATCTGCATAAATCACAGCTACGCGCGGGAGGCAGGCGAGCTTCGGAATCTGCTGTCTTTTACAGTGAATAATTCACAAGATCTTACGAGGTGCCACCAAAGTCAAACCAGAAATAAACCCGTCTCAGCATCGCTGAAATCCCGCGGAGAGTGTCACATGCAGCACTGTCTGGCCTCTTGTAGTTACTGCGCCGGGATAGCAAACAGCAGCTGCGTGAGATCTGCAGGTTTCTTCACTGTAGCTGATCACAACTACAAGGCTGCCGGAATGACTTGTATCTCTGCCTGCCATGCACCGTGCAGGGGCGCTATCCAGCGTGAAGGGCGCTATATAAATGCTTTGTTGTTGTTGTTGTTGAGTCAGTGCTCTGGGATTCCAAGTCAGAAAGGCTGCAATCCTGTTCAATCCTGGTCTGTGCTGAGCCTGTGGATCTCAGTGATGGCAAGGAATCGAGGTCACAAATTCACCTCAGTGTTCCTGTGCTAGGGATGGGGAAAGATGAGCCCTGTTTCCCCTTTCAGATCCGTGACACCAAAAGCGTACAGAGAGGGAAAGTAACTGCATTTAAGTCACAGCCCATGGATGTTGGATCCAATTCAGACGTGAAATTCCTCAGGTCCCTCGCGTTCCAAGGTGGTGATGGAGTATGTTTAGCCTCAGGACGCCTTTGTGGCAAGTAAATAATATTATGGCAGGGTGAAACCTTGGGCAAGTTTCCTTACTCCACACGCCTAATAATAATCCCTCCAAAACCAAAAACAATAATAAATTGGTCATTTTCAATCTACGACTGTTTGTGGGACATTGCTGTGCGCAATTGGCTGCCGCGTTCGCCCACAAATATACAGTCAATTGACTTTACAGTGTGTTCTGTGAAGCGCTTTGGGACGTCCTCTCGACGTGAAAAGCGCTATATCAAATGCAAGGATTATTATTCTATTATTATTATTAATAACCTTGCGTTTGACATAGCGCCTTATCATGTCTTCGAGACTTCTCAAAGTGCTTCACAGAATATACTGCAAAGTGAATTGACTGTGCATTTTGTGGGTGAAATGCGGCAGTCATTTGCGCACAGCAGTGTCCCGCAAACAATCGTGGATTGAAACGAGTGATACGTCAGTCGGGTATGTCAGTCAGGCTCAGTCTGTAGTGCCCCCACCTCAAGGGTCAGTGTAAGGGACTGGGAAAGGGGGATATAGGAGATCGGGAGAGAGGAAAGTACATGTAGAACGATATTGCTGATCTGGTCCCAAAACAAACGAAAATCATATTAATTACATTTTATCTGTTTACTATGAACAGAATGTTGCCAGCGAGAAGCTGCCTTTGTCACAGTCACTACACCTCAGAGATACTGAGTGTTTGTGAGGTGCTTTGAAAAGCTGTTGTATTTTTTATAATTTGTCCCCCTTTACGCCTTCCCGTGTGGAGATTATTGAGGGGAATCACAGGCTGGCTGGTGACTGCTTAAAATTTATTGTCAGTGATTCATAAGAGTGCGTAAAGGTGAGGATTTGCACTCAGTGCTTGGAGGGTTGTTTGTAAGGAGGAAGCGATTTGTTATTTGGCAGGACGGAGGGCCTTGCACTTCTCCCCCCCAAAAAAAACAAAACAGACACATAGATTGAGAGGGGGAAGACTGACCGCGATGGGGGAGGTGGGGGAGACACAGAGACTGACACAGACTGACATTCAGAGAGAGATAGAGACAGACAGACATCCCTGTGTGGATGTGGGACGCTGATATCCCACTGGTGATCGCCAGCCATTGGCACCATCACTTGTCTATACTGTATCGCTGCTCCGTGTGTCTAACACACAAACGCAGTCTGTAAATGTCTTCATGTATCGGGCAGCGACTGAACGAATTCCGGTTAGCGAGTTAGTCAGTTGGCCCAGTGGTTTCCATGACCGCTCTCCGACGCGATGCAATCTCTGCAGTCTCCAATTGTTCAAAACCTCCATTCAGTGGCTCCCACAGTAAATAGCTGCAGCTGCCTGTGTGTGTGTGTGTGTGTGTGAGAGAGCGAGAGAGAGATAAAGCATGAATTATTAATCAGGGCTGCTGTTGGGCCGAGCAGTGGTGTCTGCCTGCGTTGGTTGTCAGTAAGCATGTCTGCTCCACCGCTCCTGCAGCAGCTAGAGAGAGAGAGAGAGAGAAAGAGAGCAAACACGCCATTTCATCTCGCGAGTGGCAGGGCTGTGGTACCAGCGCGGAGGATGCTCTTGAATTTATAATAATAATAATCCTTGCATTTGATATAGTGCCTCAGCACGTCGTTGGCACCTGGTTGCTGTGGAGGCAGACGGGAGGGTTGACCGGACCCTGAACACACGGTAATTGTGTGGACCGCTCATCCTTTTTAGCGTTGAAATAGGTTCCCCCTCGTCGCAAATCTCAGAAAAGCGCATCGCATTGCTCCCAGACACTGTGGCATTGTGTTCAGGTGCCGAGAGCGGAGACACACACCGCTCACCCCATTGTACTGATAATTGGAGAGGTTAAACCGGGAATTGAAATGAGGGCTGGCTGATAGGCACAGCTCTGGATTGCTCACACAGTAATGCAGATCTGTGCAAAGGTTCCCTTAGTAACTGATGCACCGCCAGCTAAAAAAAAATCTTTATTCTTTGCCCGTTTTCTTGGCACAAAAGAAAGCTCCCTGTAAGAGAGAGTGAGCTGGTGCACCAGGGGCTGGCAGGGACACGGAGGGAGAAGGGAAGATGGAGACAGATTCCAGTGTGTGAAGTGAGGGGTGAGGTGTGTCATTGGTAAATGCCTGGGACGTCCTCCCAGCGTGAAAGGCGCTTTACAAATATAATTTGTTGTTGTTGTTGTTAATGCATCGCCAATTGTTGAGATTGAGACTGAAATGTTGACGTTGGGGGAAACAATTGCGATATACCTTAACCTATGTTCCTTTGTTAATTAAAACAAGAAATGTGTTAAGGAAAAGCCCTGATTTTGCCCGGTTGTGCGGTTGGTGGTGAAGTGAATGGACACACATTGTAGCATGAGAGTGATCAGGTTCAGGTTACTTTGCCTTTGGACTCCTCAAGCCTGAAATTCCCTTGAAGACCTTTCTGTCTGTAAGGTGGACGTTAAAGATCCCACTATTTGAAAAGAGAAGGGAGTTTCTCCTAGTTTTCTAGCATCCAGATAAAGTCAGGCATTTACTTCATGGCTGTCACTGCACAGCTCTAAATAATAATAATCCTTGCATTTGATATAGTGCTTTATCATTGCTGTTGAGACATCTCAAAGCACTTCACAGAATATACTGTGAAGTGAATTGTATATTCTGTGGGTGAAATGCAGCAGTCAATTGCCCACAGCAGTGTTCCACAAACAGTCGTGGATTGAGTGACCGAATTATTATTTATTTTTTATTTAAAAAAATGTACTTCACAGTAAATCCTGCGAAGCACTTTGCAACATCCTCCCAACGCCATATCAAATGCAAGTATTACTATTATCATTGTGAGTAACTGCCCTTCATTGTGAGCAATTGCCCTGCATTGTGAGTAACTGCCCTTCACTTGTCAATGTGTTTGGTTGTTTGACCCTTCACTGTGGTCAAACACTCTTCCTTGTGAGTAAATACCTTTTGCTGTGGGTAGTTTCCCTTTGTTTTTTAAGGGTTTAGTCAGTCACTAGGAATATCGGTTATAATGATAATCCTTAATGTAGAGCCTTATTGCGTCGTTAAGACTTCTCAAAGCGCTTCACAGAATATATTGTACAGTGGATTGACTGTGTATTTTGTGAGCAGAATGCCAATTGTGTGCAGTAATCATGGATTGAGTGACCAAATTTTTTTTGAGGGATTATTACCCCGGAAAGTAATCTGCCAATTAACTAAGAACCGAGTTCCTACTTACTGCTAAGTAAACAGAGGCGTGTGGAGTAAGGAAACTTGCCAGAAGTTTTGCCCCACCCAGGAATCGAACCCAGGTCCTCTCACTTGCAAGACGAGCGCTTTAACCACTAGACTTCAGGTTCAGTCAGTCACTGTAGGTGTGGGCACAGGTGAAGGGGAGTGGGATTAATATGCGGCTTTGCAACGACCTAGCTTTGGGCTCGGCTATGATCTTGCATTGAGCTTGTTTAAACCCTGCTTCGAATTGTGTACTGTTACAGAGAGGTGCCTGGAATGTGAGCACGGAGTGAGTGCTGGCGAGTGAGCAGGAAGGTGCAGACTATGGCGAGCTCGGCACTGGGGCATGAGGCCTCGCTACCTCCCTCCGACAGACAGGAACCAGAACAGGAGGATCCCCGGGCGTCAGCGCAGGGACAGCAGAAAGAAGTTCCACTCCTCAGCAGGGAGGCAAATCCAGTTGCCCTGGAACAGGACAGACCTGACCTTCCCGGGGACGGAGACTCCAGCTCTGACTATGTGAACAGCACGTCTGAGGAGGAAGACTACGACGAAGGTCTGCCCGAGGAAGAGGAAGGTGTGACCTATTACATAAGGTACTGTCCAGAAGAGGACAGTTATTTAGAAGACATCGAGTGTGCAGGAGGGGGCTATGGACATGGGGCGCTCCACTCAATGCAGACTGATCATTGTCAGGAGGCCACGGAAGAGTCCTGGGATGAATCTAACAGACTCGGTGCTGTGACTGGTGGAGGGAGCACACAGTGTCTCTGTGATGAGGATCAGACGGATCTTGAGCTCAGTAACTCGAGCACTGAGCCAACGCAAAGCGGCGATAACGAGACATGCAGCACCGAACGGAATTGTCAGGTCAGTCGCACAGCAGGGCTCGCTGAGTGCCCAGTGTCCACAGCCCAGGAGGCGGAGGTGGAACCAGATGTGGAGGAAGAACCGGATTTGGAGGCGGAACCTGATGCAGAGATGGAACCAGATGTAAAGGTGGAACCCAATAGGGAGGCAGAACCAGATGCAGAGGTGGGACCAGATGTTAAGGTGGAACTGGATGTGGAGGTGGGACCACATGTGGAGGTGGAACCGGATGCAGAGATGGAACCCAATGTGAAGGTGGAGCCTGAAGTAGAGCTGGAGGTGGAGGATCAGGAAGAGGACATTGATCAGATAGTGAGTGAGATACAGATGAGTATGAGTATCAGCAGCCTGACCAGTCTGAGCCAGCAGAGTCCCGAGGAGGCTGGTGGCAGGAGCCTGCCCTCGGACTGCACCCAGCGCGTTCCCAATGGAGATTCCGGCACACATCACATCTCAGGAGAAGCCGGGCACATGGCACTGGGAAACGGGAAAAGCGGAGAGGCCACATGGAGTGAGAGCACAGGTGTGAGGGCTGACGTCAGGAGGCAGTGGAACCACGGCAAGGTAAACAACCCAATCTGCCTCAATCTGCCTCTGTTTATGCGTGAACTCGGACAGTGAGTGTTGATGGGATAGGGGCCTAGAAATTTGTGAAGACGGCCTTTCAACCCACTATATTGCTGTCGTTGTTTGCTCTTCCAACAAAGCCATGTATCCTAATTCCCTGCTTTTTCTCCATAAGATCTAATATCCTTCATTTTATGTCAGGTGTGGATGGGACCAAAAGCAGGAATTGTGGTTGAGTCTAAGCTGGCACTCCAATGCAGCACTGGGGTTGTGTTGCATTGTCAGAGAAATCGTCCTTCAGATGAGACGTTAAACCGAGGTCCTGTCTGCTTGTTCAGATGGTTAACGATCCCGTGGCGCTATCCGAAAAGAGAAGGTAGTTAGTTTCTCTCTCCCAGTGTCCTGGTCGACACTCCATGACTGTTTGTGGGACACTTATGTCAATTCACTTTACAGTATATCCTGTGAAACGCTTTAAGATGTCTCAACGACATAATAAGGCACTATATGAAAATGCAAGGATTATTTATATTTATTCTTCCCCCCCACCCCGACTCAGGCACTGAGACCAGTTATGGCACTGACTGCTGTCCTGGCTCACATTAGTCAATTCCCTTCATTATATTACACTCCTCAATATGATCGGCCATCAGTCTCCTTAGCTGGAAGGAGAGTGCTGGGACCAGTAATAGCTTTGTATATTCAGCAAGTAAACAGATCAGCCAAGAGTCAAATGTTTGTCTTACTGAGCAATGATTCATTAACGTTATATTGATTTTAATATCTTTAATATATTTACTCAAAATTAAAGTTCCACAGAGACCAGGGCGGTCTGTGGATCTCTGAGTAATTAAACATTTAGTGTATAAGCTTTAGTAACACACTTAAGAAAGTGTGAGAGTCACAAAGAATGCTGGGATTAATAATTATACTATTAATCCTTACATTTGATTTATCGCACATTTCATGTCAGGAGGACATCTCAAAGCACTTCAATAGCATTTAATGTGGGTCTATTTGTAGGCGAATGTGGCAGCAATTTTTCACAGCAGTGTCCGACAAACAGCTATGAAGTGAACGATCAATCTAATCTGGAGTTGTTGGCCCGGGGCACCCGGATAAAACTCCCTTCTCTATGGGGTTGAAGATAAAGGTGGCAGAAATTTACGGACTTGTAATAATAATTCTTTCATTTGATGCAGTACCTTTTTCACATTGCAATGTCTCATTGCAAATCCACAGAGATTTCTGTAAAATGTAGTGACTGAATTTGTAGAAAAATGAGGCAGCCGGTTTGCACACAGTAAATTCCCACAAATATGCCCATAAAAATTAGGTCACTCAATCCATGACTGTTTGTGGGACACTGCTGTGCGCAATTGGCTGCTAAGCTTCGTCCGCAAAATACAGTAATTTCACTTTGCAGTATATTCTGTGAAGAGCTTTAAGACGTCTCGATGACATGATAAGGCTCTATATAAATGCAAAGGTTATTATTATTATTCCAGGAGCTGCATTTTAAGCTTCAGTTGCTGGAATTTTCCAATAGTCTTGGCTTGCAATTTTTTGCAGTCTAAAAATTTATGAATTTACAGACTCCCGTCTGCTCCGCCGCTGAACTCTCCTGATGCACTCTGTGTAATTACTCTGTTCGACACATGATTTCCGTGTCTCGTAATTTTATGCCACTTTGCAAATCGAATCTTCATTAAATGGAACATCTTTGAAGTGGATGGAACGAGAAAGATGTGTTGCCGTGGTGACAAGCTTCAACCCGTGGCAACCAGGAGAGAGTCACAGGCTCAAGAGGGTGATCGAGCGGATGGGGATGAATGAGCATCAGTATCACACCACAGGGTGTTGGTGCGGTTTACGGTGGGGCGGGGGGAGGGCGGGGGGTGGTCACAGAGTGGCGTACGCATAGGCTCTGGCTGGCTCACCCCCTCCAAGCCAATGTTCCCCTGTTTTATAGGGGATGACTCTTTAAGTGAGTTTTACTGATTTCCCCCCCCCCAAAGGATATTCACCCACCGCCATGGAGGTACAGGCTGCTCAGGGGCAGGGATTTACACAGATGCGATTGCAAAGCCAAAATTCCTGTTGACCCCCTTTTGGTCTTGTGACAGGTGCCGTATAACACGGAGCAGCCGAGGAAACAGCAGCGATCAGACCTGAATGCACCCGTGGAGAATAATAACGTGCTGGAGGTAAACCTCACTGTGATTTTAGATCGTGCGGCAATAGTGCATTACCACAGAATATTGGTCTATTAGTGTTTCACCACAGAATATTGGTGTACTGTAGACAATGCATTGGGATGGGATGGTACCACGATGCCTTGATCCTGCCCACTTACAGTTGCTATTCTGGAAATACTGTACCAAAGGAGGAGAAACATGAAAGGTTTACCTGAATATTCCTCTGTAAGGGCTGAAGGTTTAGTCGAGGAGAGTGAGCTTCCGAGGCCGACCTGCCCTCAGCTCATGACCTCAGCCATTCTCTGCTGACATTGTGCTAGAGGCAGAACAGTGCTGCGTGGCCACACCAGATGATTGTGAATGTGAGAAGACTGATGATTTGTCTTTTTTCTAGCAAACAAAGAAACCAGCCTCTTTCCCCAACTTTGTGGATGGTAAGTGTAAGTTCATTTCTATATCCCATCTAGAGCTGTTATAAACACTGTGTAGCAAGCAGCCTGTGTTAGTGCTGTGTTATATACACTGTACAGCCTGTGTTAGTGCTGTGTTATATACACTGTACAGCCTGTGTTAGTGCTGTGTTATATACACTGCACAGCCTGTGTTAGTGCTGTGTTATATACACTGTACAGCCTGTGTTAGTGCTGTGTTATATACGCTGTACAGCAAGCAGCCTGTGTTAGTGCTGTGTTATATACGCTGTACACCAAGCAGCCTGTGTTAGTGCTGTGTTATATACACTGTACAGCCTGTTAGTGCTGAGTGATATACACTGCACAGCAAGCAGCCTGTGTTAGTGCTGTATTATATACACTGGACAGCCTGTGTTAGTACTGTGTTATATACATTTTATCATAGCCTGTGTTAGTGTGTTATATAACAACAAATTACATGTGTAACAGCGCCTTTCATGTCGGCTGGAAATAATGTGTGGTATTGTAATGTACACACTGTATAGTCTGTGTTATTATAGAATGTTACAACACAGAAATATGATGTCTGCACTGGTCTTTTTCTCTATGTGAACCACCTGATCTAATTCCACTCTCTTGCACACTTCCAATATCCTTTATTCTTCTCATTTTTCAAACGCTGCTCTAAGGGAGGAGCACTGGGAGGGGGGATGGGTGCCGGGGAACGGTTGGGGGAATAGGTGCTGGAGTGCTGGGGGGATGGGTGCTGGAGTGCTGGGGGGGATGGGTGCTGGGGGCAGGTAGTGATGATGTTGGGTTCAGTTCCAGGGCCTTGTGAACCAGAGGATCTGATTGACGGTATCATCTTTGCTGCCAACTATCTGGGCTCCACCCAGCTGCTGTCTGAACGTAACCCATCCAAAAATATCCGCATGGTGCAGGCACAGGAGGCAGTGAGTCGCATCAAGGTAAGAGAGGTTGGGGCGAGGGACAAGGGTGTGCGGGGCTGGGATAGGGCTGACACTCTGGTTGCTATTGGCGGTGGGGTTGAGGTTGATGCTACTTTCACGGATTGTGAGTTCTGATATTTCAGTCCTTCACTGACCAAAGTCTACTCTCTGCTTTGTTCTCAGCGGCTGCAAAAGGCAGCGAAAACCAAGAAGAAAGCGGTTGGTACTTGAGACCTGCTTTTGTCTGTGCACTGCCGTCCCTTTGCTGTGTGTGTGTGTGTATGTGTGTGTGTGTGTGGTGACTCCCCCCCCCCCCATTGGTGTGTGTGTGTGTGTGCGCGTGTCTTGTCTCTGTGTTGTGTCTATTTCTATCCATTCTGTGCACTGTTCCCCAGTGATTTGCTTATGGTGTTTTTCTACAGTGTTCTGTCCAAACAGTCTGTGTGCTGCTCCCCAGTGGATGTCGGTTTCTTGGTGCCATGCCTTGACCGCATGAGTGCTGCCACCTCGTGCTGACTGTAGTGTGTGCTGCTGTGATTGTAAACTGATTGCTGCTGCGGACGGTTGTTTCATTAACAAGCAGCGCCGCCTAGCGTTCCTTATGAGCCTCAGCAGCCGAGTCAGAGACGAGCTGCACGAGCATTCAGAACCATTTGATCATCATGTAAATGAAGCAAAGGCTCACTCACAATTGGATACTGATTGTAGAGCAGCCGGTACCTCCCCAATGAGGAGTGATCGTGAGGGCGTTGGGATCAGAACAGAGTTGCTGGGGCTTTTACCTGCCTGTTATTACAACCGGGAGTTTGTCACTAGGCTCTTTGGTGTGATTAGTGATTGAGAGAGGAACCAGTGAGGATGTGTCACAGACGGGATTGAATCTGCCTCACTTTCCAGTGTAATGTAATGTAATTCCAGGTTGTTGTGTGGTTGGCGTACAGCAGCTTCCTCACTGCCTCCCTGGCGATACACTAACCGAAAGAAAGCAGCACTGAACCTGGCTTTTTTTTTGTCAGCTTTGACACACGTGGAAACCCATCACCGTGCTTAAGATTATCCCAAACGGAACTGAGAGTTCCATGCATCCCATCTACGCATCTCTGGAAAGCCCATGAGATAGATTGTTTTTACCTGGAATGGAATGCGCACCCTCTCCCTGGAGGGTTGCATCCTGCTATTAGGCACAGCTTGGCCGAAGCCGAGGCTTGTGGACCCCAGAGTGTGGGGTCTGCCTCAGCTCCGAGCTCTCTCCTGCTCTGGCACTATGATGAAGCAATGTACTCCCATGGCTGGGAATGAGTTCACCTCTTGACCAGTGCCAGGGGAAGCCCACTGCTGAGAGACTTTATTTCCACATGGTTCAGGGACTGTGTGTGTCTGTTAGTTCAATGTGATGTCCTATGTTTAGGCCTCCGAAGGAGCCTTGCAGCCGATGACTGAGGTGGATCTCTTCATTTCCACACAGAGGATTAAAATGCTGAACGCTGACTCCCAGGTAACACAGTGTAACCGCAGAAGCTGGTACCACCTTGTTTTAAGAGAAACATAAAGGAGTGAGGGGGAACGCAGGAGGTTGAGACTGAATGGTCAGCTCTTTCAGAACATGAGCAGTGGCATGAAAGGCCTATTTCTGTTCTGTCAATCTCTTATCATTCTAAGAATGAACGTCTTAGCTATACTGACCAGGCACCGTCACACTCAACTCCGCCCTCCCCAATGTCCCACACTCTGAACTTTCTCAGTCACTCCTCGGATAAGAGGGTTTGCATTCTTGGGTAACAAGACACATTCCGGTTGAAGTGTTATCATGGGTTTATGTTCGTCCTTCGGCTGAGACGTTAAACCAGGATCCTGTCTGCCTGATCAGGTGGGCGCTAAAGATCCCGTGACGCTATTCGAAAAGAGAAGGAAGTTTCTCCTGGTGTCCTGGCCAACAATCCCCCAGTTAAAATTGGTCACTTTACTCCACGGCTGTTTGTGGAACATTGCTGTGCGCAACTGGCTGCTGCTTTTCTCCCACAAAACATACAGTCACTCCACTTTACACTCTCACCTGTGAAGCGCTTTGAGACGTTTCAACAACGCGATAAGACGCTATGGATTGCAAGGATTATTATTATTGTTGTGTTGAACCGGTCTTGTGTCCCGGGAGCCGCTGACCCCGATTCTCACCGTTCCTCACGTGTGTTACAGGAGCCGATGATGGACCACGCACTTCGCACCATCTCCTACATCGCCGACATCGGTAACATTGTGGTGCTGATGGCACGTCGGCGCATGCCTCGCTCAGCCTCTCAGGACTGCATTGAGACCACGCCAGGCGCGACGGAGGGCAAGAAGCAATACAAGATGATATGTCATGTCTTCGAGTCAGAAGATGTGAGTGGAGGATATCTCACCGTAAACCCATTCCACATGTCAGCACAAAGGCCAAAAGCAGAGAATCTCTACACTGTGGATTGACTATGTATTTCACCCACAAAATGTACAATCACTCCACTTTACAATATATTCTGTGAAGTGCTTTGAGACCTGTCAATGACGTGATAAGGCGCTATATGAAATGCAAGGATTATCGTTGTTAAAACTGTGCAGTTCGCTGCTTTTTTTTCTGTTATTACTACATTGCCCTATCCAGAACTCCCAGGTCAGATGCAGTGTATGTTAGATACAAAGTAAAACTCCTTCTACACAGTCCCACACAACCCTCCCCATTGACCCCAGTTCTCTTTTGACCTGACAGGCTCAGTTGATTGCTCAATCCATCGGGCAGGCGTTCAGCGTTGCGTATCAAGAGTTCCTGAGAGCGAACGGGATCAATCCCGAGGATCTGAGTCAGAAGGAATACAGCGACATCATCAACACCCAGGAGATGTATAACGATGACCTCGTTCATTTCTCCAACTCCGAGAACTGCAAAGAGGTGGGGCTGGCTAGTGCTAGTGCTATTATGCTAGCGCTGGCTACACAGGTTACTTACACACACAGCGTAAAGCTCCCTCCACACCCCCAGGTCAGGGGCAGCACTGGTTAGGTACAGAGGTTCATTCACTTGTGTCTAGATGTTACAGAGAACTGGATTCCCATGTTGGTGCAGCCCATTCTCTTCCCCCACCCCCCCCACCCCCCACTGCCCCCCACCAGCAATGTGTGGGTGAGATTTTCTTACCCAGGTCACAGTGCACTGAGAGAATCTTTCCTTGGATTCCGATCAGCCCCAATAAAACAGCAAAGTCACAGCGAGAGGTGAGTGTGAGGTGCTGTCCTCCTGCCCTCTCCTCAGCTAAGTGGTACAGTGCAGCTCTGTACTGCAGCATCGCAGTCCTCCGCCCACGCAGTAATGCATCTGCCTTCTCCTGCAGCCTCCACATCCCCTAGTGTCAGAGATGGGCTGTGAAGGATGTGCATGTACTGACAGCTGCTACTCTCTCTCTCTCTCTGTTCCGTACCTGCTGCAGCTACAAATAGAGAAGCAGAAGGGGGAGATGCTGGGGGTGGTGATTGTGGAGTCAGGGTGGGGCTCCATCCTCCCCACCGTCATCCTCGCTAACATGATGAACGTTGGGCCGGCCGCTCGCTCCGGCAAACTCAGCATCGGTGACCAGATCATGTCCATCAATGGTACCAGCCTGGTTGGCCTGCCCCTTGCCACCTGCCAAGGAATAATCAAGGTACCGTCCCTGGTACAATCGGCTGCCACGCAGACACACGGATACAGAACACGACACCCGGGCATCACAGGGCCAGGGATTTATTGTACCTACAATGGCCAACAATTCTCCACATGAATTGTTCATCCACTTCATAGCTGTTATGAGATTCTCGCTGTGCAGAAACTGGTTGACATGCTTGCCTGCAAATCCAGTCGCTACACGCTGTACATACAACAGACACACAATCACTAGACCAATAGCTGTGAAACAATTTGACGTTGTAAACTAAAGATTATCATTACGATGGCACATGTGTAGCTCCGATGACTGAACCCAGGATGGCGCACACACACACACAGACATTACACAGGCACAGGAACATGGCACACAGGTATAGCGTCACACAAACACAGGATAACAGGCTTTTGTGCTGTGTTGCGCCTGCACAGGGTGTGAGGAACCAGACACAACTGAAGCTGAATATCGTCAGCTGTCCGCCCGTCACCACGGTGCTGATCAAGCGGCCAGATCTCAAATACCAGTTGGGCTTCAGCGTTCAGAATGGCATTGTAAGTAACGGCTGTACTCACTGCCCGTCTGCATTGTTGGGGGTTTACAGCTGAGCTTAACAACAACTTGCATTTATATACCGGCCCTCATGCATGGCACTTGATGCCGAGCCGGGGCTGGGGTAATCAGGAAGGGTGGAGGGCAGGGAGAGTGGGGGTAGAAGGGTGGTGAAAGGGGCGGTCGGAGAAGAGGGTCTCGGTGGGCCTTGAAGGAGGCAATGGAGTGAGGGAGGCAAAGTGACTGTGGGATGGAATTTCAAAGGGACACCTCCTCTTAGATTATATTATATTGGGGAGTGGATTCTTTCAGAGGAGCTTTGCAATGTGACTGAATGTGCCAGATTTGCTCTTTTCCCCATTAGATGCCCTTAACCGGGTAAGGGGAGGTTCTGTGCCCTTTTGAGATCGAATGGACTGTTGTTCAGCGAAGGTGTGTCTGAGTGTAAGAATGTGTGAGTGAGGGTAGAGTGATACCTGGTTCCTCTCACAGATCTGCAGCCTGATGAGAGGCGGAATAGCCGAGCGCGGAGGGGTGAGGGTTGGACACCGAATCATTGAGATCAACGGCCAGAGTGTGGTGGCTACAGCCCACGAAAAGATTGTCCAGGCCTTGTCTAACTCTGTGGGTGAGGTGAGCATTCAGTAAACCAGGGCTTCCTCTCAACCCTCACATTGCAGACCTTATGTGCAATACATTAGAGTATAGTGGCAATTATGTACCCACCTACACACCCACAACCAGAAGCACCCCACACACACACACAAAACAGCCCCCCCACACACAGACAAAACAACCCCACCCCTTACACACACACACACACACATGGACATGAACAACCACATACATACACCAGTTGCTCTGGGTCATACCCTTTATAATACCAACAATGAAAGAATCAAGCTTTAGATGACTGCTGACACTCAAGCGGCTCATGTGTAACAAACAGTAACTTGACTCTGATCTGAAACACTTAGATCCACATGCGGACGATGCCAGCGGCCATGTTCAGGCTGCTGACTGGCCAGGACACCCCTCTGTACATCTAACAGCCCGAGGGGAAGATCTGAGCAACGGGAGGGAGTGGCCGGCAAGTGAATGGTGGATTCCGGTCAGTGGACCAGGTGCAATAAAGAGGAGCGAGAGACTCCAGAATTGGGAACGGCCGTCACACCAGGCACACACACCGATGTACTGCAAGGGAACACAGAACACGCAGACATCGCCTTCAAAAATATTTAAGACTTGACGTATTTGAGCTGAATCCTTGCCACAGCCAACAAGAGTGTCACAAACGAGGGTGTGTGCAGCTCCTGGAGTTTCCAGTGACTGATGTGATCAATGTCCGTCCGGCATTTAATCATGTGAACGTTTCTCTCGCAGTCAATCACCGTCAGTAACTCTTGGTCTAGCGCTGAGACCATCGCCAACACTGGGATCACGGAGACATTCCTATGTTTTTTTTGTGTGTATTTATAGAATTGACAAATTGGCAACTAATCCCAACGCTTCGTGTAACGGTTGGTTTTACGGAAATAAGGCAGTGAATTTCTGGCGTTTCTGATGATGGTGTTTCTGTGCTGAATGTGCGTGTTGCCGGTGGTGAGTGAGTTGTGACTAGTTGTCAGTGTGTGTCACAGCCCAGTAGGGGTAAAGGCTAGTTTAATGTTAGCCGGGGTGGGGGGTGGGGGGGGGCTCCAGGGCCTGCTGCGGTCTGGCTGCCTTGGGACGCTGTAACTCGCTTTTACTATTGCATGCAGCTACAGGTGCCAATAAACTCTCTGAACACAAGACTCACAGAACGATCCTCAACCGTCAATGTGACTCTGCAGGTCAACATCACAGCACAGCTTCCATCCCGAGTACTCGCTATCTCAATCCCCGATCCCCCCATCCTCCCTGAACGGTGATGGGTTTCTACATGTGTCAGGACACCCGGCTGACCAACCTCCCCCCCCACCCACCCACCCCTTAGGGTCACTGTCCTTGAAACGATTTAATGAAGGAATGGTGGGGGCCGGGGGACTCCCTGAGGCACATTCAAAGGTCACCGAGTCAGCAACAGTTTGGAGGCGACCGTTTCAAATTTATTTCTGAGCTTCGTACAAAAGGTTCTCACTGCTTCTCACTCCGCATAATTAAAAACAAGATACATAAAAATAAAGTGTAATAATTTAACATGGTATTAACACTCCCAGAGCTGCTCAGCGTATTAACCTTGAATGTCCCTCGATACATAGGGGCTAAGGTCTGCGCTGGCCTTGGGAGAGCTGCCATCCTCCACGTGCAGGCACTGACGGCCTCAGAAGCCGGTGCTCTGTATGTACTTTCACCTTGTCTCCACATCCCCTGTCGTTCATGCAGCGCTTTGGGACGCTACTTCGCGTGAAGGGCGCTATATAAATACAAGTTGTTCTGAGCAGGATTTGTGGGAACGTCCGAGTGAACACTGGAAAATCTGCTCCTGCCCAGGTTGGGGGCGGGGGGGGCGGGGGGCAGTTGCCACGACTTGTCTCAGCCCCCGTGTCCTTGTTCACAGAACGGTCTCCCTGCTGACTCGGAGCTGCAGCTGGTGAAGCTGCAGGGAGTCTCCGTGTGTCGGGAACGCCACCGGGGAGCTCAGATCCCCACAGCTGTGCAGGTGCAGACCACCCTGGGACCGGGGCCCACCCACCTTGGTGTGACGCTGGGAACCCGTCATCACCTGAGGGGAGATCAGAAGAAGACAAGAAGTCAGGAACAGGAGAACGCCATTCGGCCCATTAAGTCCACTACCCCACAGACCATTCCATGATCAGGGTATTACCCCCTCTCACAATCCTACATCACCATAATAATCCCTTAATATATTTAGAGCCATCTCTCTTAGATCCTTCGACAGATTTCTTACCTATGACTTTCTGGACAGTGTGTTCCCAATTCTTACCACTCTGCAAGGATGATATACTTTCTTGGTCCTAACCCAATGTTCCTAGTTTTAAGGTCAAGTCTTATTGTAATGATGGACCCTCCGGGGTAAAAGATCTCTCTCACTGTTTGTTGAGCTCCTTCAGGAATGAGAACACTTCAATCATATCACTCTCAGCTCCAGTTACTAATCCTCAATATATCCAGCCTCTCACTATAACTCTGCTTCACCCCAGGATCATTTCGTGAAGCTAATCCACAACTCAATATAGTACGATTGTACTGGTGCCAAACATTACACGTGTACAGTGTGTAGTGTGGTCTCACCTTAGACAACCACAACAGGACTGTAATTTATTGCTTTTAAATGCCATGGCTCTCAGCTATGAACCTCAGCATTCCAAGCTCTGCTACTGCCTCTCTGACCTGTGAACGAGCTTCTGTTTACGAGCACACAGAAATCCATCTGTTCATCTGCACCCAATGAAACTTCTCCATTCAACATATTTCCAATCCCTATTTTCACATTCCAAAATATATTACCTGATATTTGACTGACTATATTGAATTACATTTTCCAGCCAACTCTTTTGGACTTCTTCACAGTTCAACCCAGGCTTTCTGTCACCTGCATATTTGGATGTTAATCTCTGCTGAACTCAGGTCAAGATAATTGATGCATCTGCTGAACAATCGTGGACCTGGCTCTGATCTCTAGAGAACAACACTTACAGTCTGTTAGTCTAGACCTCCTTCACATCGAGAGAATCTCTCCAATGCCCACACCTCAACTTTCTAATCCTGTGTGATTGCATTCTGGAAATCCCTCCAGATGATTAGATGATATCCAATACCCACCACCACCCCCACCTACCCCCTGTCAACTATTTCACAGACACCATCAAATAATTTAAATCACAGAATGAAAAATGAGACACTCCAAAGATAGAACAGATTGTGCACCCCCCCACCTCATTGCTGGGTGTGCGATGCTGTCCTGCACGTTAGCTGCTGTGTCTACTGTCATTACAACTGAAAGTAATGCTTTGACAGGCAGCACGAGTTGCTACTCACAGAAATTAACTCTAGAACATGCAGCCACAAGCCCTGGACAGTCTCTGTCCCACACTGAACATGAACAGGGTCGGGCTGTGGAGCTCACAGAAGGAAGTGAATAGACGGTCTAGATTTTACTTACTTTACAGAGAGAGCGGTGAATGTATGGAATGGATGACCCACGGAGGCGGTGGAGGCAGGGTGTGTCAGCAAACTCATGAAAATAACATAGCTGTCTGTCAAAAAATGTAAATGAGGGATGTGAGAGAGAGTGTGAGTGTTAGCTCAGGTTTTTGACTGTTACTGTGAGAACAGCCAGCACCGGTGATCTTCTCTGCTCCTGGTAGGGCCAGTCTTAAGGCACAAACAGGAGGTTAATCCTCTTCCCTATCACCCTCATCTATCTTCCCTTATCTGTCAGGCCCCACCACCACTCACTCACTCGCTCGCTCACTCACTCCTCCCTTGACCTATCCCGCACACAGTGAGAAAGCGCGCTGGGACTCTTCTCTACACGAGGGGCGCTGTATAAATGCAAGTCGTTGTTGAGGAAGGTCTCGGGAGTGCAGGGGCAGGTTGGGAAGCTGACAGATGAACACTAACCTCCTCAAGGACCCTGGCGCTGAAGATGGCCTCCTCCATGTGTACCTCGTCTGATTTGATGACGGTCCTGATGTTGTTGACCACATGCCTGACCTCGGGAGGCAGCGAGCACTTCGAGTGCTCCAGGAATTTGGCCACCAGGATCTTCGTATCTTTATATGTTTTGAGGTCCACGAGGGAGTGTGGCCGCTCCTTGCCCACCGCCTGCAAGGCTCGGTGCCTGCACCGGGCGACCACTCTCCCTGCGTCCTTCTGGGGCCTCAACGAGCGAAGGCGTGCGACTGCCCCAAAGCAACCGGCTTCCAGCGGGGCAGCGGGAGCTAGGGACAGAGACAAACACACCCATCACCACCTCAAAATAAAATGAAAAAAAAATTGGTCACTCAATCCACAACTGTTTGTGGGACGCTGCTGTGTGCAATTGGCTGCCTCGTTTCGCCTACTAAATACACAATCAATTCACTTTACAGTATATTCTGTGAAGCGCTTTGAGACGTCTCGAAGACGTGATAAGGCGCTACCTCAAATGCAAAGATTATTATTATTATTATCAGAAAATATCTGCCCGCCCGAGTCCAGCCCACGACATTAATGTCAATCCGCTGCTTAACCATCACCATTCAGACACCTTCACATCAAGGTCAGTCACGCTAACAGCAGGATACACAGTCACTGCACTATACAGTAAAATCCTGTGAAAGGCTTTGTCGAGGTGTGATGTAAAAATTTTGTATTTCAAAGTAGAATATTTACCGTCTGTCAGAGAACAGCACGTCACCGGGTCACTTGTTGACCGAACCATTCTGTCCCTCTGCCTCCTGCTAGGGCTGTTTCTGGATCCTGAGGTTGAAGCGCTCGTTGGCAGGGCCCGACTGAGGAGTTGACAGTGTTGGTTTGAGTTTAGGAGGGATGGAGAGGCGAGGGGTCGCTGGGGGAATAGCTGGGGCCTGTAACTTGCTGGCAGCCCGTCCACACAGCAATCTGACTGACACGCAGCCACTTCTGCTGACCTCCTGTGGGCCGTGGCCGGGCTCGGACAGCTGTCACTGTGGCTGCCGTAGATCGTGTTGTACAAAGACATCTCACCAGCACCGAGCAACACCTGAACTTCCAGCCAATACAGATCCGCAGGCGAGGTGTGTCCTTGGACACCCTCAGCTCCCGAGGCAGCTGGCGAGACAACGCCGGACACTGAGAGGAAAAAGAATATTGAATGATGACCTCTCTGGCACTGCACCCAAGCTGGGTGTCAGTGGATATTGTGAAACTCCTTACCTTGTGAGCTAAATGTCATGGCTGGGCTCCTCTGGAACAGGTTGGGCCGACAGATCGACCACTGCTCCATCCCGTGAGAGTCCCTGGCTACGTGCTGAGTGAGAGAATAGAAGCAGTCCGTGGGCTAGAGAAGCGTTTAGTGAGCCAGAGCGTCGCATGCACCGAGCCGAGAAATGCACACGACAGAGGACGCACAGAATGGAGTGCGAATCTGAGCAAATTACATTAAATGTTAACGTCTGGTAAATTAAATCTGCTACACCTGAACGGTTTATGAAGTGGAGGGAGGTAACATGAGGTCACCACTCTCTATTACCTGAGCAGTGGAGGATTCACTGACGACAGCCTCATAAGGCGGAGGTAGCTCGGAAGGGTACTGATCGCCATGGCTGGCAACAGTAACATCACAAGGAGAAGCTCTGCAGGGGAAATGCAGGTGCAGCAGCCTGAAAAGAAATGCATGGCAGTGAGCAATCGCACAGCCTGAAGGTAATTGACCTGGTGTGTGTGTGTATATGTCACTCTCTCTCTCTCTCTCACATAGGGTTAAAATTAAGTGATATAAAGCTGAGGGCTGACCTCTGGGTATCCAATGCTGGGCTGCGTGTATACTCTGGAGGATAGTACGGAGGAGGAGGAATAGGAGGGATAAATTCATCATAATCCATGACCTGGGGCACACCTACATCATTCGGGATCCAGCACTCGGGGGTCCCCGCTCTCAATCTCTGTGGAATAAACTGTCGAGAAAGCAGCAACAGCAAAAAGGAGCAAACATTACAGTGTGTCACAGTGGTCAAGTCATTCGCGGCGAGATAAATGGGATTCGAAGTAGTGGATGGTGCCCTAAACAGTGATACAGAGCTGCACTGAAGGAATAAAATGGTGGAAACAACTGCAATGGGTGAATGACCCCCTCCCCCACCCGATGCTCCTCATGTCATCAAACGGAAGAACAACTGGATCTTTCAGCAACAGAACCTGTAAAGGATCTCATTCGTTCATCAATTAAGTCTCTTTGTTTTTCTTTTTTGAAAGAAAACTTGCATTTGACTTTGGGACCATTATTATTATTATTATTATTGTTATTATTATTATTATCACAACGTTGAAAAGTTACAAAATGCTTCATGGATAATTGCTGTGAAGTGTAGTGACTGTGCCGATGCAGGAAAAAAAAAAGGCAACCGATTTGGTTTATTGTTGACGAGAGCGTGTCTCGGTTAAAGACGAGAGTGATTACCAACTGAGCCACGGTGAGAGGCAATGTGGTGGGAAGAGTTCAGGTTGTGAAGTGACACGACGGGGGGTGGGGGGGTTCGAACGGGAGAAACAGAGGAGACGGCGCCCGCGGCCCTCACCATGTGTATAATGTCCGCGGTTACTATCTGTGTGCAGCAGGTGGCAGTAGCGAGTGCACACACCATCGTGGAGATGACATTGAGTGTGCAGATACTGAACAGCAGATCCTGCGAAGATAAACGGCAGTAAATCAGCACCGTAGGTTCCATCACCGCTGCTTCCCCATATCAGCACATCATCATTATTATTATTATTATTATTATTATTATCATCATCCCATCGCTGCATTGCTCTGTCGCTGACGACACCTTTCGTTCTATAGGCAAGTCCCGTTATATGGGAAATAGAGGCTTGAAGAAGGTATGGGCATAGGGCAGGGAAGAGGAATGGGATGAACGGCTCGCTCTGAGAGCTGGTGAAATGCACCTCTTTCTGCGCTGTAAATTTCTGTGATTCTATGTCAATATCACACACAGTTCCTCTGCTGCACCACACACACGCGGCTGCTCTCTGCATCATGTACATGGCTTCCCATCACACACACACACGCACACACACACACTCGCAGTCTGCTCCTTTCCTGCACCACACGTGCAATTTTGGCAGCTCGAGCATCAGGTGCTGCACATCATTGGGCTCCTTAACATTTCCGTTTGACCTATCAAACATTACCACTCAGTAAGAATAAAATTGTCTGCCGTGCACTGTCTCACGTTTGATTTCATTGCTGATGTCTCTGGTGAGAGAACAATGGCCGGGAAGAAACCTTACTCCACACAGAGCCTATTAATAAACCGTCCAAAACCAAAAACAATAATAAATTGGTCATTTTCAATCTACAACTGTTTGTGGGACATTGCTGTGCGCAATTGGCTGCCGCGTTCGCCCACAAATATACAGTCAATTCACTTTACAGTGTGTTCTGTGAAGCGCTTTGGGACGTCCTCCCGACGTGAAAAGCGCCATATCAAAATGCAAGGATTATTTAACGTACAGAGTAATTACAGCGATTCCTATCCTACCTTCAACAGCACCCGCACAGCACCGCATTCCAGCACTGGGTTCAGCTTCAGCGTTTCCCCCAGATGAGTGCATTCTGTCGCTCGCTCCTGTATCTCACAGCATACACAAACTCCTGCACGGTCAAACTTGTACTGCCACAAACATACAGGCCAAAGACATATCAAAGACAGGTCAAACAGACGGCAAGCAAAGGAATATGGGTCTGTGGTTCTCAACCTCACATTACACGAGACATAAAATGCCTGTGAAGTCCTTTGAGTGTTTTGATAGATACTGTATCAAAACACAAGGGTTATGTTTTGACAATTACATAATTCCCCCACTTCTCACAGGGAGTTGCTATGGAATGAAGGAATACGCGAGAGTGAGAATCTTGAGGTTGATCCGTTCGGAGACAGGGAGTCAGTGGAGCGGTGCCGAGGATTGGGCTGGGGAGTTTGGACTCTGTGTATGGTGAAATTGGGGAGACGAGTGAAGAGGGCTTTTAAGAAGTCAAGGTGGGAGGTGACAAAAGTATAGGTGAAGGTCTTGGTGGTATTTGGTGTGAGGTAGGGGCGGAAATGGGCAACATGTGCTCCACTGCTACAACCCAACTGCCTAAAGGTGCACTGTTTGGGTAGTTCATCATAAGTACAGTGTTATTGCAGGGTAAACACTTCCGAGTTAACTGTGAACAGTAGTCACACAACACAGCACCCAGGACGTTACAGCGGCTTCGATTCACTTACCAACATACATCGTTGGAGGGAAGCGATGAGATGAGCGTTCTGACAGGAGAGGATGGAACCGGCCAGGTTCAGCATCACACAAACTGCGGACAGCAGCAGGAAACACGTGATCTGTGAAAAAGAAAACGGTAATAATAACAATCCTCGCATTTGATATAGCGCTTTTCACATCGGGAGGACGTCCCAAAGCGCTTCACAGAATATACTGTGAAGTGAATTGACTGTACATTTATTGGCGAACGCGGCAGCCAATTGCGCACAGCAATGTCCCACAAACAGTGGCGGATTGAAAACGACCAATTTTATTATTGTTTTTTGTTGTTTGGAGCGATCGTTCTTAAGGGGTGAACTGCGGGTTCCCCGCGGGGCAGAGACCGAGGGGGAGCTCTGTAACCGCCCCCCACAGCGCTCTGTCGTACACACTCTGGTTCTCAAGCAAACCCATCGTCATTTGGGCCGTCGATGCTGACACCGATGTATATTATTTTCACGAAATAATTGGTGAACCCAACACCGAACCGAGATTTCTTGCCAACTCTTCCCCCCTCCCCCACCCCTCCCCTCTCCCCCCCCCCCCCCTCCCCCACCCCTCCCCTCCTCCCCCCCACCCCCTCCCCCACCCCTCCCCCCCCCCCCCCCCCTCCCTTCCCCCACCCCTCCCCCTCTCCCCCCCCCCCCCCCCCCTCTCCCCCCCTTCCCCCCCCTCCCCCTCCCTTCCCCCACCCCTCCCCCTCCCTTCCCCCACCCCCACCCCTCCCGCTCTCGCCCCCCCTCTGCCCCCCCCTCCCCCCTTTGCTGGTGCTGTATAGCCAGTGTCAGGCCATGGCCTGAGCTCTGTGTGTGTGTGTGTGTGTCACTCACTGTCATGGCGATGGGTCTCCTCCAGGCAGTGATGCCGATCAGCCCCGACAGCAGCACCTGCGGAGAGAACAGGGCCATCAGCGCCAACACCCGGGACAGGCTCCGGGGGGGGGGGGGGGGGCTGTCGGGGCCCGGGGGGGTGTCGGGGGGCCCGGGGCGGGGGGCTCACCGAGAGACCGGCCCAGAAGGGTGAGGCCTGGCGCAGGCGCGGGGCCGGGGCCGGGGTCAGGGCCCAGGCTGTGAGGGTGGCGGCCACGATGCTGGAGCCGAAGATCATCTGCGCGGCTCCCAGGCCCAGGAGGAGGCGGCGGCGGACCCGGGGCGGAGGCCGGAGCCCAGGCCGGGGGCTGACAGCGGGGCCGCGGCCCGGCATCGCGCTCCCTCACTGGGCGGGAGCGAGCGGCGCGGCTCCGGCAACAGCCAACATCAGCCTCTGTGTGTGTGTGTACAGCCTCTGTGTGTGTGTGTGTGTGTCAGTGTGTGTGTACAGCCTGTGTGTGTGTGTGTGTACAGCCTGTGTGTGTGTGTGTGTGTACAGCCTGTGTGTGTGTGTGTGTGTACAGCCTGTGTGTGTGTGTACAGCCTGTGTGTGTGTGTGTGTGTACAGCCTGTGTGTGTGTGTGTGTGTGTGTGTACAGCCTGTGTGTGTGTGTGTACAGCCTGTGTGTGTGTGTGTGTGTGTGTACAGCCTGTGTGTGTGTGTGTGTGTACAGCCTGTGTGTGTGTGTGTGTGTGTACAGCCTGTGTGTGTGTGTGTGTGTGTGTGTGTGTGTGTGTACAGGCGGTGGCTGCCTGTGTGTGTGTGTGTGTGTACAGCCTGTGTGTGTGTGTGTGTGTGTGTGTACAGCCTGTGTGTGTGTGTGTGTGTGTGTACAGCCTGTGTGTGTGTGTGTGTGTGTACAGCCTGTGTGTGTGTGTGTGTACAGCCTGTGTGTGTGTGTGTGTACAGCCTGTGTGTGTGTGTGTGTGTGTACAGCCTGTGTGTGTGTGTACAGCCTGTGTGTGTGTACAGCCTGTGTGTGTGTGTGTGTACAGCCTGTGTGTGTGTGTGTGTGTGTACAGCCTGTGTGTGTGTGTGTGTGTACAGCCTGTGTGTGTGTGTACAGCCTGTGTGTGTGTACAGCCTGTGTGTGTGTACAGCCTGTGTGTGTGTGTGTGTACAGCCTGTGTGTGTGTGTGTGTGTACAGCCTGTGTGTGTGTGTGTGTGTACAGCCTGTGTGTGTGTGTGTGTGTACAGCGTGTGTGTGTGTGTGTGTGTGTGTACAGCCTGTGTGTGTGTGTGTGTGTACAGCCTGTGTGTGTGTGTGTGTGTACAGCCTGTGTGTGTGTGTGTGTGTGTGTACAGCCTGTGTGTGTGTGTGTGTGTACAGCCTGTGTGTGTGTGTGTGTGTGTACAGCCTGTGTGTGTGTGTGTCAGTGTGTGTGTGTGTGTGTCAGTGTGTGTGTACAGCCTGGGTGTGTGTGTGTGTGTGTACAGCCTGTGTGTGTGTGTGTCAGTGTGTGTGTGTGTCAGTGTGTGTGTACAGCCTGTGTGTGTGTGTGTGTGTCAGTGTTTGTGTGTGTGTGTCAGTGTGTGTGTACAGCCTGGGGTGTGTGTGTGTGTACAGCCTGTGTGTGTGTGTGTACAGCCTGTGTGTGTGTACAGCCTGTGTGTGTGTGTGTGTGTACAGCCTGTGTGTGTGTGTGTGTGTGTACAGCCTGTGTGTGTGTGTGTCAGTGTGTGTGTGTGTGTCAGTGTGTGTGTACAGCCTGTGTGTGTGTGTGTGTGTACAGCCTGTGTGTGTGTGTGTGTCAGTGTGTGTGTGTGTGTGTCAGTGTGTGTGTACAGCCTGGGGTGTGTGTGTGTCAGTGTGTATAGACGGTGTATATACAGGCTTTGTATTTCAGTGCTTACATACTGTGTATGTCGGTGTGTGCATTCAATGTGTGGCCCATCAGCTTCCATGTTCAGACCACGTATGTATGATCTGTAGCGCCTGTGTCTATATTGTCAACAAAACACAAAATACTGCAGATGCTGGAAATCTGAACCAAAGACAGAGAGAGCCGGGAACGCCCGGCGGGTCAGGCCGGGAACGCCCGGCGGGTCAGGCCGGGAACGCCCGGCGGGTCAGGCCGGGAACGCCCGGCGGGTCAGGCAGCATCTATTGAGGAAGGAAAGTGACTCAATGTTTCAGGTCCACGACCCTTCGTCAGAACTGGGCGTTCCCGGCCTGACCCGCCGGGCGTTCCCGGCCTGACCCGCCGGGCGTTCCCGGCCTGACCCGCCGGGCGTTCCCGGCCTGACCCGCCGGGCGTTCCCAGCTCGCTATATATTGTCAATATGTTCATCATGTGTATTGACTGTTTACCCAGTGTGCACACACTCATGGCCTGGGCCGACGGAACAGTGCGAGAGACCAGGAGTCGATAATAACAACTAGAGATAATTCTCAACGAGGTGGCGATGCGGACCTGGGAGGAATGAGATTGTCTATGTGTTTCTACCTCTGTGTTTGTGGGTGTCTGTGAGTGTGTCTCTTTCTCCTCTATGTGTGGGTGTCTATGTGAGTGTCTCTTTCTCTCTATGGTTGTGTTTACAGCCAATTGCTCTAAATCCTTGTTAATTGGTATATGCAGATTTATAGAATTATATATATTTTAAGAATTGCATTTTTACTCTCTGTTAAGCCACACTAACTTTTTAATGTTTTCCTTTTCTTAATTAACGTTTCTTTAATTTCCTTTCAAAAGCTATTATGGATTCTGCTTCAAGCACTATTTTTGGTAGGATATTTCTGTGTTCCGATAAGAATAAAAACATTTCTTCTTGTGTGTACCTCTAGAAAGTCAACACACAATACAGTCTTGAAAGGAGACCTTTTCTGGAGTAATGGCTGCTGGTGGTACTGGATAAGCTGAAACCAGCCACTAAAAATCATTACTGAGTACTTGATTTTTTTTACTGTAACAAAATTAAACATTTAAATAAAACTAGAGTTTATATAATCCCTTGTTGAGCATACTCAATGAACCAGTTTGCATGCATGTATGTATGTGTCAACCTGGTTGAGGTGGTTACGCTTTGCCTCAGAAGGTTGAGGGTTCAAGCCCCACTTCTAGGAGTTTTGAGCCTGTAGTCTGCACTCATTTTCCACTACTGTGCTGAGGATGCACTGCAATGTTAGACATCTTGTGTACTTGTTCAACAACAACAAAAAATTACATTTAGTATAGTGCCTTTCACATCAGGAGGATGTGAAAGGCACTGTACAACAGAGCATCTTGTTCAGGAAGATATTAAAGATCCCATGGTACTGTTTGAAGAGAGGGGAATTTCTCCCTGTACCCTGGACAATAATCCCTCTGATAAAATCAGTCAGTCGGTTCATGGCTGTTTGTGGGACCTTGGTATGAGCAAACTGGCTGCTTTAATTACCTACACACACACACTTTACAGTAAATCTTGTGAATTGCTTTGAGACATTTTGCCGATGCAATAAGGCACTATATCAATCACCAGGATGATTATTATAAATGTTCTTCAAGAAGTTCTTTTGCATCCCATTCAGCCTCAGGACACACCAAGTCACACATTTGTGTACATAGAGATGAATTATATGTTAGAAAAACAGACAGTGTGAGAGATGCAGAAAAAAAGAGATACACAGATAGGGGAAAAAAAGATGAGTAGCGAGAAAGATGTGGGTAATACTGGCATGTGGCATTATTAAAATCTAAGGTAATTAAAACATTTTGTACATTGCACAGGAACATAGAAACCACTGCAAAAAAAGGTCAATTGCATTTTAGCACATCTCAAGGCATAATTAATTGGTAATATGGAAAATAAAGAAAGTTGTTTGGACAAGAAGAAATGATCCATTAGTCAAATTTGCTGCTTTATTCCCTCCTTTTAAACCCTGTAGGATTTACATTTAATGAAATGTCTTCGTTGCCAATAGACTGTGGATATTGAATGCAATTTCTTGTACAATGCACACACAGCGTAAACTATGTAACTTGTAATATCTGTGCTGCCTCAGTGTTAATGCTCAATATGAAGAAAGAGATGGAAAAGGTTAATAATGAAGGGTGCCTTAGAAAAAAACTGGTAACGATGGCACAGATACAATGGAGCAAATTGCCAACTTGCTTGATAAAAAGTACTGATTCTACCGTCGGATAAATACAATTTTTTTTCAGTTTACATAAAGCTCTGCCAAGGATAGCACATTTTGTAATAAACTGAAATGGTTTCAAAAGATCACAACCCTATATCTTAAAAATGTTTTTATTCAATAATACAGTGGTATATTTAGAAATGTGTAGTTTAAAAGTAACTGCAGAGAAAGTCAGCCACACAGTGAATAGCTATTAACTGATTAACAGAAAGCAGTGCGTTAAATCTGTAGTACTCCTGTGCCATAATAAATTGTCTATTAGTACAAAAATACACTTTAGGGCACATAGTACAGCATCTGTGTCAGGTTAACCAGAGACATCACAAAGATCCCACCCATCAAAGGATTTCAAAATGTTGGTAACGTTTCATATGTTGACAAAAAGCTTCAATAAGAATAGCAGAGTTAATACAAAGCTGTAAAGTAACGATTTTAAACTTGGACTTGGATTTATTGCTTCAAATTTTACACTTGGTTCAAGGCTCAAGGGTGACGGAATATAAAGATAATCTTTAGAAAGGTATTTTGTCTTGTTTTATACAAAAGAGACATACAAAAGTTAATTTACAAACCAGGAAACCAAGGTGCTACCTGTGCTATGTACAGTGAAAGGGCAGTTTGTGTCATGATCTTAAAAGCACTGCTGAAAACAACCATTGACACTCTTTAGAAAGTTGTTCCCACTTGTGCACTTCACTCAAACCCCCCAAAAATATTCTTTCATAGCTAAAGGGCACACAAGGAAGTAACGTTCACGTGTATTCTACAATGACATTACCTAAATAAACATAACAGCTGAAAATGTTTATGGAATATAGAAACGTCTATTTAGTATTTTAAATGATAGGTAAGAACATGAAGGGTAAGGCATCCCTGCTGGTTAACATGGAAATTGGGGAAAAACTTTACATGTCGGATTTGCCACAACATTGCAAGCTCATCTGCACTTCATCTCACAGCATTTAGAATACAGCGTTCACACGAGGAATGTGAGCAATTCCAATTTAAGGATTTCCCACAATTTCAGTTGTGATTGTTTGAAAGCAGTTATTGCTTAGCATGCGCTCCGGTCCCTGAAGAGGTGTCCGTTTACACCTCTAAAAGTGATCAATCAGGACGGAGACGCAGTTTGCTCCCACGTGATAATTGGAATCACTGGGAAGAGATTTGTTCTGCCAGCTCTTAGGATCACCTGGAAGGAGGAAAAGGTATAAGATTATTTGCATTATCTGTTCCGCTACTGTGTAATACAATCAAACACAATTTTTAATGACAAAGCTATTGAATTTTCGGAACAATTTGCATTAAGAATTGCATTTTTACTAAGATTGGAAAGGTTAGCCACGCAAAAGGACAGAGATAGAGACATAGTATTAACGTTTTGGTAGAAAATGGTCAGCAAAGCAATCCAGAGTACAGCTTCAATAACAATACTATTCCATGCTGTACATTTAAATAGTTAAATTGATCAAAAGTATCCTAGATTAATCAGGACCACTGCTTTAAGACTGTTCAACTTTTCTGGGGCAGAGAGAAAGCCTTCAGTCAGGTCCAGGGCAGAGAGCATCCAACTCATCTGGCTCAGGGCAGTACAAAACCAGTCAGTCAGGACTGGCCAGTCAGATCTAGGCAGCACATAACTGGTCAGTCAAGGACTTCTTAATCACTCCTTGGTCCCCATTGTAGTGTTAGAAGTAGTTGTTGCACTCTCCGGCCCAACAAATGACTTTGTGAACACACAAGGTGAACACAAAAAACAGCAACTTCTGAGACAGGCTAAGCAAGATACACATTAGTCCCTGTTAAAGAATTAGTTACAGCTAAGAAGCTCAATGTTTTCCAGGAGGTTGGCAGTTGTAAAAAAAAGTTAATTGGCCAAGAGGTAAAAATTTAGAAATTTACGAAAGCTCTTTTCAAAAGTTAAACTTTAGTTCTGAAAGCTTATTGAAGCACAGCCACACGCCGAAGAGCAATGAAAATCAACATGCATAGAAGGAACACATGAAAATCAATACACCCCACACTCGAGTCAGTAAAGCAACACTGGCAATTTGTGTCCTGCAGCACAATACTCTAGAGCCCAGTTACAGGAGGTTTTGTGTTACTTACCACTCAGGTTCATTTTAGCAGTATAGGATGAGGAGAAAGTTAATAGCATAACTAAGTTTCACAGGACACAGAATTAGTTCACTTTAATTTGCATAGGGCAGGGTGGCTATTTTCTGAGCTCTTAAACAGCTCACTGAAATGTTTGCATCTCCATTGTAGTTAGCAAGCGGGTTGAGTGTCATCTCCCGACATCATTCACAAAATATACAGTCAATTCACTTTACAGTATATTCTGAGAATTGCTACAAATATATCAAAGACGTGATAAGGCTCTATACCAAATGCAAAGATTATTATTATTAGTCACAGACTACTCCCCTTTGCTAAGCAGGAATCTGAGATGGTGGCACACTGGGTTTTTCCACGTTTGGATAGTACAATGCTTCAGTACATGGGGGTGGGGGGCATGAATGGGGGGGGGGGGGGGCGGCAGGTGGCAGATGGGGGTGAGGAGAGGGATTATACGTCAAAGAACATTTTAAGGAACAGAATACATTTAAGAGTACTGTAAATTCAATCCCTTACGTCCCCGTTTTGGATTTCTCTACTAGAGGAAAAGCATTCACTATCAAGCATGTGAATTCCCTCCAATACTTTAAAGACCTCAATCAGATCATGCTTTAATCTTCTTGCCTACAAATACAGCCACTGTTCTCTGCAATAATTTCTGTGAAGCACTTTTTAAGAGTTGTTTCGACAATGTGATAAGGTGATATACCAAATGAAAGGATTATTATCATGATCTCTAAAGAACATAACCCAAACCTATCCAGTCTCTCACCACTGCTAAAATCCTTTGTTCTAGATATTAATCTAGTGAATTGGTAGGTGGATAATCTCCAAGGCCCCTTTCTATGATTGAGTGTCCAAAACTGAACATAATACTCCATATGAGATCTGACTAGTGTTCTATATAACTGCAGCAGCACTTACTTGGTTTGTTAGTTTTATATATGGATATATTTCAGATCCTCCTGTTATAAAGCCCAGCAACCCATTAGTCTAGATTGCTTTCTGCACCTACAAATTAGATTTTAACGATTTATATACTTTAGGCACCCAAATCCCTTTGCTTATCTATCCCTGTGTGAAAGGTCCTGTTTGTGAACCTGTGGGAACATTACACTTTGTCAACCCGAGAGGATTTACAATCTAATGAAGGTTCTATGTTCCAGAGACGATTTTTCTTCCCTGAAACACTCGAGAAAATGCAAATTATGCACCCAAAGTGATTGACCCCAAACTGAAAACCACACCCGTTAAGCCACAGATGCCAAGAAGAAACTTAAATGATGCGGTATGAATCACACCCCATTCAAGATGGCCCCAACTAAGCAGGTAAAGCACCGCAAGCCAAATGGCCAGACTCTCCAGATAAAGCAGAGAGAGAGGAAAGCATACCCGACGAGGAGTCAGAGGATTTTAGAGCAAAAGACCAACCATCTGGAGTCATGGACGCACAGTGAGGCAAACGTAGCTCCACCGGCTTCAGGAACTTCAGGCCGTGGGGTCCACACATCACCAGTGGGCTCAACAGGGTTTCACCTGAAAGGGAGAGGAAAGTAGTCAATACTACCTGTAAAACACAGAGCACTGCCCAACTTGAGAATGTCAAGGGTTGCCCTTTCACTGTATAGGTTTTGTACAACATGAAGAGCTATGCAGGGTAAATAGCAGATTTCCACTGATTAGTAAGTGAGTAACAAGAGGGCACAACTTTAAGATAATCATATTAAAGGGAGGCTAGAAAACAAATGTCTATACAGAGGATATTGGGAACTTGGAATTCTCTGCTACAAATCATAACTGACACAGAATCCACTGAATCTTTTAAAGGAAATTAGATAATGGTTTAGAACAGAAGAATATTAGAGGCCATGGGGAGCAAGCAGAAGAGTGGTGGCCCACGACGAGTCAAAACAGCAGTGCAATTGATACACCATAAGTCCATAAGACGAAGGAGCAAGAATAGGCAATTTGGCCTCTCAAGCCTGCCCCGCCATTTAATAAGGTCATGGCTGATCTTCTAACCTAATTCCATTTACCCACCCTAACCCCATATCCCTTAATCCCTCTATCCTTAAGAAATCTATCAACCTCCGTCTTGAATATGTTCAAGGACTGAGCATCCACAGCCTTCTGGGATAGAGAATTCCACAAATTCACTACCCTCTGAGTGAAGAAATGTTTCCTCAACTCAGTTCAAAAAGGCTGACCCTTAATCTTGAGACTATGATCCCTAATTTTAGATTTTCCAACCAGGGAAACAATCTCATGGGATCTACCCTATCAAGACCCTTATAGGTTTCTATAAGAACACCTTTAATTCTTCTAGATTCTAGAGAATATAGGCCTAGTTTACTCAACCTATCTCATCCCAGGAACCAACCTAGTGAATCTATGCTGCACTCTTTCTAAGGCGAGTATGTCCTTTCTTAAACAAGGAGACCAAAATTGCACACAATGATCTAGGTGCAGTCTCACCAAGGCCTTATACAACTGCAGCAAGACTTCTCTACACTTGTACTCTTACCCTTTTGAAACGAACGCCAACATGGCATTAGCCTTCCTAGTTACTTGCTGTACCTGCATACTAACTTTTTATCACTCGTGTACAAGGACACCCAAATCCCACACTAGAACCACCTAGTCTCTCCCACTTTAGAAAATAATGCGCTTTTCTATTTTTACTACCCAGGTGAATAACTTCACACTTTCCCATGTTATACTCCATCTGCCACCTTCTTACCCACTCACCTAGCCTGTCTATTTCCCTTTGCATTCTTTGTGTGTCATCCTTACAGCTTACTCTCCCACTCATCTTTGTATTGTCTGTGAATTTATATATATTAAGTTATATTTCCTCATCTAAATCATTCCTATAGACTATAAGTAATTGAGGGCACTGATCCTTATGGCACTCCACTAGTCACAACCTGCCAATCTGAGAAGGACCCGTTTATCCTTACTCTCTGTTTCCTTCCTGTTAGCCACTCTCCAATCCATGCTAATATGTTGCCTTTAATTCCATGAGTTCTAAGCCAAATGGCCCGTTTCTGTGGTGGACCAGTGTCAAAGTGAAGAGCTACGCTTACCTTTCTCCTTGTCCAGCGGAGGGAGGATACTGTTGTCTCTGCAGACCTTAAAGTAGATTTCCTGTTCAACCCCTTCAGGAATGGCTCCCTTGGGAATGATGATACTCACTCCAGTCTCAACAGAGCTCAACACGCCGCCATTGCTGTCGAAGATTCCGCGTGCTGTGGCCACCACAGTGTGACTGTCGTCATCCTCGTCATCTTCCAAAGCACTGGGACTGAGAAAGCAGATCACAGCCAGTCACAGGGACTGAGAAAGCTAATCACAGTCAATCACAGGGGTGAGAAAGAAAATCATGTGCAATCACTGCGGTCGAGAAAGCAAATCATGTGCAAGCACTGCAGCCGAGAAAGCAAGTCATGGACAATCACCAAGCCAGAGTAACCAGTGGGTCCTTGCCCCAAACACCTAGAGTGACTTGAGTCAGATGCTCAGAAGTTAAGCAATCTAAAACATTCTAACATGGGCACTACAGGAGTAAATGATTTTGGGTTTCACCAAAGATGAGGCCTCTTATCTTTTGGAATCCAATAACCTTAACACCAACTTGCGTTTATACGGCACCCTTCATGCAGGATAGCACCTTGGAGAGCTGCACAGTAGCAGGGTAGAATGCCAGTTCAAAGTACTAGGTCTAAAGGTGGAATCTACAGTGGGAGGTGGAGGGGAAGCAGAGGGAGGGAATTCCAGAGGTTAGTTAGAAAGGTGGTGCAACTGTAGCATACTCTTACCTGACAGGAATAGCTTTAGGTATAGCGTTGATGTTATTGGCTAGATATTTGGCTCTATGGTCAGTTTGCCTGGGGAAAGTGTCTGTTCCACTGTCAAAGTCTGGAGGCTGCGAGGGACTGTGTGGTGTAGGGGGCTGGCCTTCCGTTGGCAGGAGGTTGTGGTTAAATTTAGGGCTTTCAAACTTTCGCTCAAAGGGTCGAGCTGCGCTGGTGTAGGGTTTGGGGGCGAAGCGGTTGTAGACGGCAGGCTGTTTGTGAGACTGTTCCATTCCATTCACAGGAGCCCGCTCAGGCACAGGGAATGATTTCTGGGGGTAAAAGTTTGGATGAACAATTTCGTCACGAGTGTTGGGCCGGAAAGCCTGGGGTTTGCTTTGAGGAGGGGGTTCTGACTTTGGATGTGAGGCACTAGGCAGCTCCCGTGGCACTGAGCTCACTGAAAAGAAGAGAAAATTGGTAAGGTTTCAGTTCAAAAAGTCTGCCGTCAGACTCCTGAGACATTATACGAAACCAGCTTCCATTTTTAGTTGGGAAAGTTATCTTTTATAAAAATCTGATGACTAAAGCAGCAGATAAATTAGGAACAAGTATTAGAGGTTTCGTGGGAGACGAGGGCTTTCAATGAAGCTTAAGGAGTAACAATACTACTATTAATAATAATCCTTGCATATAGCGCCTTATCACGTCTTTGTGATGTCTTCAAGCGCTTCACAGAATATACTGTAAAGTGAATTGACTGTAGATTTTGTACGAAACAATAATTTTGTACAAAGTACTTTTGAGAACAGGTCTTTTACCCCCAATAAGAAACAAATAGTGAAGGAGCAACATTGACATTTGCTCCTGGGTGCTGATCTCCCTCACCAGACACACAAGTTGTGTTGGTTAATGGGAGTGAGCTCCATTGTTTCCACTGAAAAATATTTTGATACGACAGCGACCAGCTGTTAAGTGGATTCACACATGGATATTCTGGATTTGAACGTTTAGCAATATGCTGCTAGTTATCTAGATTGGCAGCTGTTTCCTTTAATGTAACTGGAATCAAAGACTGAATGTAGTAGAAGAGAGTGTAAAGCACCCTATTACCTTCTAGTGGGCTTGGCTTGGGGTGGACTAGTGGAGGCACAGGCAGGTTTAAACTGGGCTGAGAAGGCGGTCCGTAGCGTGACTGAGGGGCAGACAGCTGGGGAGAAGGGTCATAACGCTTATCCACAATGGTGGGTTTAACATGATCGAACTCTGCAGGTGTACTCCTGTAAACCAAAACTAAGCGTCATAATCTCAAGCAACTCACACTGTGTCATTGTTTCAACATTACATGCAAATATGGTGACGGCTTTTGTCACTGCAGAAACAACATGCCAAGTCATATCCTGTGCAGCACACAATGCAATTTATTCAGCATGCACAGCATACAGAAACGACAAAGCCACTCACAGTAAAAACACTGCATAGCTGGTTGATTAGTCAATAATGGTGAAAAATAGCATCAAAACAGAAAAACTCTGCACAAGAAAGTCAGCAACTCCCGGATCTTTGCCGAATGCTGCAAAACCCTGAGAACCCCATGTTCACTCTCGGGATGAGATTCAATTGGATTTTATTGAGGAACAAAACTTATATTTCATTAAGTCAATCTATACCAGATCATCTCTTTCCGAGCTTCAATTTAATTCTGAAAGTGCAGTTTATCTGAAAGAACATGCTGATCTCACACAGGCACTAGCTTCCAGTTGCCAACTCTCATACAAACAAGTATGCTTCGGTGGTTCTAAGTGCCAGTTTCGCACAGACCCCTGCCCTCAGGTGCCTGTTACTCTCTCTCAGTGGAGTGTCCCACCGATGCCTGCTCTCAGGTCTTGGCAACTTGTTCTACTTGTTTCAAGACCCTCTTGTTCAACTGTGCCTTTGGTCACCCTCCTAGCCCCTACCCTCCCCACCCTCCAACACTCCTGATCCCTACCACCAGCTCGGGTGCGGATCCCTGACTGTCCAGCACCTCGGGATGTCCTCCTGACGTGAAAGGCGCTTTGTAAATGTAACTTCTTGTTGTTGTATTTCTGCTCCTTTCCCTTGGAGTGAAAATGGGGTTATTCGAAGTTCAGTTCACAACCTGAAGACATGAAGCAATTACACATGATACCAGTAAGCCTTACCACTTCAGATTCCTTTTCAGGCTTTCACAACTAGCGCGCAAGCCAAGAGTTGTGTATGAGCCATGAAGTCTAGGCAATGGTTCAAATAAAAAACAAAAGCAGGAAAATAAGGATAATTGCAGCTGTGAAAACCCAACTTAAAGCTGCAGTGCTCCAGTTGCTAACACAAAATTGGATAAGGGCACATTTTCAATGTATAGTATAAGTATAGTTTACAACCATCCACAGAAGCATTCAAGTAAATGGATTCAGTGGATTTCAAGACACTGTACTATTTTTCCTTAGACTATTTGGTATAATTAGTGAATTAACTGGATCAGTGGGATGCTATGAAAGAAATAAATCACTTAATTTTCAATTTGAACATGTATCTGTTTGTAAGGAAATAAAACACGTTGATGTTGGCTGGTCACTGCAGCTTCAATTTGACGTAACTTTTGTCAAAATGGCAATGACTTCCAACTGGAGAGTTTTAGAATCAAATGCTCTTTCTTCCTTTCAATGCACAACAAATGTAACCGGTACCTCTTTCTTTGGAGGTTTCTCTCTCCCAAGCACCCAGAAACGTTTCATCTGCAGCACACGCACCAGTCCATGGCCCCGGGGGAGGGGGTGGGGGAGGGGCGGGAGTGTGCAGGCAGGCAGCCTTCTCCGAACCTTTCATTGCACTTGGCTGCTGGGTGGTGCACAACATTGACCAGGTCAGTCCTAGTCCTTCACTGGCCAGGAATCTCTCGAGTCCAGCAGCTAGTCAGCTAGATTATTTCTCTAAATTTAGTGGGAACACACAAAGGATTGATTCCTCCAGCCTTTCTGATGCCAATCCCCAGCTCGGGTGCAAATCCTTGACTGTCAAGCGCCTCGGGATGTCCTCCTGACGTGAAAGACGCTGCACTGTAATGTGTTGTTGCTGCACTGTCCGTCTCTAAACCATTTGAACAGGCAGCCCATTTTGAGCAGCCACGATTGCTGCAGCTACAAGGAGCACATTTCTCAGCTCACTCCTGAAAGTTGTTATATTTCTCCTACCATGGATTCAAAGTCATTGTGCAGCAGCTTAGGAGCTTTGACGGCTGCTGTACTTTGAAGGCTAGAGGACTAAAACTCAACTTGCAATTTCTCTCTCTCTCTCTTCCCTCCCTTGGAGATGGAAAATGAGATTAATAAAAAGCTGACTTAAAACAGGTAGCAGTAACACAGACATGATGGGCCAAATGGCTTTCACCAGAAAATTTGTTTCTACAGAGTGGACGAAAGGATAACTTCAGGGGTTCATAACAAATATATTGTATCTGCTGGACTCAAATCAGGTAATCTTAAATCATTTGTCAGTCTGAAACAATTGGTGCCATTCTCACTTCATAAAGCTGTGGGTGGAAGATTCACTCGAACACTCAGGCTTCACAGCCTGAACTAAACTGCACTAAGACTTCCCCATGGGTGAGCTTCTTTACAGAGTTTACATCAGTCAGACAGGAAGAGGAAACAAAATAAGTCACCCTGAGCCACTCTATACATCTATCAGCTGCCTGGGGTTGGGCCACCTAGACACCCTCAGTCAGGGAAAGGCACTTGGGGATTTAAGCAGAAATAAAATGCACTAGTGTTTTGCTATTTTAAAGTAGGACAAAGGCTATTCACAGTTTTCTGATCCAGAGGTTGACTCAACATTGGATCACCAATCAGGTCCTCATGTTTTACCAGTTTGATTTCAATAGTATTTTCGATGGTAGAAATGCAACTCTGATATATATTATTTTTGTAACACACACACACACACACACACGTTATGACTTGGACAAAACTTTCATTTTTAAATAATCAGGAATATCTGAAGAACTGCACAGGATTGATTTATGTCCATCAATTATATTGAGAGAATTGCTGACCAGCTACCGAACCCACAATTTATTCAGCAAATGACGAAACCATGACAAGCTCAAATTGAAAATGGATGAATATTGTAGTTACATGTAGTCTATAACAGAAACACATTATTCTAGTAATATTTAATCTGGAAGCACCTGTGAATAACTATCAGGTATTTTTCATCTCTCTCTGAATTTTATGATTCACTTTACTGTCCACTTGGGGACATCATTGCCGTAACATTTACCAGTCATTGCTAACAGGGACAAACCTCAATCTAGTTCCTACTCCAACTGCTGATTAACATCACACGGTCAGATATAGAAATGAGGATCAACACTGAGATCGGACCAGAGATGCATTTGAAGATCTGTACTCTTATCAGGCAGTGTAGAAGAATAATCATCTGCAGTGACTGCAATGTTAAATCAAAGTGCAAGAGAAAGCTTCAACACACTTATCAGCAACTTACCTGGGCACATACCCAGTGTAATTGGGCTGTGCTGGTTTGGCAGGTTCAGGGAAGCTTGCGGCAGGCGGCTTGTTATCATAGCTTCTGCGGCCAAAGTATGAGAGCTGCTTTCGATAATCTTCTTCATCCTCATCTGGGTCATAGTGATTCACTCGTGGCATTTCTTGTGGAAGCTTCACCTGAGGCTTCTGAGGCTCCGGGCCCCTGCAGATGGTGATTAGACAAGGAGCAAGTGACGAAACCAAACAGTGTCATGCAAGAGCCCAATCAATCATTGTACCAGCTTTTAAAAAAAACTTCCACACTACAAGTCCAGCTCTATTTACATTAAATACACCCAGAAACACATTATATTCTACAGAACTGGAAATCAGAAAACATTTTTTCATGTAGATTAATATTCCTTACATTTGATTTAGCAGCTATAATATTGAGAACAAATCAAAGCGCTTCATAAAGCTTTCTGTAATGTGGTGATTGCATTTGTAGGCAAACACAACAGCCAATTTGTACAATCTTGCACAAACAGCCATGAAGGGAATGACCAATTTTATCTGAAGGATTGTTTGCCAGGATACTCCTTTTTTGGAATAGAGCCATGGGATCTTTACAGTCAACCAGACAAGACTTCAGTTTAACGTCTCATCTGAAGGACAGTACCTTTGACAACGCATTTCTTCAGCACTACTTTAGAATGTCAGCCTCAACTATGAGCTCAAATATTCAATATGGGCTTGAATACACATTTTTTCAACCCAGAGCACTATGAATTGCACCAATCTCATGTCTCTGATAGAATGTGCAATGCACTACCCCACCCTGAAAATACAGAAACATTTGGGATGTTAAAAGGGAGATGGATAGTTCTGGGGCTGGACTCAAAGCTATGAAGGCAGAGGGCTTTAAATTAAACCAACATATCCAAAGAGGTACAGTGTACTTCCTGATAACAGCTGATAAAATAAAAGAGCTGCAGTATTCAGCACAACTTTATATAAGGTGCAGTGGTGCTGTCAGTGAACGTACTTGTATAAATGTGGAGGCTTCTCCTGTTCCAGTAATGGCTGAATGGCTGGTTTGGAGGCAGTAACTGGAACTAACACAGGCTTAGGTGCTACATCAGGAGGCTGAAACAAAAACAAACACTGAGCAAATGCTAAATAACACTTCACCTCAATATAAACGTTCATAATCAGGACAGTTTTCACATTTTCAAGTGATAAATACAAACAGCAGAACAATACATGGAAAAACAGATTAGGCACAAGAGCTAAAAGACAGAAAGCATTACTAAACTCTACAGGTCAAACCCAGAACCCAAGGACCAAAAGTTCCCCATAGGCTTAGTCCCCACCCACACTCTATATGCAAGACCTGAGTGTGCTCAGATGCTCTGTACCTGTAGGTACAGCTTAGAATGCAAGCCTCACCGAGAGACCCAAACCCAGAGAGTAGTTGCAGCCACAGTAAAGTGTACAGCTTGCTTCTTAGCCATGCTTGATACAGAAGTAGTTTAATTAAGACTGCGACTTTACCCACCCGCATCGACGACCCTTCAGTGGGCTCCTTGTTCTTTGACAAAGTGGATTTCTTGCTTTCAAACAGTTTGACTCTGGTAAGCACCGACTGCGGTTTCATTGCTGGGTCCTCCTCCTCCTCCTCCTCCTCCCCCTCCTCTAGCTCCATGTGCATGTGTACAGGTGGAGGTGGTGGCAGGACTTTACTAACAGGATGAAAAGGCTCAACAGGTTTAGCTTGAGGGGGAGGTGGCAAAGGAAAGGAAGCTTCTGTACTAAAGGACTGCTCGTAATGTCTAGGTAGGGAATTGTGCCCCTGAGGTGGGCCTTGGTCGTAGGTCCTCCCTTGGGAATCATAGTAATGGGATTCTGGAGACCTGGACGTCGGTGGATGAAAAGCTTGTGCCTCATATTCATAGTGTGGTCGAGGGTCATAGCCATGCAGTGCCTGATCGCTGTAATGTGGCTGTGTGAGCTTGTAATCTTGAAGTGGTTTATCAAAGCGCGGTGCTCGGTTCTCATAGCCTGTATGTGATGTCTCTTCGTAACGTGGCTGATAGCTGTGATCTGGGTAATCATCTAAATACTTTGGCTCATGGTCGCGAGGAGGATGCTCATGATGGTAGGTATGAGGAGGCTTCTCATTGTACTGTATCCACTTGTCATTATAGGGAGGTGGGGTTTCTTCATATTGTGATCCTGCCCCATACCTCTGGGGTGGCTGCTCTTCATACTTTGCCGCAGATTCATATCTATACAGCGGCTGTTCCTCAAAATGTTGCTGCCGTTCATAATCCCGGTGCTGTTGGCGCTCATAACTTTGGCGTTCGTTATCAAGTCTCGAAGCAAGATTGCCTACTGGTTGCTTAAGGTCATAATTCTGCCTTGCAACCTCATCATTATATGAATCCTTTTTGTACATCTATAGAGCAAAGAGCATTAGTAAACAGGTCAACAACGTATAGCTACAGATGTAATGCAAGTTTTGAAACTGTACATTTCAAATTTGCACAATATTTGTTAATATTGGAAACCCATTTGCAATAAAAAGGACAAACACAGATTAAACTCAGACCAGAAGAACATCTAATTGCAAAGAAAGTTGAAGCAATAAAGAAAGCCATAGTTGCTTAAAGATAGTGAAATGTAGACAGATATAAACTAAACACCTTGACAAATATTTCCCCACAATACGTTGGTTTTAATTCTAAGTTTCTAACAGTATCCATCCTGAAATACACCTTTGTGTTTTGATGGCTTAACTTTGGTCAATCTACACCACCACTTCAGGCAGAGACAAATGGAACCCCATCATGCTCACCGCCCCCTCAGAAAGACACTATGAACAGAAATTCTGCTTCTAAATCCTGCCAGTTTAAGGCTCTGAAGTACAGAAATAGAGGAGAAATAGGGAGTTATTGGATAGTGAGCAGAAGCAGGAAACTCTGATGGATGAAAACTGGCTGATTAATCAATAGATGCATCAGTGATTGTAATTATGCTTAAAGATATTGAACTATTGTACATAGACTGTGTTGTGTTCAATGATACACTAATCCCTGACTGAACCAGGCTGGGAACTAAAAAAAAGGAATGCTGCCACGAGGGCAAGAGACAAGGCCAAGGGTGTATTTCTACAGCAATTCTAATTAATTATAACTAAATTGAGATACCACAGAACTCAAAATAAATGTACTGAAATGCCCTTTTCTGACTTTCAACATTTGCATCCTATAACTTAGGATACTGGGATATCAGGAATGCAATCACTGAAGTGCCACTGCAGTCCACAAAGGTAAAAACCAGTTTGAAAATGATTGTGTCAAGAGGAATGAAAGCAGAATTAGAAGAAAGCTTTCAGTGTTAAGTAAAAAAAAGTGCACAAGCAATGTTCCAGCTAATTCATCTCAATTAGAATTACACTTGCAGTTTTCCTAATGGAATATAAATTCTGGGAGCCAAGTTCTGAATGTTCCACTGTAATTAGTTCAACTCACTTAAGAATTAGTTTAATAAAGTATTGCTGTGTTGGAATAGCACTATGCTGATGTTTAAATGAATTGAGGCGATTTAAAAAGCAGTACCAGAAAGGTTAATTAGATTATTATGCTCTTTGAAACATTTTAAGCATCTATAAAGTTGATTACAGGCACTACAAATTTCTGCACCTCCCTCTCCCCCAAACACAGACTGGTTACTTCACTGTACATTTGATAGCCTAGACTCCTGTATTGTAAATCAGTACAAAGACAAAGTAAATGATTATGCAATAGTCAGTGGAAGCTTTGTAAAGATGGCATGCCAATGGTTTGCAGCAAGTGGTACCTTTGATGGTTCTGCATGGTGAGCTGCTGCTGGTTCTGTGTCTCTCAGCCTCTCAGGACTAACAGAATGAATTACACGACGAGGTTCAGGGCTGGGTTGGTTGCTGTAGGGATCAGGCTGGGGTTCAGAAATGTTGTGGGAAGGAGGGGCAATCTCTTCCAGTCTGACATTGGTTAGATCTACTCTGGAATTAACTGTAGAGGGCACGGCAACCACAGGATTGGATTCAGGAGAAGTGGGGATGGCAGGAAGGATATCTGCTGTCTGAAATGGGCAAAATAAAAAATATTCCAGTACAATTGGTTTTCTACAAGGTGCACGCAACCTTGGCACAAAGGTTAAATACTAAGCGGATATCAGGCTCACAATACCAAACATCGCTGCCATATGGATAGAATCAATTAAACCTATTTGAGATTGATAAAAGTTTCATTATACAGAAATCCATTATTTACTGATTCACACCAAATTGCATAAATTAAAGTCAAACTTAATACATTTCCTATCGTTACCCATCTATTACCCATGGCTTAGAATCTTTTGCCATGCTCCCTGGTGGTCTTGTGGTTAGGATTCGACACTTTCACCATCGTGGCCCGGGTATGATTCCCGCTCAGGGAAATCTCATCCGTTGAATGCAAGGGCAAAACTGTCTTGTTTCCTTCCATATGCAATTTAAAATGAGCACACCTATTATTCACCTATTAATCTGGTGGGCCGAAGGGCCTGTTTTCATGCCACATCGATTTGTAAATTTACAGTGTAATCCAAACCTATATGAATATTTTCCTTAATATGAACAAAACTGTCAAAATTGAGGTTGAATTCCTGGAAAATCACAGAATTGCATCAGCAAACGCTTTGTATCAAAGTGCTATCACTTCCCAAAGATTCCAGCAAAAGAACGGAACAGGGAAGGGTAACCCAAAGACTGAATGTTGTACTCAGCAGATAATTATTCATACTTCAACAAAAAAGATCTGACAGTTAGGCCAAGGCACAACGGTGTGGGAAATGAAACAAACAAGCTGACGCATACATACAGAGTAGGGGCGGGTGCACTGAGCCTGCGCAGTGTGACCTGAAAGTGCTCACACTGAAACTCAAGTTTGCACCAACACCCTCACCTTGCGAAGAACAAACATCCACCGAAGGTAAAACATTGCTGCACTAAGTAGTCAGCGGCTTTTCCTCTCCAGTACAAGCATTCAATCTCAAACAGCCAGCTGACATAATAGATAAGATTTTTAAAAAAATCAATTTGAACACAATTTTAAAAATTTTAAAATCCGAATAAACTGAATTTGAATCTTAGATACATGGTGGGCCACCTTTTGTTTTTTTTTTTGGGGGGGGGGGGGGTAAAGAGGAGGGAGAAGGGCACTTATTGAAGTACTAGCATTTGATGAGATGAATGTGACAGGGTGTCTGATTGAAAGTAATAGCTCAGGATATAAGCACCGGAATGAATTCTGATCAATAACTATTTAAAGTCGATTCAATTGCAAATCGCAGTGCTTCCATAGATGCCACTCACCGGCTGATTCACTGGAGGCTTGTAGATGGGAGAATCTATTCTTGCGGGTTGTACAGGATAAGTAGGGTAAGTTTGGGGTAGGGGCTCTGGATGTATCAATGATGAATCTTCGAGCACAGGTTCCGAGGACCTGGTTATGGCAGACTCTGTTGGACCAATGTCATCATTGAGAGTCTCATCCAGTTCTTGATCAGTGTAGGCGCCACCTTCTGTATCTGTATCATCATAGTCTGAAGTGTGCCGACTATCTGTGCTGTACATGGAGTATTCACTTCCTGGAGCCGAAAGGTATGACAAGCGATCATCGTGGAGGTCAAGGTCATCCTCTGCCGTGCCATCAGCCTAGAGAAAAACCAAACCCCAATAAAATCGCCACACACTTGCAATCACACCACTGTCTGTGGTGAGAAGCACTATGCATTCATTAACTTCCTGCAAATCTAATGCTCCCATCTCACACCCTTCATTCTTTGTGCAGAACCATGGCTCAATCACTAAACCTGGGCCTCTGCCATGCCCTTTGATGCGAAAGTGATCTTGTTTCCTTTCAATTCCTCCAAGGCACTTTCTTCCTGTACTTTAAGTCTAACCAATCCTTCCATCGATATCCTGGGTTTTGCTACCTTATGTATTGTCAAGTGGATCAGAAAACATCTTCTCCAACAGCTACAGCTACCTCCAAGCAGCTTGGTTCCTGTCTTGTGCCAAACCATTTTCTTCCTCTCAAAGTTCAACGCTACAAAGCCCAATATGGTCAAAGGCTTGAATACTTGCTTCCATAACGAAATCTAAAACAAAGATCTTGAAAACCTGGACGTGAAAAAGCTTGTGTGACAAGTGACGCTCTCCTCACCAATAGCTTTCATCTTTTATTTTTGGTGCAATACTGTGGCACTGCTCCTCCAAACTTGTTCCTTCCAAGTTCCAAATACATTTCAGAGGCTTTTCTTCCTTCCTAGATTCTCACCGTGCTGAAGTGGAAATTCATCTCACTGACTCCTACTCTCATTCTTTCTTACAATCTCAAGACTGAGGAACTCTTCCCCTCCCTCAGGCTTCCCTTGCTTCCTACAGTCTACATAAGCGCTTAACAAGCTTGTTATAGTCTTTTAACCACTACTTCCTGATTTCACCTTGCTGGTACCCATTCTGTGGGCCATTGACCTGTCATCTACATTCGCAAACAAAATGTTAAAAGATATTAATTCAATTGACAGGTACATCTTTCATCCACCTCACAACTTCAGTTTTTATGATGCATTCCTCTCCAGAAAGTGGTCTTATGGTGGAGTACAGTTTCACAGGTGTCAGCAATGCTCTGTTCCACACAGGAGCCAGCAATGTTCTGTTATCTCATTCAAATTTATGGAGGTATACTTCAAGTGTGAGGCATTTGAACTAAATACCTACATAAGTGTATTTCTAACAAGTCATTGGTTAGAGATGAGGAACCAGAACTCTGTCCAATATTTCGCTCCCAATTCCAGAGATGCTAACACCCAGTGCAGTGTTCAATGTCTACTCTTATTTAAAGCAGCTAATAAGTCAACACAGATCAGGGCCTATACCCTCTTCATAAACTGGTTATTCAACACGTGACACTTTGTAGGTCTTGCAGTGCATAAATTACCTGCCATTCTTGCCTTTAAAAAGTCATTATGCTCGATAGTAGTGACCTGTGAAACACTATAGTGCAGAAATTACAACACAGGAATAGCAACACTGTAACAACTCGAATCCCAATTTCCTGGACCCTTTCATATTTTTTAAACTGTTCGTCCAATTTCCTTTTAAATGTTAAGGCTTCGACCTCAATAGCTACTTCCAGCAAAGGAATCCATATTCTGTTGATATTTTATATTGTGTAAAAATATTTCTTCTAATCCTCCTTTAATTCTTTCAGTGACATTGCTGATCTAATGCCCTTGGTTATAGATTTACCAACCAGAGGGAAGAATCGTTCACCACCTATCTTCTCCAAATACAAGTTGGGGAGGGACCAAGAATACTTGGTACATCTCAACGTTCCGGGGATTTGTGAATTGAGTTGGTTACAACAGGCTGTTTCCGTACAACTCATAACAGCTGGGGTAAGAGGCCATCAGCACAGGCAAGTTTCCATATTCAGGATCTGTGCTGCAGGAAGCAGCCTTTAGGGGGGAAATACAAATATTCATCTTCCCTAGAGTTTGACTCCAGCTACAATAAAATATCACCTTACCTTGCCCTCCGAGACCCAAACTAACTGGTTCTGCTGCTGCTGAACAGACTCCTTCAGCCCTCCATACCAGCCTTCATTCATCGAATTCAAATTAATAGTAGCTGCAGAAACAAAATCATTTATTAGTGAAGGAAATCACAGCCACAAAAAAAAACACTGAAACATCAGCTAACAACAAATATACATAGTGTTGGAACCTTTTATGAAAAGTGCCAGGATCAAAATCGAACGTGATTAAATTGATCAAATCTATACTCACAAGTGAAGAGGTGGTGATTATTCTTCCGCAATTTCATAGCACGCTCAAACAGCTTTCTGGCACTCTTTCGGGACTCAGGACAAAGTCTTTGTCTCATGGTTTTAACCCCTTGCTTGGTATCAGGATTTAGGAAAACTACGATTGGATACCACTGGGCATAATTCAAACGGTCCACGGCATTTGGAGTAATATCCAACACTGCATGCTTATCCTGACAGAGAGTTAGCATTTATTAATATGAGGTCTACTTCAACAGACCAATTTCTCAATCTAAATTTGATGAGGTTATATTGAATACAAAAGAAATAAACTTACTCTGTCGATGACCTGCTTGATTGTGTGCAGCCTAATAATACCAGAACTGCGCTGATCCGTGCCTGCATCCCTGGGCTCACTCCCTGGAAAAGAACAGAGTATATAAATGTCAAAATAATTCAACATTGAAAACAACAATGGTCATGCTGAGAAATGTTACCAGCATTTTACTACACTCAACCCTCCCCTTATAGTCAACCCTCTGTAAAGTCGATAGTTGGGTGAATATTTCACTCCTCAGAACAAAGTGCAGACTATTTTAGTATTGGTCTAGGTGACAGGCAGGATTCAGCACTTTCCCTTTGCAATACCTTGATGCTTCCAAACTCAATCTCAGGGCAACAACCATTTACTGCAGTAGGATATCCCATTACCCATTATCAGTCCCTCTCATGGAATTAGATTGCAATGTTCTAGGGAGGTCTCACATCCTTTGGCAAGTGGGCTGAGAAGAGAAGTGCATAGAAAAAAGAAAATGAAGCTCTTACTTGCAACTTCATACTGGTCTGGCTCCTCTCGTGCCAGCTTTTCTCGAGCAACATCTGCGATTGGGCCAAAGATGACAACCGGCCTGAGGAATCCAGCTGGAGAGAGAACCAAATGGTCACACAAACAAATTCTAACAGCGTCGTACAGAAAGCATAAAGCAGGTCAGTAAGAATACAAATAATTTAGCAATTAATAATCTATGTAAATCTGCTATAGTGAGCAATTGTCTTCCTACTGAAGCCCCAATACATCCCTGATCTTCCCCTTTACCTTCACGGAGAACAACTCTTTCATAAGCTGGAAATTTGGTATGAACCGGTTGAGCTGAAAGATCTTCTCGGCTTTTGCGGAGATTCCTCTTCGAGCTACGGAGCCCACGGAAACGCCAGAAATCTGCACGGTCACCACCGGCTGTTTTGGGAAGAGTGTACTGCACGCTGGACAGCTGCTCTGCTCTGTTAAACAGTTCAAGATGCATGGTTTAACTGGTTTAGTCAGGAACCATGATTAAATACAACTGATGATCAAATGCCCTATGAATTTTTTTATTGTCTTTGATGGGCCTCATGTCCTGCTTAGTCAGTCTTCCTTATCTTGTAATAATAGTTGAGGTTGAAAACTTTAGACCCAGTGTTATAACAGGAGCACAATAAAACAGTTGTCCATCCTGCTTCTGGTTATCAGGTCATTGCTGATATCACTTCTATCTTCCAGTGCAGCCTGGCCAGCTTCCTGTGCACGTCAAAACGGTCAGTTAAGCCACTATTGATCACACAAATACTTCTAACACATGAAAACGGATTCTTGTGTACGCTCAGAAAACTGTCCAGCCCGAGCCAGAAACTGGAAATGTACTGCAACGATGGTAACCATAGGACTTGCTCTCTTAGGGATATGTATTAAAACCATCCTCTCAAATTGTAATTTTAGTTTTTAGAACATAGAACAGCAGAAATTGATAGCGGATAAGATTCAGGTCTTTAAGATACAAAGAGGCATTGCGATCACAATGCAATAACCCTACTAAGTCTTGCTTTTAGTCTAGTATTGACAATAAATTGAAACTCCATACTAAAGTCTTAAAGAATTTAAGTGCAAGAGTGTTTTGAGTGGGGTATTGGCATTTTGAACAAATTCTAAGCAATACTTACTAACATTTACATTACTAACTAAACGAGAGGTACAATAACCCAACTTGTATTCCTGAAATGCCATTATCACATACCTGTTTCGATTCGGAATGATGCCTCTCTCTACCTCCTTATGGTTTTTGCCAATTCGTATGGCTAGCCAGGAGCCAAGTTTCCCATTATACAGTGTGTCCACTACACGGAATACTTCTCCTCTATTGAAGCTTAAGCCATAAGGAGATTCTTTTTCATAGTCAAAGTGGGTCCTGATGTAGAAAGAATCTCCAACGTCGGACTCCACAATACGCCGGTAGACTGTAAAAGTAAATTACGGTTATGATTATGTAGATTTATGTAGTGTGTGATTCATTATGTAAAGCAATGCATTTTTCATCACACCGTGTGACCCCATGTGCATTTGTGTTCCTCTTCCTTTCTCTTTTCTACGGTTACCAATACTTTGAGATGTCTTCCTGACATGATAGGCTCTATATAAATTTAAATTTGTAGGGTAAACTGTATTGTATTACAAGTCATACACCATCCTCTGTGAGTGGCTCTTGGGGCTCTGCCACTGTACAACTGACCACTTGGGAAGTTTAAACACTAAATTCTAATGCTAAAGCAATCCAGGGTGGCACTTCTTCTATTGGATAAGTCTATGTAGTAGCCCAACTCTGGATGGGTAACTTGCTTAATAGATAAGTTGTTTAATGGATATATAGTGAAGAAAATAGCTCTTGATCATTACAAGTTTTTAAAGACTAGATTTTTTTTATGAAGCACATACNTTTTTTTAAATATACAAGCTAAGTTTTGAACAATTCCAAGATTTGCACATGGGAAAGCAACTCACCATCTTTTTTCTGCTGTGCCAAGATAGTAACCTCTTCTCCTTTAGGAAGATCCAGCAGAAACAGGACTGCCTCTTCTCGTATGATATTAGCAAAGTCTACACTGTTTACCTGGAATGGAAACAAACATAGCGAAGATGTAGGAGCCATGCTATATTCTAGTCCATCAATTTATATCAATTTACAATAAATCACATTTCACAATTTCAAATCCCAGTTTGAAACACAACAGCAAAATTGACTTTTGGATATTTACACCTCAGATCACTGTAACCTACTAGTTTCAAACAAGTATGACAAGTAATAAAATGGCAAATGTTTAATTGGATTGATTTGCATATCGTAAGCACGACTGTATGCAACACATCAGGAGAATAGTGGTCGATTAGAGAAATAGTTAGGCAAGTTTAACACTGATAAATGCAAGGCATTGCATTTCGTACACAGATAACAAGACAACAACATATGTATGGCTAAATTGATGCTTTTCCCTGGAGCAGAGGAGATTGAGAGATTATATTATTGATGTCTAAGATTCTGAAGTAGCACAATATAACAAGGAAATGGGGAACAATTATTTCTTTTAGTCGCAGAACTGGTGACAAGCGGACATAATGTCAGGATCCGTAGCAGAAAATTTACAGAAAAGGTTCGAATGAATTGTTTCAATCAAGGGTTTCATTCAGCCCTTTCACCAGAGGGTTGGATTCATTACTACAAATGTCTATTGAAGCTTGATCAATAGAATCATTCAACATGGAACAGTAGCATAGACACTCAGGGCAGAATGGCTTGCGTCTGTACAGAAAATAGTGGTTTCTGTTTTTAAATGTTTTGGTGGAACGAGCAACCCGTAAATGGTTTAAAACAGAGAGGGCAATTCTACACGTGTGCATGCGGCCCGTTGATGCCAAGATGGCCATTCCTGATATAAAGGACACAGACTGGTGTGGCATGCTTTCATGTCACTGTCATATCAGCAGTGCTCTGCTGAGGAACATGCACCATCTGGATTTGCAGTCAGTAAGAGGCGTTAGGCAAAGGCGTCATTTCAGGAACTGCACGTGTGCACACATACAAACAGGTTCTCACGAACACAGGGTAACCCCTTTATAACCCCATATTTTGGTCAGCCAAAAATAAAGGCCCAGCTTCCGGGACATCAGGTCACCACTGACGTCACTTGTAGCTTCCGATGCAGTCTGGCCTGCTTAATGTGCAGGAAATTAATCAGTCAACTGCCACTGCTCTTCTGGCACAGGACTTGATATTTTTGAATGCACGATTCAATCCACTGCTATATTTAACTTAAAGATAAGATCACATGTGAATCTCTATGCAGGAGCATCTCTATGCAGGAAAAAAGATTTAATAGTTTAGATAGGAGCTTAAAATGTGAGGTAGAATTAAAATGTGAGGTGTTCTCCAATAGGCCAGACTTGTTATAGAACACACATAGTGCCTGAAGTGTTGTAGTTCCAAATCCCCTTACCCTTAGGATCTGATCTCCTTCTTCCAGACCTTCTTTTGCTGCAGGACTATCTTCAAGCACTCCAGCAACAAATATTCCCACATCATTGCCACCTGCCAGCCGGAGACCAACACTTTCACCCTTTCGAAACTTCACAAGCTTCATTGTTGGTCTGAAATAAAAAAAAATTGTTAATATAAAAGCGGGAAGCGGCATGCTATCCAGTTTATTATGCTCGAGAATTAACAGCTGGCAAAAACTCTGGCAGTCTGAGTACTAATGACACAGCAAAGACCAGGAGACTATCAGACACATGCTCATCGCCAACTTCAGAATTCAACCCTTCCCCAACAAGTTAGACAGGTTAACATTCCTTACATACAGAAAGGTCTATTTCCATCCATTATCTAAATGGTTTCCAAATCATGAGACAATGGAGTTTTAGACAAGCAGGTGTTAACCACACAGCAAAGCTCCTGAGAACCACTCTCTATTCCTAACACAGATACATATTAAGATGCATATTAAATCATATTAAAATAGACATTAAAATCACAAAATATCTTTTTTTTTAAAAAGTGATTAATACAGCAATTCCAAATTACCTCAACATGCCATCATCGTGTGATGCATTTGGAACTGGTGCATCGGAGGGACTAACAGGCAGATCCACATCGGGTTGGCCAGGTTGAGCGTACACTGGCTTCGGCTCTATAGAATGAAAAGTTAAATCCTGTAAGTCATAAAATATTTGGTATATTTATGAAAAAATGCTGTGTACCCTTTAAAAGCACAGCATTTTTAAGTGCTCCAAGATGCTATCTGCGTGATGGGCGGAATATAAATGCAAGTTGTACTTGTATTAGTTTGTAATNAAAAACAAACCTCCGTTGAATCTTCATTGATTGTCTATTAGGTGAAAATGCCAACAGAGCATTTGAGTTTCAGCAAGATTTTTTAAAAAACAAATACCTTAAAAGAGGATTTAACCAATTGAAGCAATGGTTCTGCGACTCAGTGAATCAAATGCGGTCAAGGTCATAAAACCATTGAACGAACAAGAAATATGTAGCTGCTGGAACAGAAGAGGGCCATCTGCCAAAGACTGACCAATATTACATTGCACATAGAGATTATATTAAAGGTTGGGTTCATTGGCAGCTCTATTTGCTGAATGATCTGCATCATAAAGCAACATTACTTCCTTCCAAACCATTAATTTCCATTAACAAACCTGGCAATGGTGGGGCTTGTTTCTCGACTCGTTCTTCTGCAACTTTAGCCACAAAAGCCTCTTCCGTACTTTTCACTGGTGTTGACATAGCTCCTGGCTTGGTTCCTTGGACAGTAATGTCGTCTTCATGGGGCCTTTGGCTGGACACAGAACAGAAATGGTCTGTCATAATCCTTATTTTTTTATTATTGCATCATTTAAGATATCTGGGCACTGCTTCAAATCACATTACAAGAAATTGATTGAACAAAATGCATGAGAAAGTAGCACATTTTAGAAACGTTTTGGTGAAATGCACAAAAATGCAAATAATCTTCAATTACATACATTCTCAGCTAAAATACTCATTAGCAAAAGGTCAAATTAAGTTCCAGTTAGGCAGCATTTGTAATACGATGTAGTGATAAAGTAGGAGGACATGATTTATTCGTTTACTGTGCCATTAGTCTGTAGCTAGCATCAGAAAGCAGGCTGACATTTGCCAGATACCAGGTCCTTTTCAACTGGACATGTTTTCTGAAAAGGAGCTTGATTTTTTTTTGTGCCTGAAAGCATGATTAACTCCAGAAATCAGGAATGTATCAAGCACTCTCCTCCCCTACAGCAAATGGTTTTGTGTTACGCTGGTAAAACTCTGTGACCAGAAGGTGGAGCTGGTCAGTAATAAAACAAGAACAGTATTCAAACTAAATCACACAAAATATTTGTATTGCATTCCCCAGGTTCGCTCATGCGAGTTCACATTCGCTGGCTTGTTTTAGAGTACAATTTAAACTTTCAAAACAATTCCCTCGGAAAAAACACATTTTCAAAGATTAAAAGATGCAACTGCAGAAACTGCCAACATCAGATAAATAATAGCCTTAAGGAAATTAATCCAGCTGCCTTAGATTCAATCTCTGCAACACTACTCAAACAGAAGTTGGGTAATTTTATCACAAAGATAGGACCGTTAAAATGTCTTTGCCTGAACTCTTACTGTACCATTAGTACAGGGGAGTAATGTTAAATGTCATGAAGGAAGCTTTCCATACACAGCCTGATGTCCGTTCGCCATGCCTTGCTACGCTGTGCATTACAATTGGTTTTTGGCTGAAAAATGCTCACAATCCACTGACCCCATTCCTGGGGTGACTCAAGTGGAAACTGATGTCACGCAAGGGCAATTCTACTCCAGCTGCCTCCAACCACCGCAAACAGTATGTACACTTGGTCTAACCTCAGGATTAGGTAACAGTTTAGCGCAGTATAAACTTTCCCTTTTAAAGCTTTTATTAAAAATGAAATTCCCAACCAAAATCACAAACCTTAAATTCTGATAAGTAATGGTGGAACAATTTAAAATCTGAAAATTGTCCTTTTAACTGTATTACAGCATAGTTTGGGAGAGCTCTCCTGGGACTAAAACAAATGGAAATAAAGGATTTGGCAGGAAAATGATTTCTCAGCATCAATCTGCCTCAAATACTCTCGCCTTTGGGTCAAAAAGGTTGTGAGTTAGGAGTGCAGCTCACAGTCTAGCTTGATACTCCAGTGCAATACTGCGGATAACTACACTGAGAAGTATTGTCTTTCAGATGAGACTTTAAATGCAGATCTTATCTACACATCTGATTGATGGTTCCAGTGATCTTAAAGAAACCTGTCACTATTTGTGAAAACTAGGGAGTCCTGGCTAATATTAAACCCTCATTAAAATATCCAAGGCATCATTCTGGGGTCAAGAGGCATCTGAATACTAAGCACGGACAGTGGCACAAAAATGCCTTTAGAAATGCCCAAGGCAGTTTGCATTTATGCTGTACGGAGGAGGTGGGAAACAACACACCTAGATTATTAAATGATTATGTCATTTACATTTCTGGGGTGTTATTGTTGTGAATTAATGGCTGCATTTGAACACATACCAATTCGCCATTTCAAAACACATCATTATATGAGGCAGCTTGTGATATTTTGACTCAACAGTATCAAATAATTTTTTTGATAAAAAAGGCTAATGTACTTTTATATTATCCAAAATACATTGACATCAGTGGATGTGAATTGATGTCATCAGTAATCTTGAAGCACAATACATAGTGTAACTGCATTACTCACTGAATGCATCAATGTGCAGAAGCCTCACACCCAAATCAACTTAGGGATGTGACATGACATGCAAATAAACAAGTCAATCCCATATTTTACTGCGATAAATTCTTTTAAATAAACAAGACTTATGTTTCAGTACCCAGATTAACAATAAGGATTTTGACTGGGGAGATTCAGGAAACTACCCCAAATTTGCATATCACTGGGACATTGTAAACAATATACAGGACTTTCTTTGAAATCGATGACCTTTCATTCTCACATTGATATTAATGATGTACCTTTGGGAATCAGTGTGTACCACGTTTTTGGGTGCTTAGAGGTGAAGCAACTGTGAAGGCTATTCAATAAGGTGAAGTCAGGTGCCAAATTATAGAGTAGCATATTGAACAATTCACTATGACCAAGCACAGATAATGTGTTGGTTGTTTATTTACTAATTACAGCGGGAGAGCCACGAGGCAGTCAGTCATTGAAGAGCTTGCTCATAATAGAATAACATGTCTATACCACAATTGTTACAATTCCATTATCCCCAGCAGTCTAACCAGTACATTTTCCATTTCAACTGCATAAAGGTGTCAGCCTGGCTCAGTTGATAGCATCTTCCACAGGTGGGACAATGTTGAATGCTATTTCTGAGCGCACATTTTCAAAAAGCAAACCTACTGTTGAGAAGAGAAAATGAACAGAACTGATGCACTGAAGTGCACCACAGATAGTACTCGAGTTTGGGAAAAAGCAAAATCTCTCCATCTCACACTTCAGCTGCCATACTGCACAACAGAAAACTTAATTACTTTCTCACTCAGCAGAAACAATCCTTCAAAACAGCAGAAACTAAATGCGAGTCACTAACCACGACCTGCTTGTAAGCAACCCGAAATACGAGTAGAACTCCATTCTTCAACAAGCCTTAAAAAACAATCTCACTTAATTTCTACCTTCTGTCTGTTGTACAATAAAGTCAAATATAAAGTTCTCTCATGTATGAAGTTGCCAAATTTGTTCAGCTGTGGTTACGCCTAAAGCTCAGAACAAAAGCAGGAAGTTAAAGGCTAAAGACATTTCAGTGTTTGAAATGTAGCCTTTACTGCAACAGTTTGCAGAGTCAGGTCACATCCAAATGTTATAAACCACAATTCAGAAGGAGGTAGGATTCCTTTGATTTATTGAGTTATAATAATAATCCTTGCATTTGATACAGTGCCTTATCACAGACATCTCAAAACACTTCACAGAATATATGGTAAAGTGAACTTTATTTTCTGGGTGAAGCGCAACTGCAATTGCGCGCAGCAGAGTCCCACAAACAGTTGTGGATTTTAATTTTGTTTTGGTATAATTACCCCTGGGAAGCAGTCTTCTAACTGACTAACAACCGGTTTCCTATCTACTGCTTTGTAAACAAAGGCAATTGGGGTAAGAAATCTTGCCTAAGGTTTCGCTCCACCCAGGAATTGAACTTGCGAGGCGAGCGCACGAACCACTAGATTACGGGATTCCCAGTTTATAGTTGTAGAAAGACTGATACAATGCCAATTTAGATGTAATCAAAACATTGTTTCTATTAAAACTTCTCAATCTGACCAATGTAATATTTTACACATAATGCAACAAGCAGATCTTTCCTTTTGCACATGGCAGCAATACACACACCATACAGAATGGGAATTGCAATATTGTAATAATAATCTTTGGATTTGATACAGCCTTTGACGTTGGGAGGATGTCTCAAAGAGTTTCACAGGATTTATTGTAATGTGCAGTGACAGCGCCTAGGGACATCCTTACACCGTGATAAGCGCAATATAAATGTAATTTGCTGTTGTTGACAGTGTATTTTTTTTAAGCGAACACAGGAGCCAATTTGTACATAACAAAGTCCAACATTGCAGCACTGCACCAGCAATGTTGTACCTGAACACCAACAACAGTTTACATTGAAGAAAATTGAGAATTATGACTTAAAGGCTTTCTAGGCTTGATTATGCAAACTCATTGCTTCTCGGCCTCTCCAACTCCTCCCTCCGTAGGCTGCAGATCGTCCAGAACTCTGCAGCCCATGTTCTCTCCCGCACCAGGCTCCATGACCCTATCACCCCATCCTCGTCCGGCTCCACTGGCTTCCCATCACACAGAGGATACAGTTCAAGATCCTGGTCCTCACCTTCAAAGCCCTCCATGATCTTACTCCCCACTACCTCTACGACCTCCTAACCCCCTATCATCTTGCTTGCTCCCTCTGCTCAGCGGTTTCGGTCTGCTTCACGTTCCCCCTGCCTCGGTCGCCCCACTATTGGCGGGCAGGCTCTGGTACACCATCCCGCAGTCCCTCTGCCTCCTTTGCCAGCTTCAAGACCCTCCTCTTCGACCATGCTTTCGATCTCCCTGCATCCCCCCCTGCCCTCCCCGACCCTGACCCCCAGCTCAGGTCCATAACTCTGTCTGTCCAGTGCCTTGGGAACATCCTCCCGATGTGAAAGGAGCTTTACAAATGTAATTTTGTTGTTGTTGTAGGTGATAAACTAGTATGGGGAAGGAGCAAGAAATTGGGACTAGTAGTTGCATCACCAATCTCTCTCTGCTGATGCTGTCATTTCTACGATTCTATATATTCCAACCAGAGGAAAAATCAACAATGATTTGCATTTATTTAACATCCTCATGAACGAAAGGTGCCATACGCATGCAATTTGTTGTTGTTGTTCCCTTTCATGTCAGGAGGATATCCCAAGGCACTGGACAATCAATGTTTTGCACCCAAGCTGGGGGTTGTAAATCCTTTCACAACTGAGGTCTGACCTTACTTGGCAGCTGAATTTCAGCTGCTTTCAAAAAGCAGAAAGTTGTAAAGAAAAGTGTGTACTTGGGGAAACCCGAGCATGGCTCCACTCAGGGCTTCATACTACAGAAACAAAGAACACAGAACTGGCAGGCTGCTAGTAATTTAAAACATCACTCTCCATTGATACAGGGAAACTAACTCTTAAGCACATAAGGCACCATCTTGCAGCTGGTTCTAGTCTACTACATAATTCCATCATGCTTGTGCACATCCTAACAGCAAGCACAGTTCGGAAAACCTCCACAAATCCAATGGGTTTTTAGATATTGCATGATGAGACTTCAATCACTGGGGTTTAATTCAAGGCTTCACTAGGTTTTACGATCGCGGATAGTTAAAAGAGTACAAACATAGGCCAACACTAACCACAAACGTTTTTCTGGCTTCCTATATGGGCTTGGTGGCCAAGGCTTCAAACTTGGCAGACATATTTAAGGTGAAATCTCTTCAATTATACTTCAAAGCATCAGTGAACTATTTCAGGTTCCTGCTCTCAGCGCTTTGCACTGAGGTGCTAGAAGCATAGCACTGAGCACATCTTGGCTGCAGGAGGGAATTCGCAGCATAAATCCTGCAGTTATCAATTCACAGCTAGGTATGGTTAGTGGCAGAGGGAGTGGCAGATTCTCAATGCAAGGGTTCAGCAGCTCACGAGAAGCAACATCAAAGCTCTGTAACATTGCCACAAAGCCAAACTATTTATTTAAACTGATAATCTAACTGTCTCCAGAATATTTTTCCATGTACTTTGATGGAGGGGGGGGGGGGCGGGCGGAAAACAAAGCTCCCCGCATCACAAGGCCATTCCTCACCTCCTCACAGAACCGTAGTTACATTTAATCTGACACTTTACCTACTATGCACAAGCCAGCCCTAAGAGGGAAACACTCACCTGCCATTGCTTATTGGCTGAGGAGAATGGTCAGACCAGTCAGATCGCTTGTCAGGAGAGCGGGACCGATGCCGGGGTCTCTCATTCGAACGGTTGGAATGATCAGATGCCAGTGAGTGGATTTCTGAAATATCTGTAAAATAAAACATTAGCATTTTCTGCGCTGCTGAAGGTCACTTTTTGGTGATGGCTCACAATTTTACAAAGAAAATAGATAAAAATACAATATCTGTATTAATAGAGTAGAACACAATTGTTCAGACTATCAAATTAATAATGCACAATGTTTAAAGAAATGGATATGTTTCTTTCAATTCACTAGTGTTACCATTTATTTTACGGTATTAAAGAGTATGGGGGAAAGGTGGGTAATGGAACTTGAAGTACAGATCAGCCATGATCTTATTAAATGGCAGAACAGGCTTGACGGGCTGAATGCTTACTCCTGTTTCTATGTTTTTAATTCCAGTACCATATTTTCTACTCAGTACTTTTATTGATAAGATACATATAAATACAGTCGCTAAACTTTCTAGTAAATCCCGTGCAGTGCTTTGAGATGTCCTTCCAATGTCAAAAGTGCTTTTTTTTTTGTAAGTTTTTAAAAATATATTTACTCTGATAAACAAAGACATTGATGCACTCAAGTTATTATCCATTCCATGCTCTACCTCCAATCTCTGTGGGCATATCAAATTTGTGCTGAAACAACCCCAGATCTATAACTCACCGTCTCTCTCAGAAGCATTTGCAGAAGGAATGCTGTCATCTAAATCAGGCACGTTCAGAAGAGTTGCCTTCTCATCCCTTTGCACCACCATCTTTAACTTTCCTTTTGATCTTTCGATTAGTTTCTTTGCATCTCCCAAGGACATGTTTTCTGTAACGGTGCCATTGATCTGAAATGAAACAAAAGACTTGTAGTAAAGCAAGAAGTCCAGTACACGATCACAAACAATCAGATCTTATCTGGAAAGAGTCCCAGGAAACAATGACATTTTATGTACAAGAGTTACAGACAATGTTAACATTTTATTTGCTTCCTGGCCTTGAATACAGAGAAAAGTACACATGAACTATCACTTGCTGATTACAATTCCTTGGGACTAACAGCATCAGCCTTCAATCTAGCAATGCACGTAATACCTGTGCAGCGCACCAATAATTTAAAACGGAATAAAACAAAAGTTAAATTAAGATATAAAAACTAAGATGATAACAGTGCAAATTCTTAAGATTGTTGTTCTTCATCAAGAGACACCTGGTGTAACCAAAACATTCTGAACAATGATGTTAATTTGCTGAGGAGGTAAAAACAGCAGCGACAACATTAACCCAATGGACATGCACAAATCTAGAAGAAGCAAATGGATTCTATTTAGAGCTTAAAGCATATCAACTTTGCGTTGCAAAACTCATGGATGTGCCTGTACTTCACACTCCCACACAAAGGTGTACCTTTGAAGGAGCAAACAACAGTTGACTTCCCAGATAAGTATGCTAAGTGCATAAAACCAAGCGTATTAAGATTTAAAAAAATAAAAGGCATCAGTAGATAGTGGGCAGGCTAATTTACATACCAGAATAAGCTCACAACCCAGAATCAACTGTTTAGCGCTTACTAGGGTGGGGGGAATGGACAAAGAAATTTACGGGGTCCCTAAACATACACAACTATAAAAGCAGCCACAAAGCTTGATGAGCAGCCCTGCAGAACCATCTCCTATGTTGCTGGACTGCAGCATAGCACAGCCCTCAACATCAAAACAGATGATTATGGTCCAGACCTCACAGTTCAAGAACCAAAAGGGAAGAGTACAATCAAAACCTTCACAAATTTTAACTTCAAAGATTAGGAAGTGAAACTTGGCTCACCTTCAACACTACATCACCCTCATGAATGTTGCCATCCTTTGCTGCCAATCCTTCTGGCGAGATTTCCTTAACAAAGATGTGGCTCGCCAATCGCAGGCCATACTCTGTTGGACACAATGACATCAATAACTAACGTGCGCCCTAAATCCAGGCAGAGTGTTCCATTCTAAAATTCCATGGCACCCTCATCCACCATGCTCCTCACCAATCAATCAACACCCATTACATAGGATTATTTAAAAATGGGACATTCCTCAACTGATCTGTAGTGATTGCACTGAATCATTGATCCTTTTGTGTGACCATGGAAATACAGCAATCACTTGGTCACTATTAAAGGCATTGCAAGCACAGAAACATATCGAAACCTCCATTGTGAAACAAACTCTTTAGATGGTTCCGAAGTCAGAACTTCAAGGCTCTCTGGTTCAATGAGGACATGAACCTGGACAAATCAAACTAGGATCTCGTGATTTAGAATGCTCATACCGTCGCCTTACAAATCTAAAAGATAGGAATGAGGAATCATCGAGTTTGTTTCACTCACAGCGCTGATTATGAATCAAGAGAAGATCACTCAGTGAGTGCATCCTGCTAATAGGATTCTGAATTTGCATGCGTGTAGGCGCACACTTAACTTAAGGGACAGTACAGCAGAAACTGCTGATGGCAGACAAATAACCAAAGGAAAAACTTTCTAAGAAGAGCAAACATACAAAGGCTTGCTTGCCTAGGAAAACAATGAAGTGAAACTTCAGGATATTAATGCTCTGCAACAATCTATATTATTCCATCTAAACCAGTATACCTTGCCAGATATATTCCTGCAGTCCCAGCAAAACTGAATCCACAGAAGTTTATAGAGTCCTGGATCATTCATTTCAAAACAAATCCACATAACATTCAATATGGTGACCAATGCGGATTTAGGAACAGCACAGCCCCTTTTCAACCTCCACCCGGACCAACATGTCTATGTGCTTCAGCAATCCGTATGGGAAGCCATAATTTACATTACTGCCTCGTAATCATTTAGACAGCCATTCTAACTTTTCCAGTTCAAGCGACTAACCTGTTCGTATCACCTGCAAGTTCCAGAGGATAACCACAAACTCAAATATACTATACACACACAAAAATATAAATTATATATATAAAATTTAAATTTGCATAGTTCACATATGCCTTATCCTGCAACATGGAACACTAGCGTAGATTGCAGAAACCCTTTTAAATGTTTGCTAAAAATTTGAATTAGGAGGACAACATTCAGTCACAAGAAGAACCTGAAGACAATAGAACTTGTTGCACAAGTGAGCATCATTTTGCAAGTCATTTGAATTCTTGTGATAAGACACACACCTTCATTCTTTCTCGACTTTACCAATGTAACTTTAATGGGTTTTGGTGGTAGATTTGAGGTGACCGATCGCCGGTCTGATCTCGGCGATAAGCTTCGCTCCCTGCTGTCTGCTCTCCTGCCAATGCTCCTTTCACTTCTTCTCCCACTATAAGGACTGGGCCCACTCCGGCCACTTTTACGATCATAAAGCTCCTCTTCATCCTCATAGCTGTCATCTTCAGGCTCGGATATCGGTCGACGATCAGGCTCCGGCCTCATTACCGGCATCTGAACCTTCCGTTTCCTCCTTATTGTCTGCGAACACCAAAAGAAAACCATTATTACCTATCAAAAGCACACCCAAGGGTCATTGTGCAAGTTAAACTGGTTATAAGGATCTTTATTTCCAACTCTGACCAATTTCTCTCTTGACAAATTAAAAAAGTGTCCAATTTTCTTCCCATTGGCAGAGTCCTCTGCTCCTGGTCTCTAGACTTTGAAGCCTATGCTGAGGTGCAGTTCCACAGGTGCTAGATGCCCTCCTGTACCCCGCTAAGTGGCTATTTTTCATGTGTGAACTTTTTCCACAGTGGTCAGTTTTGCCAGGCCACATGACTGCCGAGACTGTCACAGCCTCACCTCACGCAGCTGACACACATTCACACTATTACTAGAGGGCACTAAGGAAGGACCAGGACCAGTGAACTTGGCTGATTTTAACCTCTCTGACTGAGAGATGGTGGGCAAGTTGAACCTCACAGACACGCATGAGACAAGCCAACCAGACCAGGTTTCAAACCACCAAGGTCCAGTCTGTAAGACGTAAGATACAGCTCTATTCACTGCATCACTGGGGCTGCCTACAACAAATCTCTGAAATTAATCACCCCAATCAGCACCTATCATTTGAAGAACCTAACCACCTCTAAAACATTCTACTTGGGAATTTCTATCAAAACTCAGCCAGAATTCAAATTTTCAGTTTATGTCTAACCTATGGTATATGATAAACATTTGGAGAATAATAAAAGGGAAAGAGCAGGGAAGTGAGACAGGAGCAGTTAGCTTCAAGAAGGGAACACTTTCATCTGTTTAGACTCGAAGGGCCAAATGGTTTCCTATTATGCTGTAATTTCTATGATTGTATGAACTGAAAACAAAGGCAAACTGATTTCATTCCTGGAACATATCAAAGGTCCCCCACTGCCACTACAGACACTAATCGCACAAACCATCCGAGTTTGGCTGCCCCGCTGTTGGACTGCTGACAAGCAGCAGTAGCAACATAAGAGTTTGGATTACAGCAACAGCAAAACCAAGTCAGGAACAAGTGACAGCAACAGCTTTTAATGACATATTGATACCAACGGCAGCAAATGCTAGGCAGAAGAATAAGACCATTGTATTAAATATTTAATGCTGGAACTACAGGAATGAATGTGACAGATGCTGAGCACCATTCTCAATTCCACCATACCTTGCGACAACAGTAGCCGGCAAATGTGAATCAGATGTTGACAAATATCTGCTACTGTAAAGTTACTTTATGCTGTTGCACTGAGAAATGTGTGAGAATTCAAATGCAATGATTAACAACAATGTTTGGATTTTGATAGATTAAAGGAGGGATTTTTGTTAATAATTCACAACAGTTGTATGGGAATACAAAGTGACACAACGGCCCCAATGTGTATTTAGTGTTTTGGGTGCAGAGGTATGCAGAAATAAAGTTTGAACAAATGGAAGTCAAGGAAAGGTAGTGAGCAACAATTTTTCGACAGTGGTAGAATGTACAAAAAACCCTGATACTAAAGTGCATTTAAATAGCATCTTAACAAAGAAACTAAACTCTCAATAATTTCTCTGCTCAAGCTTGTAATATTAATTTGCTTGAGTCAGTTACATTACTATTTGGCTCTTGAATATTGTACACATCACTGTTGTAGATGGCTCAGCCCAAGTGTTTCAGGCTGTGAAATACTCTTATTTCTGTAGGATTTATAAAAACAGAACGGTTAAATGAGGCTACGTTCTAGGAGTCGCATTAATTGTTCCCATTTACCTCAGGGTTTGAAATGTTCAGAAATGGGAAAAACTAAATTCATGATGATATCAAATTTTGAGTTTACAAACTACCACCTTCACAGGTTAGGAATTACAGTAATACACAATCTCACAACTGGTTGAATACATGCAGGCAGGTTAATTTCAAGTCACACCCATTTAACATGCACTACTTACAATCTTTGCATTCTTTCCACTTTTGCGCAACTGTTGGACTGCAAAAGCATGCTCCACATTATCCATGGAAACCGCATTAACCATGACAACACGGTCATTCTCCCTGCAAAAAAAAAAAACCCTCCAATTAGAACAGATTCCATTCCATTTTAGCTGCAAATGCATTTTTTGGGTTCCAACAGGACAACAGCACCGTAAGGGACATAGTTTAGCCAAAGTTCAGTTTCTCATTTAACTAATACATATGTATTTTGTGCAAGTGTATTTGGTACAGCACATTATCACGTTGGAAGGACGTCTCAAAGCGCTTCACAGGATTTACCGTGAAATGGTTGAATGTATTTTGTGGGCAAACACAGCAGCCCAATTGCGTAAAGCAATGTCCCACAAACAGCCCTGAAATGAATGACCAATTTGATTTGGGAAATTTGTTACCAGGACGCTGGCAGAAACTCCCTTCTCTTTTCGAATAGTGCCATGAGATCTTTAATGTCCACCTGAATAGGCAAATGGGACCACGGTTTAACATCTCATCTGAAGTTAAGATAGAGAAACTAGCTTTGGAATAAATCCTTGCCTTGGGTGGGGGGGAGAAGGGAGGAGGGGTGAAGAACACTTTTCCATTAGTGAAAATGTTGAATGCCCTTTAAATTAATCGAATACAAGACAATGATTTTCGATTGATGAAACCATCAGATGTTGCTCTTCTATGCTACCGTAAACTGATATACCACAAACCTCTGCATTTGGCTCAAAAGGTAACTACTGAACTAAATCTAAACCAGACGCAGTTGTATCTGGGGCAGAATTATACAAGTAGCAAAAGCACAACAGATAAACTGTTGGTCCAGAAAGTAAACTTTTGTTTCTCCTTTCCAAATATAGCTTTGATTAATGTTAAGAAAATCAGGCTCCTCTTGGTACTTGCAGGCACCCAATCTGAAATACGATTGGGCATTCTAGATCCAATCTCTATCCTCAAGATGACACTGTAGTCAAAAATTTGAAAAAGAAAAATATAAAAGGGTATAAGGAAAGGGCTGTGGACTGGTACTAAATCAACAGTTCTTTCAGAGAGCCGGCAATCTGAAAATGGCCGCATTCAGTGATGTAAAATTCCACAATTCTAGTGTGTAAAGAGGAAAATTAACCGACAGGTTTGTCTTTTTCCATTCAATGGGCAATGAAAATAAGACACTGCATCTAACCAGAGAGCATTTGCATTAATCACTGAGTCACCTTCCTCAAACAAAAGGATAAAGGTTAAACATTTTGCAGCAGAGTATGTTATCTTCACTTGCTTATTGCTTTCCAATCTTTTACAGTTGTAAATCTAGCGTGTGTTGGAGTAAAGATAGATCACAAAGGAGGTATGGATGAAGAAGCATTTTATCTAGTGTCGTCATTACGGCAACAAGCTATTTTCTTCTTAATAACTACAACTTGCATGTGACATAGCGATTATCATGTCATTGAGACGTCTCAAAACAGTCCACAGGATACTTTACTGTAAAGTAACGTGGCAGCGTGTATTTTGTGGGTAAATGTGGCAGCCAATATGCACACAGCAATGGCCCCAAAATAGCCATGGAGTGAGTGACCAAATTTATTTGGGAGATTTCTGGCCAGGGCACAGGAATAAACTTTTTTCGAATATGCCATTGGATCGTTAACATCCACCTGAACAGGCAGATAGGGCGCAGTTTAACGTCTCATCCGAAGATGACACCTCTGACAAAACAGCACACTCCCAGCACTGTGTTAGAGTGTCAGCATGGACTATATGGGTATCAAGAGCCAACTTAGGACTTGAAGCTACAACCTTCTGACTTCCTAGGCGAGAATGCTATCAATAGAACAGCTTTCCTGGTAACCTATTACAAGGGTTGACACACTACTAACACTCTGGTGTCTGTCCTAAAGTGTCCTTCACACTGGCTGTAATTTGTAGATTGTGTTCATTAAGGCAATATTCCTTTTGTTGATGAATTCCATCAGTTTTCCAATTATTTTGGTCAGACTTATGGGACTGCCGTTTTCAAGTTTGGCTGCAAATAAATTCTTTAATAATAGAAATTACACATGGCTGTTTCCAGCCTGTACGAAAGTTCCCAGTAACAACCAGCCTCCTCAAAATGTCTTATCAGTGCTCCACAAATCAGTTGAGTTCTGGGGATTTGTTGTTTTTCAGCCACTGCCAAGCTGGTGTCAAGCTCCTAGGGCTCACATCATATCTGTTAGCATGTTTTTAATGTACCGCCTGGTTAAAACACCTCCAGGCTGTGTGTGATATGCTAAGAATTTCAGTCCGCTTGACTGCAACATCAACTTGGAAATTAAAGTAAAGAGAGTGGGGCAGAGGATAGTGTAGAGTAGAGGTGCGGGTTAAGCACACTTACTGCAACAGTCCTTCTGCGGGACCTCCTTTCAAAACATCTGAAATTACAATGGAAGTTTCGCCACTCTGAAAATGTGGGTTATCCTTTCCTCCGGATATTGCAATCCCAAACCCAAATCCAGGAGCCTAAAATTAAACAGAAAGGTTACTGATTGAGACTCGATCCAAACAAAAACAGACTGAAAAATGCACCGAGCATTCACACCTTCATATATTCATCAATACAAGCATTTAAAATCCTACTGCCATTTCCAAATATTTCACATATTGGATAACCTGGCATGAAAAACTGAGGTCAGTCCAAATTTAGGGGAAAATAACCTTTCCTTTTCTTGCTGAGCCTGTATCTTACACATTTGTTTTGTATGACTTTAGCCATGAATATACAACTTCCCGAACACCATGCAGATTTAAGAACTGATGTGGAAAATTTTCCTTCTGCAGTTTCCTGACATCTGAAGTTGTACTATTGTATTATGCCCAAGGATTCAATATCCTGACATTCACTGGATATGGAGCTGGTGACTCACCCTGTGAAGAGTGACCGTATGCTGTTCCCAGATAACAGTTTCCTCCATGACTGTGTTCTGAAATAGAAGAGAAATAGAATAAGCAAGAGAAAGGAAAATCAGTTAATACCCGTCGATAAGTACAATACGTTTACGTGAAAATAATTGCAGAAGTCAAGCATTTTGATTTTTGCTAATTTCACGTGCTTCAGTTCATCTTGTTTAGAAAAACAACCACTAGTAATAATACTAGGAAAAGTCAAGATTATTTATTTAACAGATTGGATCCATATCAGATGCATTAAAAAACACCTACCGAAAGAATTTCCCTTTCACTGTACACCCCCACCCATCTTCATATACAACCTGTCTTACCTACCATCTAATGACCCAGTTCACTACCACTTAAGAGCATGACTTAATAATAATCATGCTTGCATTTGATAGAGCGCATTTTACACCAGGAGGACAACAACCACAAAATTGCATTAGCAAAGCGCCTTTCATGTCAGGATGACATCCCAAGGGTTAAACAGTCAGGGATCAGGACCCGAGTGTGGGGCGGGTCACAGGGTTGGGATGAGGGAGGGCAGAGGGGGTAGGAGGGCAGCTGAAGGCATGATCAAAGAGGGTTTTGAGTCTCGCCTTGAAGGAGGCAAGAGAGGGAGCAAGGTGAAGGGATTGTGGGATGGAGTTCCAAAGAGTGGGGGCAAAGAGGCGGATCGGGCAGGAGACCTGAGGTCTTCTCAATGTGCTTCATGGGATTTACTATAAAATGTAGTCACTGTATTTTTGTAGGTGAACGACCCAGCTGAAGAGATAAGAAAACAGTGAAATGCACTTAATGTTTATATAAATAAGTTCTGTGCTTAAGTACCCCTTTACAATTTTCGCTCTCCTGAATGAAACCACAGTTGCAATAATCTGATTAACAAATTGACAAAAGAATACTCTGATTAACAAATTGAATTTTTTCCCCATTTATTTAAAATAAAATGCGTCACAAGAATTTGGGACTGACAAACTGCTGGTTTTAGGACAGAATACCAAACTGTAAAAAGTTTAATTACTTTTAAAGAGTTAGTATTTAGGAATTATTTTTCTTTTGCAAGTGAGAAATGTATCCATTTTTGACTTGAGAAAGGATATACAGGATAATATGGATGGACTCAAGCAAACACCAAAAACAATTCAACCAAACAACTATTGCTGTCACTAAAATGCAGCCGCTCCTAATATCAGAGTGGAAACCCAATCAAAATCACGCATGTGTACAGGAAACTATAGTCAGACTGTAAACTTTGAGCAGCTAAACAGAAATGAAATATTTACGCACAGGGGTTTAGAGATAATAATACCGTTAAAAATCAATTCAAGATTATTATTTTACTTTCATTTTTACTTTTGCATATCTGTATTGTTCTGCGTACCCCCATGACCCTTAAACGCACACCCAGTTGTAACCCTCTGATATAAGCAAACAGAAGACAGGAGACGAGTTGGTCAAATGGTGGATAAGTAGGAATGCGAGCAATAGAGGCCCCATTGTACAATGCACAATACATTTTATAAATCATGCAGTTTTCAACGAGTATTTTGCACCAATGAAACCATTCCATTTCTAGGGCTACAGTGAAACTAATGAAAGGCTTTTTTCATAGTATTGCAAAGCATCACAACTCAGTTCAGAAGTGAAACCAGTCACAATTCTTGGTGCTCCTGTCGGAAGTGAAATATTGCAGCATTGGGCAGCTCCTGGCATTGTATGCTTATGTTGCCATTGTTAATAGTTCAACAACAGTCTTGAGTCAATGGTCTTCACAATTTAACTTTTATAAAATTGTCGTTGTCCTCTCAAGGTAACTACTGTTAGAGATCAGCAGTGTAAACTCTGTACAAACTGGAGACAAGAGTCCTAGTCACCACACCCGTGCTCTGGAATGCTTCCAAAATCACTCAAGATCACAATCTTACTCTCTGCTTTCAGAAACTTCCTGAAGACTCATCTGTTCTTCCACGCCTTCTTACTGTCAGTTGTTCGTCCCATCGTTAAGATGGGAGGGCTTTTTGTATGTATACCTATGAGCCGTTGCATTCCATTGGCACTTCTTTCGCAGCACACTAGTTGTGGCATTTATGGCTTACAACCATAGAAACGGTATCAGGAATCACAAATAAATCCCAGCAAAGCATTGATAACATTTGCCAAGTCACACAATATCAAAGACTTGAAATGTAACAAAGATTGTATTTTTTTAAAATGTTCAGGTTTTTGTACCTGTGCCATTTGTTGCAGGTCTTACATTTGTTACACATTTTAAAGAAAATGTTTTAACACAAGTGCATTTGTGAAACTTAACACAAGTATTTGATTCTTCTACCAGAGGAAGATGAGCATTATCAAACCTGCCAATTCAGTCATTAAAATCACACCAGATCAACCCTCAACTCTATGGAGCACAGTCAACCTACTCAGCCTCTCATCATAATATCCCTCTTTGCCTGAATGCTTTAAACTGGACTTTACATTGAAAACAATGTACATTTATATAGCGCCTTTTATGTCTGGCGATGTCTCAAAGTGGTTGATATATCTTTTTGTGCAACCATCCATTTACAATGCATTCCCAAATTCCTTTCGAAGAGATTTCCCCACACGGTTACACTGAACACCGACACACTTACTTAATACATCAAAATTTACCTCTGCAGTTATGTTCCTTGACTTACAGTTCAGGAGGTATTGTAGCTTTATGACAAATACAAACAAAATATATTTGCATTGAATGAAGCTTGAACACAAGGCTTTGATCAAATTAGGCCAGGCTGAGACTGCGTTTACTGAACACAAAACAAGGTTGGTTTCTAATACTTCCAGAAGGGCGTTTTGATTGGGTTTTAAACATTTCTGGTATACAGATGAAGAACAACAAATACTGAGACACTCAGTTTCATGCTGAACTTGATTACTGAAGCAATCAGTACATGCTGTACTTTCCCATTTTAAGCTGCAACATTAATGATAGCTTGCTCTCAAGACGGTGACAAACCAACTTTATGGAACTTAATGTAGCAGCCCTCACATCAGAGGGATACAAAAGACACAAGAGCATCCAAAGTCTCAGCACTAAAAACATCATAATACTTACAGAAGTTTACTCCTTGCCACTGGAATCAGCACTTAATTTGACATTTCAATACTTAATAATAATCCTTGCATTTGATATAGCGCCTTAACACATCAAAAGCACTTCACAGCATGTAAAGTGGATTTATTATATATTTTAAGGGTGGAACAACCTTGCCCACTAAAGTTAGTTTCATCTTACTTAGTGACTGTAAAACACTCCCTTGTTGCTGAAACTCCCTCCCCATCTACACTAGTCAGGTTTCAACCCATTTAGTCACATATGACATCATTTTAATACTGACTCAGTTGTATTCATTCATTTTAGTTGCACCTAATCTGTATCCATTATAGTAATTCCCCTTATTGTAAATCACCTATCACTCAACAGATTGTAAACAAGTTCTTCCTCACAGCAAAACAGAGGTGCTTGGAAAGCTCCTGCTGGATCAATGTCAAAAGTCCGCATGGGTGAGTGTGTGCGTGGGGGTGTGCAGTAAGAGTTAAGCACAAATAAATCGCTCGTATACAAGGAAACTGGTGGAGGGCGGGATATCCACTGCAGACAGGCTAATTAACTACGCAGAGGTTGACTGATTTACAGGTCAATTTAAAAATATTCCACCTGTAATAAAAAGCTTACTCCACTCAATATTTTTGTAAGCTGATCAAATAGAGAAGCACCCTTGCCGGGTCATTTTAGCCTGAACTCGGGTCAAAGATTTGATTGGGACAGCTTTAAGAGATTGAACAACAACTTGCATTTATAATAATAAATAATAATAATCCTTGCATTTGATATAGCGCTTTTCACATCTTCTAGAGGTCTCAAAGTGCTTCACAGAATATACTGCATAGCATCCCAGAGAATAACTCCACGGTACAGCTCCATGCAGTAAATAAGACTCAACAGTCAATATTACAAGGCAGAGGGGTTAAGGATGATAAAAATAATTTAAAATATTGATTAGTATTGCACTGCCTGCAAGAATAGACAATGTTGACAAAGCAAAATTCTCCACACAAAAAGGTCACTGCAAGTAAATTTAAAGCCTAGCAATGTCATTCCAAACTACGCCCTCATGTTAGCTTATGAAGCCAATGAGTTAGCGTAGACTGGATCTTTCAAAGCTGATCCATACAATACTTAATGTGAACTCTCTTGAACCTTTATTAAATAAATGCTTGTACTGCTCTTTAGAGTTTAATGAATTCAAGTTTGAGAATGAAGCAAATAGTTGGAATGGTAACTAAACAGTCAGCACAACGTTTAAATACTTTATTTTTGAAAATATATATTTATTTATAAATATATTTGGTACAACAGAAATCCAAAACAAACACAACGAAAAACATCTTGTTACAATTTTTCTCTTCTCCCGAAGCAAAAACATCCTGTTGTTTATGGTACATTCCTTCACCACACATAGGTTGTGCACAGGTTTTTAGGACACTCTCTTTAAAACAGGTTTAAATACATCTCTACAGTTTAAATTCATAATTTCTATTCTGTCAATCAGCCTCTCCTGGAGAGAGTAACTTATCTTTTAGTATCCACACAACAGTTCGCATGCAGATTATAGTGAATGACTGCTCCTAAGCGATATTTGAAAAATGGTAGATTTTATGATGTATTAAAAAACAACACACACTAGTACTTAAATGAGCTAGGCTTAGGAACGCTCACCACTGGCAGGTACGATTAGCTTAGGCAGCAACAGCACCTGGCACAAACAAGTGAACAAATGTTTCCAGGTAGCCAGGACCAGGAGCTGAATGAGCCATCAGCGAGCTTCACTCTGACTTGTGCTCAAATTCATAATGAACTGTGTCGCGTCCAGGAATTCTATTCCACAATGCAAACTGGATGAATTCCAGAAATGCACAGCCTCACTTCAACCTCAACCAGTTCAAGTGGTCTGTTAAGTTAAATACTGCATTAGGATGTTTT